ATTGTGATACAAGTGTATGAGATAATAATGATTTATTCCATTTCTATACCAAGTTCTCAGGGCGATTCACAAAACAAAATTGAGATTACATGCAACAGCATAATAAAACATAATGTAAAAACCTTTAAAGGTTTAAGCCACAAAATATAACAAGACTGTAGACATCAGCAGCAGTGCCGATACCTTAAAATACACAGGCATATTAAAAACCACCACCAACAACAAATTGAAAGACTAAAATGTGAGAGAATAAAAAATGTCCAAAAGACCACCATTCAGGTACCAGTGAAATGAGATTTCTCAAAATGAAAGCAGACAAAGCAAAAATAAAACCAGCCAAACCCATACCACCAGGAGAGTCAGTAACGAAATATTGTAGTTGGTTTCCAGGCTCAATTCACTGTGTCGGTTTGACTTTTAAAGTCCTCCATGACTTGGAACCAAGTAACCCAAAAGATTGCCTTCTTCCATTCCTACAGATTTGAACTTTGGGATCTACTGCAGAGTGCCTCCATTGGGTGCAGTGAAATGGCGGGCCAGCAGGGAGGGGAAATTCTTTGGATGCCGTCTCCAAAAAGTCTCATCTAGAGACTTCTTCGTTGTCCTTAGCATCAAATGAGTACTTTAAAAAAATCCTCTCAGGCCTTGAAAAACTGTGACTTGGAAGGCGTGAAGTGTAACCTGCTGTTTACATGTTATTTATTTTTAGCCATGCTGTGAAGTTTGTTTTATCTTGCTCTCTGCTGACAATTATTTTTACATGCTGCAGTTGTTGTGTTAAGATATATTTTGTACTATTGGATGTTACTATTTTGCCTCAGAACTGCAAATGTTATTAGACAGGCTTTATAAATGCCATAAGAAAAAACAAAATAATGTGTCAACAGATGAAAAATAGCTTAGGGGACATAATGGAAGTTCTGGGTAAATGAAAAAATTCACCAAGCACCAAAAGGGCATTAAATTGGGCACCAGTGAAGCCTAACTGGGGAGGGAATTCTACAGGCAGGGTGCCACCATGCACAAGTCCTTGCTTCAGGCTCAACTTATTGAACTTCGGGGAGCTTGCAATGGTAATGTCAGCAGGGGTGGTGGCAGGCACCCAAGCCCTCAGGATAAACCTCGAGCAAATTTGCATATGCTAATCTACTGATACTCTAAAGTCTCTGTATTTGTTCTTCAAGGACCCTGTTTTCTACAGACACCCCCATTTATCAAAGTCTCTGGATCCTGCATAGACAGGGGAAAGGAGGGCATTAGATTTCAGAAGAATAAAAAGCCCCCAGGCAGCTGGATTCAAGGAGGGGGGCGGTAGGAGATGAAGCACCTGTGACCTTCAAGCCAGCTAATACAGGCGGATCAGAGCTGAAATCATCAGTGCCCCAGACTTTATTTCAGTAGGTGCCCATGGAAGGCAGGTGGTGGGGCAGAAGGCCTCTGAGAGTCAGGGCTCCAAATTAAGTCTGTCCACAGCTGCAGTCCTAATGAGCCCTCCCCTAACACAATCTCTGAATGCGAGCCTCTGATAAGGAACCTAAACTTCATTCAGACCAGACACCAACCATCCTGAGAAGGCAGCTTTTTAGAAATAGCCACACCTCAAACCGTATGGGACGAACAGGTTGCTTAGCAAGTGTGGGAGACTCGCTGCATTCAGCCACTGCCAGTTTGGGGTCACTCCTGTTTCGGAGGCAGAAGGGTTGCAATTGTCTGATGCAGAGATTACCAAAGCAGGTAATGGTGGCAAAGCTATCCTTTCTCAGGAAGGATCACAGCCAGTGAAAGACAGCCTGTGCCACTGGGGTCACCAGTGGCAATGTTGGGCCTAACCTGTGCCCCCAGAGCTGTAGCCCTGGTCCACCGAGGCGGTTTGCAGTCCCGCTGGGAATAGGGTGAATGTCACTCTCCCAGTCAGACAAACGGCCCACCAACAGTATCTCCATTTGGTTAGGAATGACCTTCAGAGTATCAGCCCTTGTGCATTTTGCTGCCAACACCAGACTTCATCTATCGCTTCCTCATCTGAGTCAAAGTACAAAGATTTAAAAAGGTGGATGCCGTCGGCATACTGGTGACAACGCACTCCAAATCCGGGACCTGGGATTCAACTCCCTGTATAGCTATAACTCCAGTGGCTGTTCCTGAGCCAGTGACCTTCTCTTCAGGGTTTGTGGCAGGGGAGTATTGGGGCTTATCTGGATGACCACCAAATGCATCCCTTTAACCATGACTGAAAGACAACAGCACAACATTCAGCGCACACAATGGAGAGAGGATCGTTGCTGGTCCCCCATGAAATGCATGACAGCAATTGAAACGGGGGAATGCACAGCTTCCAAGTAACTTCCAACCAAAATTAAAACAAAATAAAGGCAAAAGAAGTACAACAGAGGCTGAACAGGGATGGTAAAGGTCTTTTTGAGAAAGCTGTATGTACAGCATTCTTGCACTGTACAGCCAAGCACAGCCTCCAAAACTGGAGTGCACAACCTGAAGCCCAGGACCACATGCAGTCTAGGGGTTCCACGTGCCTCTCCAGCACATGCACACACACACACACATGCACGCACCCCCACCCCCCACAATTGCACTATTGTAATTGTGACTGCTGCTCCCTGTTGCTAGCTGCTTCTCCTCCCGGCAGTCTTGGTACAAAATGTTCTTTCCTCACCGGTAGTTGGGAGAGGAGACTGGACCGGTGAACCGACACCACATGTGCCCCTCAGGGCTGAAAAGGCTGTTCGCCTGCACATTCAGTGGGAGGTTTATGATCCAAGTTGCACATTCGGAATGAGCATGTGAGGGCCTTTGTGAAGGCAGGGGGGTGGGACAGAGGGGACCGAAAGAACACCGTGCGAAAGAAACAAAGCAGTTTCGTGGGCCGTCTCTGATGCTGCAGCTCCAGAGCTCTTTCCCTCAAGAAAGGCCCATGTTACACAAGCAAATAACAGGACTGTGAAATGGGAGCAGAGATCAAAAGATGAGGTTGGTTCACCATGTCCAAACACAGGGATTACAAGCAGAACTCTTTACCTTCACAAGGAAATGGGAGTGGGTCCCTGCTTCACTTGACAGCAATGAAATCTAGGGATTAAAAACTTGCTAGGAAGATGTTTCCTTTGTCCAGGAAGTTCTCTTTCCTGATTTGCTCTGTCTCCTCATTCATCTCCCTCAGGAAAACTCACGTTTTCCATCAAACTGCTGGCTTTACCCGGGTATCTCAAAGCTCTTTCAGCCCAAGAACCCAATTCCATTCTGGAGAAACTGTTGGGAGCAGCATTTTACTGGTGGCACTACTAATCTCTTGGAAGGTGGGCTTAGTAGTAGTGGGAATAATAACGATGACGATGATGATGACAAAAGGGACTGGTCAAAAGGGCAAGAAAAGCACAACCCTACCTATTTTAGCTGGAAGCTGTTCCTGCAAGCAAGTCTGCCTTAGCAAAGCCATTTAGAATGGGAAAAAATCGGCTGCACAAAAGCTGGGAGAGCACCAACCGACTGGTGATCTGGGGAAAGGGGGTGGAACCATGGGAAAGGGAGACCATATTTCACGCCTGGCTCTTACTTCACCCTTCACTCAAACAAACCCTAAGTACGCATCTGCATTCACCCACCTTCAGTTCTTTGGAGCATGAACCCCTTTGTGTGTGTTAGTTCGTTAAGCATAAGCAAAATGAGTGCTGGACTAGATGGACCTTTGATCTGATCCCGCATGGCTCGTCTTATGCTCTTATGATGACGCTAGATGCACGGTCAGCGGTGCACAATGGCTGTGCAGGAAGGCACTCTCCGCTTCAGGCAGCTTGCCGATGTCCGTGTGCAAGGGGAAGTCACCTCTAAAGATAGGAGCTCTGCTGTGGAACATGGCTTTGGAGCTCAGCCCTGCTGGAAATGAAAAACTCTGACTTTAAGCATTACCAGGAGCAGACATGCAGCATCTCCAGCACAGCAGGCATTAAAAAGAAGGAGCTGCTAGCACAGCACAGCCACAAAGGAGGGAAAAAATCTATTCTAGTAGCAGAAAATTAATGGAAGGCTCCTTAGGACTGATGTGGCCTAATTCTGAAAGATGCTAAGCCCTGACAATACTGACAGTTTCAGAACTTGTGACTGCCCAACACCTTGGGTCAGATTCTGCATCCCCCTCTAGTCCTTTCCTCAGTTCTTTAGCTGAGGCTGTAATGCTATGACCATTTACCTGAGAGTAAGTACTACTGAGACCTTATAGGATCATGGTGCAAGAGGTTTACTTTTCTGTTCAGGAGTGAATCTAAAGTGAACTGGGCAGGTCTGGTGAATGGAAACGGTAGTCTCTTAGAGGAACAGGCTGATGATGGAAAAAAATGAAATGCTCCAATCTTAAATATATATTACTTCAAAATAAGATTTCCTCAAATCTATGCGACCTCTGTTTCCTACCCACTCCTGTATATTCTTTCACACATATACTTACACCTGAATAATCTCCCCTCTGATATTTGCGAACAAAGCCGTTGAGGTCTCTCTAGGGCTGCAACATGGCATCCAGCAGAAGCAGGCAGTCTCAAAGTGGGCGTTCACAAGAACAGCTAATGCAGATTTGCTTTATCTTTGGACCATTCTTTTGTCTAAACAATCAAGTGATTATAGGATAGGTTTTATTCCATCCTGTGAGCATGCCTATGTATTATTTTTTTAAAAAACAGCATTTTCAGTTCACATTAGGAAATGTTAGGGACACAAAAACAGAGTGGCGTCATCAATCCTAGATCAATAGAGTTTGATTTCTACAAACATCTCCTGCCTGCACCCCTGATTCATTAAACCGGATCAGAACTTTTAACCACAGGATCTAGCCAGCAATCTGAGGCGGAATACCTGAAATTTAAAGAATAAATTCAAAAGAACAGCACAGACAAAACTGGCCCCGTATTAAGATCTAACCCTTGGGGAACAAACAAAAACCATTTGTGAAAACAATAAAACCTCTAGTCCTGGAAGGAGGGGGAGCAACTTACCCCAGATCAGAGTAAACAGATGGGCCTTGGGGATAAGGAAGAGTGAATAAACAGCACCAACATGGAGCAAGGCCATGAGGATGACATTCCTCCAGACGATTCCTTGCTTCCGTTGAACTTTCAGATCGCTTTTCTCTGCCATTGATCCCAGCGAGTTCTCGTCTCTTCCATCGCCAGTCATTGCCTTTTTATCTACCACGCTGCTGGCTCCTGGCTTAGACATGGCTGAAGAGGGAGGAAGCAATCCAGCACGCGGTGGGCAATCGGACTGCGAAAGCCGGGAGAGGCGAGTCTCTCTTTTATCGAGGGAATGAATGTCGACTGCTGCTTTCCCGCTTGCGGGGGGCGGGGGGGTGTCAGGTTTCTCTCCCTCTTCTCTCCTCCCCCACTCTTTCCCCCGCTCGGCCCCCTGTTTTGATCTGTTCCTTCTCTGGACCGCTTTTTGAATGGGATCTATGCATGGAAGTCTCGGGGTGCAGCATCTGTTGCTGGCATCTCACCCATGATGCTAATGCTGTGTCAGAGCCGAACTCCGCACAGCAACAGAGGATGGAAAAAAGGGGAGGGGGACCGAAGGAGAACGGGAGAAAAGACCTGCATAGCTACAGCCAATCAGAAGCATTTGCGGCGCTCTTAAAGGGTGGGGGGGGGAGGCGGGCAGGCAGGCTGAGGTACAGCATCTGTCCACTGTGGCCACATATGGACCAGATTGAATTAATCTATATTCGTGTGCCCAACAAAGGAACACGCATTTGATGTGCGTTCAAAGGCAACTGGGACGTGACTTGAGATTAGGCTTCCAGGAGAGGGAGGCTGGTGAGCCCTGAGTCAGCAGGGCTCCTCATCCACGGCATCTTTTCTTTTGAGGTTCATAGGAGCTGTCCATGGTGTTGAGCTCTAGCCCCAAAATTGCCTCACCACCCCGGAGAAGCATGGATACCACCTATAAAGCAAAGCTGCAGAGGTTTGTGATGCAGGCATACAGCTTCTGGGCCCCTAGGAAGTAATAGGGGATCCAGGGATTCCCTTGCCATATCCCACTGCCCTTTTCATTGGCTCCATGGATGAATATTAATCCTTAACTCTCCTGTGCACAAAGGAAAGAACTTTGCTATCACGATATTCAGGTCCAAGCAATCCCAATGTAGTTTTTTCTTTTAATAGACGTAGTACACAAGGACTCTTCTTTATTACTGGGTGGGTGGGGGGGGTTCTATTGTTATATGAAGGGTAGAGCTACACTGAAAGGCAACGGGTAATGGATCAAATTGGGGTGCGACAAATGTACATTCTCATCCATGTTTCATTTCTACTTCAAATGTATGACTAGAAGAACATACTGGGTACAGTTCATGCCAACCCATAAGCTACAGTGGGTTGGTTGTTCTAGGGTTGTTCTAAGGTGTGTCTGCATAGGTTGTGTGCCCCCTTTCCCCCTCAGTTTTCCTGGGCACATTCCTGGGGAACCCACAGCAGGATCTCCTCCCTGCCATGATCACAAGCCATTCTTGTCTCCCTCTGTTTTTTTCCCCACCTTTCCATTTTGCAGAGATCATGAAGTCCAGCTTGACAGCCAGCTTTGATAATCCCCATATTGACAGCCCTGGCAGCTCCTTTGAAGTGTCCAAGCAGCACCTTGGAGAGGCTGTTAGTAGCTGGCAAACAATTATATGTCCACAGACACCCTAAGTTTTATTTAAAAGCAAACACACACCTAGCCAGAGTTGCAAGAGTGTGAAAACTGGGGCCCTCAGGGGGCACTGTTGAGGGGAGAGCTACCTGGGTTTTGAGAGAAGAAACTGGGTTTTGAGAGAAGAAACTAGGGTTTGACTGGGACATGAGACTCTTCAGGCCATTTGGAGAGGTTGTTCAGCAGCAACAACAAAGGATCAAGGGAGAAGAAGCAAAGGCAAGTCAAAAAAGGGCTCTCGGTCCTGACAAAGCACCCTCAGTCAGTGGCAGACTCCTCAAAGTGCCACTTGGGCACTTGTGGGGAGGTGGCACTGGTGGCCTAGCCAGGGCGAGTTTGGCCATAGTGGCAAGGAGGTGCTAGTACCAGTCGTTCACCCTGCTCAGATGACATGGCAACCCATCATGGGTACAGCAACCCCAAGAACAACCCATGGGCTCTCAGGATGGCTTGTTGACATCAAACAAGCACACTGTGAGAATTGGTCCCGATTCACACCACATGACAACACATCATGGGCAACAATTCATTATTTAAGCCATGTTGTGTTGTAGCATGAGCTAGCTCTTGAATATTCAAGCCATAACTGTGGCATGCTGTGTTAGCCAAACCCAGTGGTGGTGGGCTGTTAGCATGGATAGCATACCACCCGGCAAACATGGGCTATTTTAAGGTTGCTAAAGGATAGTTTGCTCACCATGCCAATAAGCCACCTTTGCCAGGTTAAGATGATATAAACCACAGTTGTGGTTTGAATATTCAGAGTGGCTTCCTGCATACCTCACAGCTCACTGTGGCTTTCATAACAGTGACTATGTTATTAAACATCAGTTTGTAGCATGTCAGAGTCACTGAGGGCATAATCCTGTACAAGTTTAAGCAGAAAAAAGGCCTAGAGTTCTCAGCATTACCCAGTCAGCTATGATTTTTTTCTGTCTAAAAGTGAATTGCATTGTACCTTTACCCTGCAAACCATTATACATTTAACTGGGAATAAACTCCATTGATTCCAATTGCTTCTGAGTAGACTGGAATAGCATTGCACTGTTAGATACCCCAGTAACTTATTCATATGCGGCGAATCTTCCCAAATAGTAACAGCTGCCCGAAAGGCCCTTTGGAGGGTAACATAGAGGTTCAGAGGGTTTTGTCCTGTGTTGTCTCCAAACTACCATTCTTCCCCACTCTCCTGGCTTTTCGAAAGCGTATAAAAACACAGCTTTTCAGTTTTGTCGGTTAAAAAGTGTAGTGCTTAATGATTTTGGGTGCAATACCTTCTCCACTACCACCTGCAGTGGTTACAAAGTCCAGGAACAGTTTTTCCATCTGAGTTTTTTCTTGGTCAGGCTGAGGTTAAGAAATGAGAGAGAGAGAGAGAGAGACAGCGAGAGAGAGAGAGAGAGAGCCTTGTAAGTCCCATGGCCACTATCAGTGCCCACCGAATGGATCAGAGATCCTTTGACATACATCCACAAGGAGGAGCTCCCAAAACCTGTCTTGTGGGAGACTATACCAAGTCACCCCAAAGGCTCCCTTGCTTTTACCTATAGGGCCAGCCCAAGACATCTGCTGCCTGAGAGAGAAAACAAGATGGCGCCTGCTGCTTTGTCACTTCCTCATTTTTGCCAGCGGTGGGTGACTGCTATCTTTCACTAGCCTCGCAGGTAGCCATCAATTGTGCTGTTGGCCATGGGCATCTCTTTAAATATGGATCTTTGGAGCAACTCGGTACTGAAGCATTCACAAGTGCAGGCAGGAAGGACAGCCATGACCCTCTTTCTTTGGCTTCCTCCAGTAGCATTCCTTCCACATGAGAAAGAGATGCCAGTCACTGGACCAATTCTGCTCTGGGAAGTTTCTGTCTTAGTATAAAATAGTAAAATTGAAAAAAAGAAGCTTGAGGAACTCATCCCTTGTCCCAGCTGAAGCACCCAGGTGTGGTTATCCATCCCACCTGAAATTCTCCTCAGAGGTAACTGTTTGCATTGAGTGCACGTAGAAATATATAATGAACCTGCCTGGTTGTTCACCTGTGACTGTCCAGTGATTTGACTGGCTGAGGGTTCCACTGACACTTAATTTCAATTAATTGGAGAAATCACAGATACTCCTGCCCCAAAGAGTGTCTGGTGTCCAGTAATAATGTTGTTATGCAGCCTTATCACCAACACTAAATCTTTTTGTCCATATGCGTTTGCCCTTTTACAGCCACATCACACTGTTGACTCATCTTTGGCTTATGTTCTGCAACAATTCCAAATTGCATGGGTGATTCTGGGCCTTGTTCAAAGTGTTAGTGATGACTGGTGAAGTCCTCCACGTACAGTAGCAAGCAACCTCCAACCTTTTCAGACCCAAGACTCACTTTTGGCAGAAACACACTGACTGCAACTGCCATATATTTGTATGTGCTGCTGCTGTTACTGCACCTCATATGTAGAATTACTCAGTGCAATGGTGTCAGCCAAAGTGTTTCACCTCCACCATTTGTAATACATTTTCTTTCCAGCAGCTATGATGGCTATGAAATCAAGTTTCTCTTGGTGCTGAAAACTGGATTCAAAGGAGCTGTTCAGAGTGATGCGGGTGGGGCTCAGATTGCATCTTCCTTTGAACTCAGTCCTTTGGGAGGTTACTTGAGCATTACTTCCATATCAGCCATTTTGTGTCGATGCCCAGGACAGCTTTTCACAGGATCAAATGTGCTCAGTTCTAGTTTACTCCTGCCAAAGACCTCTTGGTTGCAGACCGACAGTGTACGCCTCACATTCACACATCCTTTTATATGTTACCTTCCCACACACACCCCTCCGTTTTTTGAGTACATTGTTGTAAATCTGTTTCAGTGGTACTTCAATGGCACAAGAATATTATATGCATACCATGGTACACTTAGCCAAATGAGGCATGCCCTACAGGCTAAAATATAGTGCTATTCCCACAAGTTTCCCTGTGGGCTGCTGGGACTGGGAATTTTACTGACTGGTTGACCTTTCTGTCAAAGGATTTGAATGAGTGATTAAAAAAAAATACTTGATTGATCATGGTCATTGTCATGATGGGTGCTGAATATGTATATCAAATTCAGAAAGCCAATACTGTAGCTGCGTGAAAAAGTTGGAGGTTTTGAAGGATGCTTTGCCAGACTGTGTGTGTGTGTCTTTGCGCGTGGTGGTGGGAGAGAAATGAATTCGGGAAAATCCACAAGTAGACAACTCTTTAATTTAAAACCTGCTGGCTGGGTTTGCATGACACAACAAACCATGGTGATTTCTTACCCTTATTAGTCTGTGGAGTCATCCAGACCCAGGTGTGGTGTTTCTGCATGATACTTTTGGTTTCCCAAATCCATACAGCCTGTTCTAAGGTTTCCGCACTTCAGTGTGTCTTCTCTAAGTGTCTGTATAACCAAGCACCATTACATGGTCATTGGTATGGCAACACCATAGAGTCCCATGGAAAGACTGGCCACTCCGCCACTCTACTACCCACAATGCCCAAGCAACACTCAGGTCATCCCTTACTTTGCTCCTATTAGGCTTATGATCTGCCTGCCTCCCTCTTGGAAAATTGCAAGAAAGCAGGTAAATATTTGAAACACAGTGAAAGTGTTTAGTGAGATCTAATAAAAATTCCTCTGGGAAGTGTTGCAGATGCAGGTACAATCAGGAGTGGGGAGGGGGAGAACCCACCTCCAAACCTCAATGGGCCACTCAGGACCAGGCTGCTGAGGTGCATACGAAGCCATAGCATAAGGAGAGCGATTTTGCTTGCAGAGGCTGCTGGGATACATGAGAAGGCTGGGAGGGGCATGGAAAACATGCAGCCCATGGAACTACATGATCGTCTGGAGGGCAAGTCCAGGCAAAACCCTGTGTGCTGCAGAAATTGTGTTTTCAGTGATGTGCAAACCAAGTACCTGAGCAGGGCCACACCCGGCATTCATGGCAAAGTGGAATCCAAACCAGGGCACGGGTCAGCTGGTTTTTACTGGTTTAGCAATATTGGGGTGGGTGTGCTTAGGGCTCCCTTCTCTCGGCTCAATAGCCAGGCCTGGAGCCACTAGGATTGATGCCCCAACTCATTCCAGCTGTAATTCCCATGGCACAGAGTCCTCATGTTCAAAAAGTGCCATCAGTGGGAAAGGTGATCCTGCTTGAAAGGGCCAATTCTTCCTTTTGGGCTGCATTCTAGTATTAGGGAGAAAATTTAGAAATGCCGGTGAATAAACTTATGACCACAGAGGACGTGACAGAAATGTAGTTCTACCAGCTCCTGCCTCACCCCCCTGCCTTCTACAAAACAGTGCCATTCACATTACTTGCTGCTCTGGCCTCATTTATTTTATCCTGGCTATCAGGTTACAAAGCTGTCATTAAACAAAGAAAGGCAGGGCGGGGGTGGGAGAGACAGCATCTCTGTTTTAATATATCCCATTGCAAGATTTGTTAATAGAGAGTATTTGTTAATACAGAAAATTCATGAGTATCCAAGAGATGACCCAGATTCACAAAGGAGAGAAAAGAGTTTATTGGCACTAGAGGACAGAGGGGGGTGGAGAAAGGACATAGAGGGCCAGGACTGGGAAAGCCTGCATCAGCCTGTACAGCTGCCATGTAAAATGAACTTTTCCTCGTGTATTGCACATGGCCAGGATGGTGGTGGCTTACACAGCAAGATCGTGGCAGATGTGAGACTTCCACCAAGGACCTCCAGGTTCACAGCTCAGTCTCTTAGCCCCTCTACTGTATGACCGAGCCTTGTAGTTCATAACAGAGTGTGGGGCTTGTAGCTCTTAGGGAGAAAAACACCAAAACCTGCCACTGTGTAGGCTGCTTCAACATGCATGGTTCCCCGCTTTCTGCAGATGGGATTAAAAAGACAGATGGCTCATCTTTCCTGCATATATATACAAAGCTGCCTGGGGATTACCTGGAAGACACCAGGTTGGGGAAGGCTGGACTATTGATATAACACATATAAAGCATTCAAAGCACTCTTAAAAGTGCTACATAAATCAAGATGCAGTCTGCAGAACACAGGTTAGAGGTTTCTGATCTAAATTATAATAATTTGGACTCAGGGTTTAGGGGCTGTTCAGGTTCTAAACCTTGGGAATTCTGATGGTATCTACTTTCATCATGGTTGAAATAAGAGGCAGAAGTGAGCTGGACCACCAATTCAGAGTGTGTATCTACCACTAGTACTAAAAGTAGTTGACTGACATCTAGTCACCTTCTTGTTCTAGAACTTAGAGAAAATACTTGGGTGTAAAACAGACCGAGAGGAAAGTCACAATTCTATCTTCTCATGTCTTCAAATAAGGCATGTACTGGCCTTCTTATTGTCCTGTTAATGTTAAACAGCAAACCATGAAAGAGCAATTTTATGAAGGGTACCAAAGAAAAGCCTATTATATGAATGAGCAAAATCAGTTGTAGGCCTCTGGAGGCAGCTGCATGGGCAGAGCATGTAATTAAAACCAAGAGACTTCTTAAGTTTGCCAAAACTCATTCCAGAATATTCTTGGTGGGAAAGAGAAACGACTACCAAAAGTGAAGGTCCTATATCCAAGAACAGGAGCTATGCTCACACCTGCATTCACAGAAATACAGAAAAAGTGTAAATTACCATTGTATTTCGATAGATGGAATGCTTTAACAGGGGTTACAACTGTTGTCTATTGAACTGGGTTGTCTAAAAACTAATTTAAAGCTTGGTAGCAAAGATTCATAGGATAAAATTGGAGTTTTGGTGAAAGTTTACTTTAGCTGAGGAGACTGCTAGTTAACTGTTTCTGCAGGAACTCTTGCTACGAAAAACCAAGCTTTTTTCAGGTTATGTGCCTACTGCAGTTATATTTGACTAGTAATACTGTGTAAGTAGGCACTTCCCATTAGTTAAAGAGTTGAAGATGTAGTGAAAGGGTCATGGATGTAGTATGTAAAACACTTGGGTTAGTACTAAGCATTTCTCAGTTTTATTTGCTGTTTCAGTAGTTTCCTGCAATCTCACATATGTAATGTTATCATACAATATCGAAGCTGATTTGTTTATTCCCAAGCTTAAACTGAAACAACCTGAAGTCTGTGCCCATCTGTGGCTACTTTGACTACCATTTTTGATAACAAAGCAGGTACAAATCTAATCAATAAAGATGGCCCCAAGGACCAGTTTGCACATATGGCATAATAACCCATGGAGAGTTCAGATATACTTCCTGGAGTATACCAACCACCTCCATTTTAAGTAAAAATCTAAAATCGGCCAGGTCATAGGTTGAGTATGACATATGAACCCAGAGCACTGGGTTGTTTAGGGGCTAGAGAACCCAGTGGTTAACCCATCAACAAATCATGGATTAACTTCTGACCCATTCCATTCCTAAACAGCTCCTTTCATCTGGGTTTGTGCATCATGCCCAACAACCTATGAACAGGTCAATCATAGGTTGTTAGACACCTGGCAGTGTACCTGCTCTTTTCCACCTGTTCCCAACAGTTGTTTAACTCAAGGCTGTCATTATGTGCAAACTAGTAATATAATGTATTATCTTCAAAATTCAGTAAGTTGAGATTTCAGCCTGTCTGGAATTTTCCTAATGAGGTTTCTATGATACCCTCCCCAAACATAGTAAGCCCCAAATGTATTGAGACTACAGCCCCCACCATTTCCAGCCAGCATGACCAGCGAAGTAGGTGCATACAACCAACTCTGGCACAGTAGACTCCTCAGCAATCTCCTCTGCTTGTACACACACGAGAGCACTGGGTTTCTCCCAGGGCACGAAGATTAGGACCCAGGGGCTTGGCCAGTGGCCCAGCAACATGGTCTGAACATGCTGCAGAATCCTTTGCTGTGCAAAGGACAAGGCAACAAATAAGCAGAGGTGCAGAGCCACAGAGCCAGAGACCAGTGGCTGCCGTGTGGAGATTTCCAGGTGATCCCAGCCTCCTTCCCCCAACCAGCGAACGTGGTTTCCCAGCCTCGGTGCATTTCTCCTACCATTCTAAAAAACTCAGTTAGTGGCAGGAAGAGTGTCAAGTTAAATAACTGGTTTTGTTCCACTTTGCCTTCATCCCTACCCACCACTGGAATGCAGCCCCTGAAAGATTTTCTAAAATGAAATTTGACCCTTGGGCTAAAATTGGTTCTGTGCCCCTGGTGCAAACGTTCCTTGAAAGTAAGAAGTTTGAAGATCACTGTTCTGATTGCTCCAGATATGCAAGGTATTGAGAAATCAAACACTGTGATTATATCCCTGGGGAGAGCATGGAGACTTTGCAGTCTTTGATCTATGAAGAGCAAGTTTAGTGCTACTGCAATGAAGGTTTCTTACATTTGTCGAATGCAGAAGGATTGAGGCCCGCTTCGGGGTCAGTCGGTCCATGATTTTGAAGCTCAATGTAATGGGAGACACCTTAAAATAAATATTCATTCATGTGGGTCAACCAAAAAGCAAAGCTTCTGAAACATTTAAGCGAACTGAAAATTAAGCTGATGATGATTGGTGCAATTGAAGGAGGCTACATAAGGAACAACGCAGCACACACATAAAATAGAATCTGGAACTTTTAATTGGTTGATGCTGAGGAATGTGGGAGGAATCTCTTTCGAGGTCAGCCTTACACACAAACTCCTCTCTCTTTCCTGTATTTAAAAGCCACTGTCAAAGCAGCAGGTATCATGCATTTAAAATGAACAATATGGGGTGGCGTAATTAAATACATTATCTGTAGGTAAGAATAATAGATGAGGAGAGGAAGCAGCAGCACCAGGACTCACTAGCCCTTCTAAAATGAAGCTCATTTGCAGGGGCACTGCAGTGACCAGCTTTCTACCCCGTCATGCTCTAGAGGCTGAGGTGCGGTCCCTTTTGCACGCTCTTCCAAAGCAGCACGCTCCTCGCTGGAAGCCCACTTCACACGCCTAGTTTATTCGCTTGGGTGAGGACTACTTTCAGCACAGGCATGAAGGCCGATGTCTCACTGAAATTGCTAGTACTGACAATGTGGGTGTGGATGTTCAGCCCCTCCACGTAGTTCCGTGTTTCGATGCTCCTGGCAATGTTGTGCAGGCCATTGATTATCGTTGGGGAGAGCTGGAGGAAAGAAAAGGGGGAAAAGCGTATGGAAAAGAAATCTCCTTCGCATTCAAGGGACTGTTGCTTAACCTGGCTTCACCCTGGCATTCGAGGCACCCAACTGTAGAGACCACAAAACCGCCTTCAATGGATTTGGGAACAGATTCTGACTCACGCAAGGAAGAGGCGCTGGCATCTGCAGCTGAGCAATGCAGAGCAGTGGACTCAGAGATATGCCAGGCGGTAGCTGAGAGTCGATAAGGTGCAGCCACCATAGGAAGATAAGGTGACCCAGTTGATGGAGGGAGGATCAGTCACCACAGATCCTAGGGCTGGACAACAGCCGAAGAGGGCAGACTAGCTGGGAGGTGTCAGGTGTTCTAAGCACTTGCTTGACCCTTGGGCACAAGGATCCGCCTGAGGAGCACATGCTGGTAATTTGAGTTTGGAAGGGAGGAGCAGTGGTCAGTTTGGAATCAACTTCTAACCAAGAAGTCACATCTCCTTAAAGGCTATTATTCAAACTATGCTTGGTTCTTTTGCTAAGGACTCCTGTAATGTACTTCATTTGCACTGTGAAGCCAGTCAGATTGGCTTGCATCAACTTGAAAAAACTTGCATTAGTAAGCCTTGGTTTGGGTTTGCTTGGAAGAAGGGAGAAAAGTAGGGCAAACACTGTAAAGCAGGAGTAGAAAAAGTAGTACCCTCTAATGCTTTGGATTACAACTCCCACAATCCTGGACTATTTCCATGCTAGCTGGGATGATGGGATTTATAATTTAAAACATCTGGAGGGCACCTGATCTAATGCTTGCTCCAAGTGGCCATTTCACAAATCTGCCCTTGTCAGAAGCAGCTGCTGCTGGGAGCACAGAAATGGCTTCCTCAAATGCAGAATGCTTGCGAAGACCAAGGGCAGCAGGTTGATGTGAGGTAGTGGCACCAGTCCTTCCCCCCTTCCTATGCAAGCACGTATGGGCCTGTCCCTGCTCCAACGGGACACCGGTGCAAGACATCATTCCAGGGCATCCCATACGCCTCTCAAGCCACACTGTGAAGGAATATTGTGAAATGCGCTGCTGAGAAAGCTGAAGGCAGCCGCTTTCGGGACAATGAATTATTTGGGGTGGGGGGGGGGTGTCTAAGTGTTGTCCCAAACCATGTTTTCAGTCTTCACGGGAGAAAAGACTGGACATACTTCTTATGCATGGCAGATCGGTGAATCAGTGGTTGTATGGCACTGTGGATATGCGTAACAGGGCTACTCAGAGGCGACTCAGTTCTGAGGGTTGGCTGCTGTGGGCCGGGCTACTCCTTGTTGCTTCGTCTTAGTTTGCTTGGCTGCCACGGAGGTGGAGGAGTGGTTGGGATGGACCAGCTATTAGTGCGATTTACCAGGAGGCGCTTCTGCTCCTAAAAGGGGTCTGATGAGTTATGCAGTGACCTGGGACCGAGAGACGTCCTGATCTCACTACACCCCCAATTTGCCAGCATTTAGCTCTGCATTCAAAAACTGTCCCCTGATGACATTGGCATAAAAAAGGAAGCACAAATCCACTCCTAGGAATGCATTTAACTTTCTCTTCAGAACATCCCTGGGGGATTCTACACGATAGTTCAAAGTAAGGATAATAAAGCTGAAAATACATAAACATCTAAATACAAAAGGAAGTTGTTCTATGGGGGACGTTTTGCGTGTGTGGTTGGGAGACCTCCTGGGAACTCTTGAGAAAGCTGCTGAGACGAACTGTAAAACACAAGGGTAATGCACCACAGAAACAAGTTATGCTTACTGTCTGATCTCGAAGTTTATCATACAGAGACTCCAGGCGTTTGTTGGCATCATCTAGTTTTCTTTTAGTTTGCTACAGGAGAGAAAAGAACACAGGACGTTACAGTAGACATTTGTCTCACTTGACTGGTGCAACACCCGAGTCTTATTGGTATGTACTTTAAAATGCACGCAGTGTACCCATAGTCTAACAGAAGGGATCACCTGCTTCTTGCACTGGACACAATGCTGCCTCTTCTGAGCTCCCTGGTCCTCTGCATGGGGATCTGCAACTTTACCCTCGGAAGAAAAAACCCCCTGGGCATCAACACTGGAGCAGGGAGCCAAATGGTGGCTAGCTGAAGGGGAGCAGAATCTCTGGCTGCGTCATTTCCCCATCTTGACTGCCCAGCCATCGTGTATTTAGGGAATGTGGCCTTGCTCCTTTTGCATGCGTCATCGGGCCCTCCCTGCCAATTCTATCCCTGATATTGTGGGGAAATATTCTAAGGTCCAGGAAAAGGCATTGATGTGTTGCGGGAGAGTATAGTTCTGGAAGTAAAAGGGGACTTATTGGCAGGAAATTTCTGAAGGTGACCAGCCTAATCTTTCTGGTGCATCCAATCACATGGCCTAGTTACTGAGCCCTGCTCAGAAAGTAGCCCAACAAAGGGGTTTTTCACTGTCCTTTATACAGCTTTTTTATGTTTCAGGATGGGAAAAATTCAAATCCAAGTAATTTCTCCCACCCTCCCTCTCTCTCACACACCACCCAGTAACAGAGGTTCTTTTCTCATCCCCTGCCCCTGGGCCCAGGCAGCATCCAGCGCTGTCCACAAGCAGAGAGTCTCTCTTCCCTGGCAGTGGCAGAGCAGAATCTAGCAAGCTCACAGAGGGAAGCAAAGCACAGAAGCAACTCTGGTTGCGGCTGCTCTTGCATCTGTTGGAGAGCTGCTTGTTCTGACCTTCATGAGGGGAAGAGCAGACGCACCCAAACTCACCTAGAGCTCAGGACGACATTTGGAAGCCAGGGACCTGCCAATCCAGGTCCACCCTAACCCTAACCCCTGCTCCTGTTGAGCTGTACACCAAAACTGGGAGGCACAGGAGCAGGTAAAAATGCTCATAAGCAAAGTCACCGCCTTTTTGACCCCTGCTCTGGCAAATTTATGGTCAGAAATTCACGGGGCCTGCATAGAAGGTTGGGTGGTGGAGCAGGATCCAACATACCACCTCTTGCTCACCCCTGCTCTGGAAGGTTCTTTTGGGTGGAGGGAAACGCCATCTGTCTTCCCCTCTGAGGTCACTCCCACACCCTACAAATTCCCACTATGCTCAAACCAGGCCATTAGTATTTGCTGTCAGCTCTGCCCAGCCCAGAAGCCTTTATCTCAGACCACCTACTTGAGATAAGTTAGCTTAACGCTTCCCACCCTTGGACCCAGACACTGGCTGCCATAACCCCTGCTTAGCTAACCTTCTACTGTAGTGTCTGTTTGTCTGTCTGTCTGTCTGTCTCTGTCTCTCTCTCTCTCTCTCTCTCTACCATTTGGCTTGGAAGTGCTCAACTTAAATGGGAGCTGCTCTTGCAGTTGGGAGCCCAGCTGAAGCTGTGTTCTCCCACTGCCCAAATCAAAGGGGAGCTGGAATTCTCTCTTTCAAGCACTTGCCTGGCTGGTGGTTGGAAATCATTTCTGGGGACTCACTACAGAGGGATGTATGCCACCAACTTTGAATTGGTCATTACACTATTCAGACATGTTTTCGTCTTTTAAAGGCACAGAGCACTGCAGCCATATGAAAGACATACCGGATCTGTAGCTGAAGAGAGGCATCTCTGGATCAAAGCTTCAAAGGTGGTCTTTAGGACAACATGCTCCTCAGGAATGGGCTTCTTGGTTATCTTCTCCGTTGGCAAGGACTGCACATGCTAAGAGAGAGGAACAGTGACTTACCAGGCTGTTCCCTGAAAGTCCCCTGGAAAGTAAGTCCTATGACTTTCACTGGGACTTATTCCCAGAACGTCGTGTACAAGACTGCAGCCTGGAACAACGGAGTTCTTTTATTCCTAATCTTGCTTCCCAAATTGAAAGTGTACGGACTAGTCTTCAATGCCCATCCTGGCTGTTTCCAGGATCAGGCCAAGACATTTTGGTGCCTGAGCAAAGAGACCTGTTCTCCATTCCCCCCAGTGAGTTCCTCCCCCACTCCCAGATTTGCCACCTAACAGTAGGACCAGCAGAAAGACAAACGAGTGTGTCCTAGAGCAAATAAATCCAGAGCTTTCCCTGTAAGCAAAAATGACAAAACTGAAGCATATCATGAGAAGGCAAGGCTCACGGAGAAGATAATCATGGTAGGGAAGGTTTAAGGCAGAAGGAGAAAAGGAGGATGCGTTGACTCCATAAAGGAAGCCTGAGTTTACAAGTGGTGAGCAGGGCTGTCTCGGGGCACTTTCAGTCATAGCCCTGACTACAGACCATCCATAGGGTGGCCGTCAGTCAGAGATGACTTGGTGGCACTTCAGGACACCAGCAAGACCAGCCATGCTGGCACTTGAGAAAACGCAAAATGGACAAGTGCCTTCCTTTGCTTATCATGGGAGAACTGTATCCTGCAGAGCAGCTCAAAATTCTGCACTCAGTGCCTTTGAATCTGCATTCAGTTACGGAGAAGGAAAGCATTAACTTCTGTACAAAACACCAATATGTTCTAGTTAAAATCAATTGTGCTCAACAAATTCGGCTTGCTTTACAATGAGGCTGAGAGAAGCCAGTATCTCCCACAACATAGCAACCCACCCTCCCACATGGCTCTCCCGAGCCATCACTGATGAATCATTTGCTTTCGCTGCCAGCCTACTAAGCCAACGGATTATTGCTTAGTGCAATGCCCCAAAGACCTCCCACAGAACAAGTGGGAGAAGCAGCAGCAACCTCCCGTGCACACGGAGAGCAGCTGTTTCTCCAGGGTTCCTCTGCAGCTTGGGGAGGCATCAAGAGACCGAACCAGATGATGGCCTCCCCACTCATGAGGAATGCTGCATGCACGCCTGCCACTGAGAAGGAATTGCCTGGATCAGGGATGGGGAGCTGAAGCCCTCCAGATGTGGCTGGAATGTAGTGCCCCTCACCTCTGACAACTGACCAAACTGGCTGAGAGCAATGGGAGCTGGGAGTCCATCAACATCTGGAGGGCCCGGGTGGACCTCGTGCCTTGTAGCAGGAGCAGCCCGACAGGATAAGCAGCTATGAGTGGCTCTTTGAGGGGACAAAACCGAGGGCCAATTCCGGAGTTCTGCATTTGCCTACGCTCTCCTTCCCAGCCACGCGACTCTCCCTGACAGCTGACTGGTTAGTGGTTATCTGGCTTTAATGCAGCTTTGACCCCCTTCTAAAAGTCTGACAAGTACCCTTTTAAGGTTCAATTGCTGGCAGCAAGAGGTAAGCTAAAATAGGCTGGCATTTTGTCCTCAGCCTTTGGCTCTGCCCCCTTCTGACGGTTCATCACATGCTGTGCTAGCTGGAAAAGGCTTTGAGGGATGAACACCATTCCCCAATCTGCTTCAGGAGTCCGGGAAAGCAGGGCTTGGGCAGAAGGCAGCAGCTGTCCCTCGTACCCCACCGATATCCCGGCTGTGGCTGTTTCTAATCGAACCTCTGTCATGCTCAGTGCCGGCACCGGTTTTGCTTACCCATGGTGTGGAGCAGAGAAGACCCGCCCAAAGCCCAGCTTGCCCCACTCGCCAAGGCCCTGGGGATGCTCACAGAGGCAGTCCATCTCTCTTGCTCCACTTACGAGGAAAGAGGGTGCACAGCTGCTTCCCTGTCATGCAAGCCGCCAGGCAGGAGCCAAATATTGCTCCCTAGGACAGCATGCTGCAGCAGCTGTTCTGAGAAAGCAGCACACCCAGAGGGAATCCGGGGCACATTCTGCAGGGGCCAAGGTTCTGGGATAACAGCAATGTCCCCTGCTGTCTTCACTGGCGTGATTCATGACAGGTCTGCATTCAAACAACTCCCTCTCTATGCTGATTTCAGCCACTGTGGAAAAATTACCCGTCTCTCAAAATGCTGCAGAGAACAGTTATTCGTGGCAGGCTTGCGCATGTAGTTCCCGCAATACACGTTGCACACAGGATCCCCTACGGGGCCCTGATACACTCCCGGAATCCAGAGGGAAGGCCTCTCCCGCCTCTTACTTGTATGGTATTGCCAATGGGAGCTCCCGGTGCTCCTTCCATGCTAGGTGTGGATGCAGCAGGGGTCAGGATAGTCTGGCCCCCAGGCTGGGGAATGCTGTGGAAAGGGCTCTGCAGCACCGGCTGCCCTGGAGGAAGGTGCGAGGGCTGAAACGGGACTTGTGTTGCAGGCGGGGCTGAAGCTTGAGGCTGCTGCTGAAGCTGAGCCTGCGGGTCTTGCAGGGGGTTCATTATTGGAGCTGTGATGGGAACAGGAGGCATGAAGTTGTCGGGTACCTGAGGAAGAGGAAGCAAAGTAAGAAAGCGCTTGATTTCTCATGTCAGACAGTCATGCAAACTGTAGCATTTGCATTTACTACCCAATTTTGTTATTAGCAACATTAGAGGAGGGCCTTTTTTAGACTAATGAATGAATGGAGGGTCAAGCCTTAAAAAATTTCCTAAAAGGTGGGGTGATGTTAATGAGAAACCCCTTCTTTCTGACTGCCACCCATATGATGGCAAAGAGCAAAGAATCCTAGAGAAGGCTCTCCAAAAATGACCTCAGTACATGGGAATTTCCCCCTAAATTACCTTCTTTTTCTTTGGGACTCTGTTCAAGGCAGGAGGATCATTCCAGCCATTCTGAGGTCCTGCAACAAGAACAGACAATATCAACAGCATGTCCTAGAAAATCAGGGCAGGGAAGAGATAAAAACTGGTCTTTTGCTACTTGCAAGTTATTATTTCATCAAGGTCAAGGCAATGCACAGGATGAACATGTTTACATTTGCAACATTAATGCAAACATCACCCCTTCCATGTATCCTTGGCCTTGTTCTCTCAGCCTGCATCTCCAAGTGAAAATAACTCCACCTACATTGTCTGCATTTATGCACATCTGACAATGTGACCCTTTCCTCCCTTCCCCCGTCAAAATGTAGATTACATACCTCTTGGAAAGGGGGCGAGTGTGGGAGAGAGAGAGAGGGGTGGGGCTTGCTTATGCTACTCTGCAATCTACAGTACAATGTAAACTGATAAACGGATCAAAATTATTAAAATGGATTCCAATCATTAGCGCGCAATGCATTCTGACAAAAGTGGCATTGATTTAGAAATAAATTAGCACGCACAATTATAGTTATTTTGTATTTATAATTATAGATGATTATTATTATGATTCTTTGCTTGCTGACCAAAATTAAAAATGCTAGAGATTTGTTTTGAAAGTTGTTAACAAGGGACAATACCTTGGAATACTGCATTAGGAAGGGAACCTTGTATGGCTACAGCACCAACCCCACGTCACAGCGGCTTGTTTTTAAGTACTGAAAAGTACACGCTTGGAACGTGAGAAAACCAAAGCAAACAAACGAAGGTGGCCATGCTGATTCACGGAAAAAGGAATCTAGAATCCTAGTTGGGCGATATTTTTATTTGGACCAAGGTGTGTGAAATGCTTCGAGTTGTCCAAAACTCTTCAAAGGCGAGCTGATCCAAAAGGGAGAATTAAAGGAACCTAAGACACAACCAGAAATATGAAGAATAGGCCAGATACTGTGGACCATAAAGTTTGCAGTTTAGTCTGCATCTGAAAAAGGAGGCTGTGAACTGTAAGGATCAGCAACTGGTAGGCTGTTAGTATCAGAATATCTCTGCTTATTTACCCTGGAGGATTATTCACCAGCTGAGGTTTCAGTGTAGTTGGAATGTTTTATTTAAGGCTGAAATCAGCAACCAGTAGAAGATGCTAAAGGAGAGCACATGGTTTACATGCATTACTTACTGCTCAGCTCAATTTGACTTTCTCTGCCCACACTTTTTGAGTGCAGAGAGTTTAAAAGGGGAACTAGATTTTGCTGCATCAATACAAGAGAATTATTAGGCTCTTGCAAACTACAAATCCACAGCAGTGACAACATAAAAAAACAACCCTGTTCAAATTAAACTGAGAAGATCAAAAAAGCAAAGCTGCTGTAAACATGCTTATTGTAATAGCCTTCTAAGACCTACAGCTGTTTGGCACAAGGAGCATTTAACAGCCAGTGAATTGGCAAATCTTGCCACCTGAATGTATAATAACCTGATGCAAAAGATGCTGCTTCTCCTTGTCTTTAAAGCTCAAATGCCTTGAACTCGAGCATCTGGAAATGTCACCCCACTCCCTTCAATGGAGAAAAGAGCTTCACGCCTGCATGTGGAATGCATATACACAGGTGCTTCCCGGAGAGATAAATGCGCAGAAGCTCCATGTACACATTGGCCCACTTTGTATGTAAAGGTGAACCCACGATTTGCTGGACATGAGCGGGTGAGAATTCACTGCCTCTTATGCTCCTTACTTCTCCTTTCATTTATGACTTTCAAGAGACATGACTGTAGGCAGCTCTTGTGATCGCTAAACTTAGGCACTCTGGGTTGTTCAGCAGTTAAGCCAGGGTTAACTTTCAATCTGTCCTTGGGTTCCAAAAAGTGGCTCCTGAGAAAGCCCTTCAGAAAATGGAGGCGAGGATGCACACGCCATGAATTTGCAAGTGGCAGCAATAGACCTTGGCGTAACTGAGTATTGCTCAGGTGCATGGAGAGCCTCCTCACCTGTGCCCGTGGCATAACAGCCCTGTGTCCAGCTCAACACAAACGATGCTCACCTGAAGCAGTGAAAGCCTTCCACTGATACTGCTAACTGAGCAAAGCCAATCACCACTGGAGTTTGTAACCACAGCCTTTGAAGTTCAGCAAAGTGCCGTCACCATTTTCTGAAAATCTAGGTTCTAGTCAATTCTGCTTCTAGAAATTTGAGAAACATTTCCATAGGACTCTGCAGCTAACTTGCAACTAAAGGAAAGGCTGTGTGTATGCTCAGAACTGAGTATCAGGCATAGGATTATTCTGTGGCCTGAAACTCTGTTTTGTTGCTACTGTGTTGTTTTTTAAAAGCATGATTCTAGCCTGCACGACTGAGGAAAATGTGCTGACAGTGGGTGAGCGATGTTTGCTTAAGTCACGGAAGCCAGCTGGGCTGTTGCTTTTCAGTGGTTAAGGACAAGGCTTCAATTCCCTCCTCAGATGAGCAAGATGAAATTTACTCAAAATAGTAAAGACTGCAGAACAAATTGGTGGTGGGACCCTTTGCAGCAAAACTTGAGAGGGGTGCAGGGGAGAGGAGAGCAAGGGGGACCCCTGTTATGAAAGCAGAGGTCTGCTCAGGTGATGCTAGACTGAACCCAAAATAAATAAATAAGTGTAGCATATACACAACCCTAATGGAAGGACAGTGGGAACTATTTCAAAGGTTGGATGACTCAAGCTACTCTGATCCCAAAATATAACCATACTGCCCTATTTGCAAAAAAGGCTTTTAATAATTAAGAGTGTAGATCAGAAAAAATAGTATTTTAGAACATCATTGTAATACATTCTAAAAGTTCTATTTTAAAAGTTGTTCACATCTGTGGTTATAAAGTCCAGCTCTGCTTTTGTCTTGAACTATTTGAGTTGATTAAATATGCTCAAGTATTAAATTTCATTGAATTTAACAAGCATTATTAGCTCGGGGGTCACATGCACTGCTCAAGTCCAATTTGTTAGATATTTCTTTTTGATGCCTCAATGATTTCCATTTTTTAAGGTACCTAATTCACCCAGCAGGATACTGGCTTGATCTTGCATGGATTGATATTCTGCAGACAAAATGCAAGAACAACTCAGGACGTGATAAAAAAAAATCCATTGATGTCTATTATTAATAGCTTCTCAGGGTTTATATAAACCAGAAAACATTTGCAATGATAAAGAGAGCATGCCAGAAAAGTCAATTCTTACTATTTTTACCACCCTGTAAGTCATACAGCTTCAGTTCAAGGGGCTGGAGCAATAACCTTATGAGGAAAGGGTGCGACATACAGAATTGTTTGCTTAAACAACCTGCAGTGATTTGATAACATTTTCTCCATTCAAGGAACCTTTCTACATATATAATAAACCACCCTGGCACAATGGGCAAGGTTCTTGGGGCACCATCTCCTACTCTGCCACCCACAGCCAGGACATCTTGGGGGCACCACGCTGGGGAGGCGGCTGTGTGGCTACACAATGACCTTGCTTGCAAGGCAGCAACAGCCCAGTGCAGCTTATGTAAGCAAGGTGGATACTGAAAAGCTGCATGACAGATGCTGCAACTCACCAAGGCTCATGTAAAACCACAGTGGGCTGAGATGCGTTCCTAGAGGCTGTTAAATAGTCAAGCTGTGAAACAAACCATGGGTTTTGCAAAGGTTGTTCAACCTTGGCTGGGTCTGGGTGTCAAGGCAAGCCTTGTTCGCATGGCTTGAATATTCAACGTGGCCATCTACCTTCGCTTCAGCAAGGCATGGTGAGCTGTTTGACTGTGCGAACTAGAACTAGCCGATTTAGTTCGTATCGGGGAAGTGGCCCAAACTGGAATGTGCCAGACTGGGCCAGCTGCCTTCCTGTGTCTTCTGAAGAACATAGGAAGGTGCCTCACACGGAGCCAGGCCCCTGGTCCATCCAGCCAAGGATTGTTGACAGTGAAGGATTTTGGGCAAGATGCCTTCCTGGCTCTTCTACATGCCAAGCCAAGCCAGTGCTCTAACCATGAGCTACGCCCCTCCCCACTCTTCCTGCATTCATCCTGAGAAGACAATGCCCTGTCTCTCCCAACCACTCCAAATCCTCACATTTGGCCTCTTTCCCAGCTGCTCTATACAAAACTGTTACTGTCTCTGAAGGCTGAGTTAATGGGCTCTTAGCAGAAAGTGCTGGAATTACAATGCTCTCTGTTCAGAGAAGAGGAAATCAAGGGTGTGATAGGGCAATATCTTCTTTGCTTAAAACCTAACTGTCTGACAAATGTCAGTCACCAGGGGATACCTGCCTAATGTGGAGTTTTTCTTTTCTCTTTTTGCTTTTGAATTAGTCCGGCATTCACGGTTATGGAAGCTGCCACATCTCTGACAGGTCAGGTAATTATGTTATTTGCTAAGACCCCTTCCTCCCACAAGCTGAGATATTTTGAAGTGTCGGATGTATAGATCCACAAGGAGACTGACTGCAGAGCCAGACAGGAAAAGGGTGATGGATCTCCGGGTCTCTAAGAAGCCCAGCACATTCATGAAGGATGGGCTGCCAGGGCCTCCCTAAAGCCTGCTCTCTTCCAGACTTCAGGACGGCTTTTTTTGCTGGTCCCAAGCGCCTTGAGCAAACCACATGAAGAAGGGATGGTGGTGAGCACTGGCACATGCTGTAGCCAGTGATTCCTGTTTCACTCACTGGGTTGTTACTGGGAGCCTAGAAACCGTGTCTATCTGTAGCTGATCTGCTTATAAGGCAATTCATTTCAAGTATCTGGTGGTTGTTCTTACGGCTCAACCTGACATGCATCAACCTAGAAGCAACGCCTGCCGATTTCAGTGGTCGCTGGTCCCACGTAGGCGAGTACAGAACTGCAGCCTGTGAACCGAGCACTTGCAAATTGGGGACATTTTGCCATCCTGACTGGGAGCTTTTCATCACTGGTACTCTTCGCAAATTGCATCAAGTTGGTCTACATTCTAACTGTGAAGTTCCCAAGTGCTCTTCTAATCCGTTTTTCTAACACGAAAGGACAACAGCCTTAACAATCTGCCAAGGTTGTGCAAGTAGTGTCATTGCAGCCAAGACATTTTTTAATCTTCAGACATCGTGCTCTCCTCACCCCCTGCTGAAACAAACGCAGTCACCTCTTGTATTTATTCCCTCGCATCAAGGGTGGGAAACTTCCGGCCTGAGCATGACAGTCTCAGAGGGGACACACCCCTTTACCCAGCCACTGATCCTTTGGTGACTTCCTGGCTTTTTCACAGCTTGTTCCCCATCCCAAAAGGCTCCCAGGCTTCTCCTAAGCTTTGTTCCTGGCAGTAACAGTTTTAAGCTACATATGCTATTTTCTGTATTTTTGCCCTACCCCCTACGGCTTCTGGCTTTGCTCACCACTGGAATGTGCCCCACCACAAAAAAACCCCTCCAAAATGGAATTTACTCATACTTAACAAGGTTCCCCAGCCCCAACTTATATATATACCCACACAAAACATCACCCCTGACAAAGTACAATCTCTGCATCTTCTTTTCATGGCATGCTCATTTGTACTAAGATTGAATGACATCGATAAAGAAACAGGTCTGCTACCAGGCATCCAAAGCTGCCCCAGACTAAAAGATTCACTAAATCAGGGTCACAATTGCTCTTTGGTTCTGGGCCACTCATTCGCCATACCATGGTGATGTAAGAGCAAATTATGGGCTTTTAAGGCCCATGAGGTCGTTGCAGGGATATGGGCTACTGGGGAGAAACTACCCACCTCCTGTTTTAGATGCGTTCTGTTGGAAGAATGCAAGGAGGGGATTATGGTTCAAGAGGTGATGTAGCGAACTGTCCTAGGGTCTCAAAGTTCAGGGTCTTACAGACATCATGTTTGGAAGAACACCAGAGATAACTGTTTTCAGCTAGCTCCTCCAATCATTCTGCAGATGAGAGCTGCTTTGGCTGTGAAAATGAAACTGTTTCCTTCACTGAAATAGCTCTGCCTTAGAAAATGGGGTTAGAGCCTGTGAGCATACTGAAACTCTCTGAAAAAGTGGAAGAGAGGTTATTCATAAAATCCATGGCAAGACGCCCTGACCTTTTTGGTTTGGGGAGAACTGATGTGTCACTTGTCCAAGCAACTTTGGAGGCCAACACAGCATTCTTTGGCCTCTTCAAGGAACCAATATGGCCACAAAGAATGGGGCCTGTTGGCTTTATTTTGTTTGTTTATACCGTGTACCCATATTTCATCCCTGTATTCAATAAACTGTGTATAATTTTTGACACAGGTAATTTTGCGCCCTGAAATCTCAGGTGAGGGGCTTTTGCTGGACAGGCCCTTGAGGTTAGAACTCCACTCTCTGGTAGGAAGGGTGGGGGAGTCTCAGGAGTGCTAGGGCACAGCCTGCAAACAATTCTGGGCCATACGAAATGGGAGGGGAGCCAGGTTCCAGTCCACAGCCCTTAGAACAGACAACTCCCTGTCTTTACATGTTGCTGATTTACAGTTGCCACCTTACTGGGACAAGGCACTAATGCTCTGGCTGCTCCTCGATTAGCTGTTTCAGCTCGCCCGTGAGCTGCTAAGGACACAGGATGCTCCTGCTCATGTGAGGATCTGAAGCAGGGGAACGGCCGTTCTCTTCTAATTGCACAGCCGCTTGAGAGTCCTCTCTCCATACGAAGGGCATAGTTCTTAGACTATTTCTGGATGTTGTGACTCACGGTGGGGAAGCTCTAGAGCCATACATCAGCGGATGATGACACTTCTAGAACACCAAAGTGTGACCGAGATGTTGCACTGTTCAGAAAACCACGCCAGCAACACATGCTATATTAGTAATGGTAATAGTAGTATTTAAAATGTTATCCCCCATTCCAAAATGCCAAACCAACCCCCCTGCCCTTCAAGCGCAGACCTGTTTTTTGGGATGCAGCGAGCTCACAGGATGCAGGCTCTGTACCTGTTGGTCCAGGAGGCAGCGCATACGGCATAGAAGAGGCTGGGACTCCTGGCCTGCCATGCTGGAAAGAGGCGCCAGGAGGAGGGGGAGGAGGAAGGGGAGAATTTGGATTCAAGCTTGTTGGAGAGGCTTGGGGCTGAGCTGGGTACAATGGAGAAGGTATGGAACTGGGAGGGTTAGGGGGCATGTAAGAAGGGTTGGGGTTAGCATAGGGGGCTGAAGCAGGAGGTGCAAGAGGCTGCTGTTGGGGCTGATAGAGCGCTGGTCCCCCCGTTCCGAAAGAATACTGCTGTGCTGGCTGACAAGCTACATTGGGAGGGGAAAAAGGAGAACGTTAGTTTGTAAAAGTGAGGTCTGACTCATGCTGAGAACACACAGCTCTCCAGAGAGGGGCTGCATGTAATTATTCCAGATCATAGATTTGGCTGGGTTCCTCGTTAATTGAAATCAACCTCTACACAAAATGAAAAATCAAAACAAAGAGCATCAGAACTTATGTAACTAGCTCTTGCTAATTTAGAAGACACATTATTCAGCTGAGTGCCATACCGTCCTTTGAAATTATAACCATTAGCATTGGATTGACAATTACTTGGCCCATAACTCAAAAAACTCTGCGCAATCATGCCAACCTGCCCCCCAGCTCCTGGAATAGACATTCCTTGGCTGCTAGGCACTGTAACATTAGCTATTCACTTGGGTAAGGTGGCAGGGAAAGGAGAGAAGAATCAAAGGATACCACAAGATTGCAGCTATTTCACTGCAAAATCTATAGCTCATTGATTTAATGCCTCTGAGAGGCAGTAAGAGTCATCTGTCCATCCCAACAGCAACCCACACAATACAGTGGGCCAAGGACTGGGTCCGAAAGAGAGAGAGCCTGGATAAGATCCATGCACTGGCGTAAAATTCACGGCGCAGGATTCCAGGCAAGTGACCATCAATTGCCCTCTCAAATAATGCTGTGAGATAATGTTTAAGATAAAACATCAGCTAATCTGGGCCTTCAGGATAAGGCAAGAAAAACACCCCAAAGCTGACATATATTTCATTATGTGAAATCTTTATATTCTGCCTTTTCTTGCGAACTCCAGGGTTCCATAATGTTACTGTGTAACAGGGACAGCCAACCGTGGTATTCTCAGGGACTACTCTGTTCTTCAGGCAGTGGTCCAAGAGGCAGAAATGTCTCTTGCCACAGTCTGTCCTCATATGTGGGTCATGCTCCAGAAAGTTTCTGTTGCAATCCGGGAGGATGGGTTTTCTTCCTGCCTGAATACAGAGTGTGCTCTCAGCCACAGTTGGAGGAATGAAAAATTATATTAAGATATTAAAAACAAGATCAAGGGAGTGCAAAATCATATTATTTCTTAATTTTTTAAAAAAATGGGGGAGTGAAGAAATAGTGGGTTAATCTTCTACCACACTTTGAATAGCCTCAGAGCAATTAACATCTCCCAAGTGGGAGTGGCTAGATTCGCACCGCAAACTACCTTGGCATCCTTGCACTGCAGCGGGGTCAGAACTTCAGGTCCCTGCCAAGGCTGGCTGGCACTCCAACAGTCCCAATCCCACCTTTCTGGTTCCCCAAACAGCCACTCCTCTTCCCTGGTTCGAACTCTTTCCCTTGACCAACCAGGATGTCCTGGTTCTTGGTTTTTCACATTCTGAAAGAATGAACTAGCATCACCCGAGGATTTCTTCCGAGCTGAATTTGGCCCTTCTGTTGAAACACCTCCGCTTTATAGTATGACCAGTCAAATTGTACAAATGCATCATCACACACTGCTCTAGCCAATCTGCTTTCACAAACTGAGTGCTAGAGAAAAAGGGCGAGGGAAAGATTGCCAGTACTTACGTTGTGGATATGACTGTCGTGCTCCCACCTGCGGGTACATATAGCCCGGAGCTGCAGGCTGATGGGGTGGTATATTCGGATTGACGGGCCCTGGCATAATAAACCCAGGAGGAGGAGCCGGGTTCTCTCCCTGGGAAACAATTAGAAGAGGGAAACATTACCATAAGGTTAGGTTTGCTCTGAGTTATCAATGAAGGACTGACCTGAGATTAGGGTTTTCACACGTAAATGTTCTTAACTCGCAGCAACCTTTAGCCTATGTTTACTTCCTTTCTACTGCCCACCTTCACCGCATGACCCTGTTTGCTCAGCAGAGATTTTGAATGGAAAGACAGACTAGGAAACAGGCAACCAATCTGGCAATGTCAATTTGTGAAATTGCTGGTGACCACGGACAACCTAATGTATTGCCTGCAGGGAGGGAGAATCTGTTTCAAGATGCTTCCTATGGGTTAAACCATTTGTGGTATTTGTTAGGGAGAAACCTAGCGGTGGGAGGCAAGGAACATTACATGACTTAAGTCTATCTCTCCTCCCTTATTCACAGTTAAAGCTGGGGGTGGGGGGGTTATTGCCTGAACTCAAACTTTGATTCTGTTCTGGAGACCATTTCCTTTGGGATCTTGAAATATGGCAATGGTGACATGGACTGAAACCTGATTGACTCGACACCCTGAGACTGCTCCCCATCCAGCCAGGAACTCACTGGGGGGGGGGGGGGGGTGCGTTTCAGGGAGGGGAGGGGCACTGAGGGCTCATGTGTGAGTGCCGGTATTTACAAGGCATATCAAAGGGGAGCAGGTCCTGCTCAAAGAGGAATAATGAATGTTATACCTGTGTCTCAGAGGGAGAGGCTGCAGAAGGATGGCTGGGAAGGGCAGTGGGGGTTTTGTTACTCCAGGTAGTGACAGTAGGGGCAACTCTAACCTGAATTGAACAGAGAGATACCAATCATGGAAAAATAAAACAAAAATGAAAAATAGAAACCTGAAGGTTGTCAGAACAGCCAGAATACTCAAACACACACTCATATTTTTTTCTGGTTTTCATGCCATATAGTAAGAAGGGTTGTTCAAGGTCGCGGTCACAGCACACTAGAGCCAAGCAGCAAGAAGGCAAGTGGGAGAACAGAGCACACGGGAAGGCAGCCAACGTTCAGCAGTGCTTTGCAACTGTAAGAAGAAGCTGGATCATGCGACTTCTGGCAATGCTGTTCTTCTGCATCATTTGCCACAGACAAAAATTAACGGGAAACTCTGGCCTGGGTGCTAAATGCCTTATAGATGAAAAAATTCCACAGAAGCATACTTCTTAAGGTTAAACTGCTTAAAAATGGCTAATCTGGTATGCCATGATTTTAAGGAAATGCCTGTTGTTAAGATATTAATACAGGGACCCATGAACATCATGACATCCCAAAAATACAAGTGAAGGACTTGGGGTACAAAACTCATGATGGACACTTGAGTGCTCTATACCTCACCACAGCTGCTGGGTATTAAAAGTATATACGACACATTTGATCTTGGCAAAAACTGATGAATACTGTTATATAATTAACAAGCACAAAGGAAAATACTTGGTCCATTTATTTATTTACAATGGCCATAATGGTGTCTTCGGCATTTGTCAATATTTGAATTTTATAATGCCAATTCAGCAATCTACTTTCTGTCTGCACACTGGTGTGCTTTTAAGTGTCACACACCCACAGAGGTATCCTTTTTTTGGTGTTCGAGTCAGAACCATTGTGGGGGGAAATCTACATCTCGACTTAAATAGATGCATAGGTTTCCAGTCAAAAGTGCCTTATTTACATTTAAAGTACACTTGGCGATTTGGTACCACAATAGTTCTCTCTGTAGAACAGCAGCAGCCTGGATGTGGCCATAACAAGATGAGTCACCGACCATGGTTTGCCAAAGTTCAGAATACCCATCCTGTGGTTTTCTTTAATCGCGCCTTAATATTATGCAGGCACTGGCATGAGTATGTTGAATGCTAACCAGGATTCCCACATCACTATTTTTGTAACCATACTTCAAACTCAGTTTATGAGAGGAATCCTGGTTAGTTTAAACTAGGTTTGCACAATGTCACAAAATGAGCAGCTTTGAGAATTCTCAAACTGCATTTGTCAGGGGCATGCAAGTATGGGCATGAAGGCGCATCTGTTGAGAAGATCTGGCAGACTGGATGAAACTCTTTCCCTGAGCACAGTGTCTTCCTCTGCCCTTCCAGCTGTCCTTCATCACTCTCCTTTCCAGCCAGGCTCCAAAATGGGAAGCACTTGCAAAAACACGGCTGTAGGGAACATCTGTAGGCACGTCAGAATTAAGCACTTGATCCTCTCATCACTGAACTGTAAAAGCTGGTTCAGCCCCCAGTTTTAAGATGCAGGACTGTGTCTAAAACATCCTTGACAAGACTCTGCTTACATATCACCAGCAAAGGAAAACCCGCTACCTATCCAATTATCAAGCAACTCAAACTTCTAGGAAGTTTCTCCTGCTCCTCATCGCTTCTACCATTTGGTTCTAGTCTTGCCTCTGGAGCAACGAAGGACAAGTCTGCACCACCTCCTGTATGACAGCTTTTCAGATACTTGAAAACCACTCTAAAGTCTCACCATCATGTTCTCTTCTCTGATGAAATACCAGTTCTTTCCACTGTTCAACTTCTCTCTTATCCTCTGGTGAATGTCAGTTTGGGAACACCCATTTGTTCTACACTAACAGTTCTCTCCACGCAACAAATGCAAAACCATAGTTGAGACACTTTTGTTCTTTGTTAATAGTGACTAAATCTTATTTATGAAAATCTTTATATACCACCCTTTAGCCCTAGAAAGGTCCCCCAAGACAGTGAATAAAACCTCTTTATAATTAAAACCAAAGAACGTTAACAGTCAGAACAAAAAACAGATAAAAGAGATGCATAGCTGGAAAGCTTAAAACACATTAAAGATTAAAAACACACTATTCTTAAAAAGTTACTTGAATAAGAGTCTCTCAAAACCCATCTGACAAAAAGACATCAAAGAAGGGGAAAGTCTGCCCTCTCACAGAAGAGAACTCCATGCTGTTTTTTATATTGGCTATATTTGCACACCATGCTAAGTTACACGGACTGGGTTTTGGGGGGGGGGGGGTTGTTTTTGGCAGAACAAGCCACTGCATGCCTGACAGATAAGTCGGCTTACTGTAGTTTGTTCTCCCCCTTCTCCTTTAGTCTATCAGCACATAACCCAGCATCCTTTGGAGCAGAACCTGTCTTGTCTCCTAGTCCTAGTTCCCTTCCTGCTCCACTTGTGACACCTTTTAATTTGCCACCTTTAAAAGAAACATTTTGGTACCTCGGGCATGGTCCATTCTGGTATATGCATGGTACATTCTGGTCATATATCTTTTTCTTTTTATGACTTTCCATCCCAGAAAATTGCACAAATGCCTTGATATTTCTGTTTTGCCTTTTGCAAGTGAGCATTTATACTGTCCAGTGCATGCGGTCTTGTCTTGTCAATTTCTCTTTAAGAGTCAGCTACCAAAGGGAGCAAATAGGTAATATACAAGAAATTGACAAGATGGGACGGCGCATGGACAAATCTGAGCACATTTATCAATGACCAGGAGAAAAAGGGGGAGGGAAGGAGAACACACAATAGCTCCCACTTAGCAAGGTAATCACCTCACTTTTAAATACTGAACTGTCACTTGTCACAATCCTGCTTCTATCTAAAGCTTCCTAGAGTCTCTAGCAAGTATAGAAAAGGAAGAGAGTGGCTCCCCCACACTTTGCAGCTCTGTTTGGCTGCAGTTATGCCATTATTGTTTTCCTAGATTGTTGGAAATATTTGCAGAAATTTAAGGCCAGGAAAGTAAACAAGAGGTAACTTGCAAATTTAGAGGTGTGGCAATGAAAGGAGAATGCTGCTCCACTTTAACTGCTGCAAAAGGAAACCACAAAAAGGAGAGCCGTATGGTTCAGCTATGGGTTGTTAACCACAAAGATGACAGAGTTCAGAAACCAATGACAGACCATGAGTTCTCCTCCTGGGTTGTTCCTGCTTAACAATCCATAGTGCAGGGTTCAGACATAATGACAATCCATGAGCTAACGACAACCTGTGCACACTCAACCTATCCTCTTAGTTGTTGTTACATGCAAACCAGGATATTCCTTCTTTCCTTCTTTTGGTTTCCGAAAAGATGGTTTCAAATGGGAAACCACAGCCCGCATTGCCTTATCACAGACCAGCTGTTCCTACCCTGGTGACCTCCAGATTTGCTTGACAGCAAGGCCCATCCTGCCATGTTTGCTACTCCTTCTTGTCCATTACCCATAGTTTTGCAAACTGCAAATACAAAAGTACTCAGTTACACTTGGCAGGCCAATGTCATCCAATTCTTTATGGGTTTGAAGCCATTCATCTATTAAACCTGCAGTTCTCAACTTTTTTGCCATCCCAAACCAAGAGCATTTTCAGAAATTTAAGTATACTTCCACTGAGTTCCTCAGCCTATCAATACTGGAAATGCCAGCCTTCCCCAGTCTGGTCCTCCCAAGTCATTTTAGACCAGTGGCTTTCAACCTTTCCACAACTGGGGACCAGTGAAAACAGGAAAACCCCCTCGGGGACAGCTGAGGCAGGAACAAAAAGCACCATACACATAATACAGTATTCTGTGTATTACTTTCCAAACATGATACCGAAAAAGAAAAAAGAAAATTCTCCAAAACAACCAGAAACTGAGCAACAAAAATGCCAACAAAAGAACAAAATACTGAAATCAGTACAGTGTGGCCCCCATCAATCCGTCTCTCCCCTCCCTGCCCCCCAGTGGCACCGGCACACCCCCATGAAAGCAATGCCAACCGAGGAAGAGGTGGTGGAGCACTGCCAGCCCGGTCCATAGCTAGTGGGCTGTGGCCCCCACAGACCCCACTGGTCCACAGACTGGTAGCTGAAAACCATCATTTTGGACTACAATTCCTGCCAGCCTCAGCCATCATAGCCACTACTCAAATGATGGGATTTGTAGTCTAAAACTTCTGAAGGACACCAAGATGAGGAAGGGTCAGATACAGCAGGCAGGCAGCCTCCTTCTCCACAACCTACTATCTTCCATTCCTTAACAACAAATTTATGTTCCTCAGTAGCAGACTGCTGACAAAGGGTCAGTCACATGTCCGGACAAGCCATCATGGGCCCTCGGGGCACTGGGGTGTGTGCTGGCCATCGTTTTGAAAACACATGTCCTGGCCGGTGGTTGGTATGTCTTGTTGTGTCATACAAATCTAGGTTGCGGTGGTTGTTTGAAGGTTCAATGACCCTCAAATAATGCAGAGCTTGTTCTAGGATTATTAGAGAATTGTCTTCCCCTTAACTCCTGCCGCCTGCATTCACGTGACATGACATGCCACAGAAAGTTGGGAACCATGAAAAAATGGCACCTACAGCAATGAGCCATAAGGTGCTACTGTCTCATGCAACAGATGGCACTTTAATTGGTTTCCCCCACCTAGGACCTGTTCCCCCACCTGTTTCCTAATGACCGCCTTCCATCAACTCATCCACCAGGCACTGCCCACCTGAATCGTTTGTAACGGCACACTGGTGCACAAAATGCTGACAAAAGCCTGTCTCAGTGGTGCTCTTGCAGCACACGGCCTCCTGAAGCACCTCTCAGAATACCTGCTTGGTTGCAAGACCTGAAGCAAATATGATCACCGGTTCTGTTTCCAGGTCAACACATACACATCAACAAACAGAAATAACGTCAAGAGGTGTGGACTCCTAAGAAGGGGAACTAATTAATTGATCTTGTTAACATGCATTCTTTGACCTAAGAGCTTCCCACAGATCATTGCTGGAGGGCCCTAGCCTTTAGGGCTAGGCCTGTCTTATTCATTAGAGGAAATGAATTACCATGTTGCAAAATGCACTCAGCCTGTCCATAAAACAACTACAGAAATAAACTTACAGAAGTTAACAGGCTATAAAAATGTTCAGCAACCACCCTGTCCTCAAACATCTATGCTGGTCACTTGTGGGCTAAACAATAGACTAAAATAACGCATATTCTCTTTTTCAGCTTATAAAACCTTGCTACTAGGTCACTTGTGGGAAGATTCTTGCTTGCTACATACACCCAAGATTGGCCATTTATCTATAAGCCTATTATAAATGACTGTGCTAACTCTTTTAGATATTAGGAGAATGTGCTGGTAGGCTAAGAGACATAAGCGCTGGATGGAAACTAATTATCTTATTCGGAGCTGAAGAGGCAGCAGTAACATGACTGAATTTGAGATCCCCGAGAAGGAATTAAAGGGAAGGTTGGGGAGGGAAGGGAATAGGAATAAAATCTTCCAAGCGATATCGGGGCCAAAACACCGAGTGTTTAAAGATGCATTTTACATTAATAAAAGCAGGCTTGCCATCACAAGAAACATCACGTAGGATAGTTCTGAGAATGCATTCTAGAAGTCAAGTACAGGATGCATTTGTACAAACTGTAAAAAGCACATTCAAAAATTGCTAATCAAAGGCTTCTAAGAGGTACTTCATAAACATGCGCAAAAAGTGGAGAAGAACAGCTGAATCTCTTGAGTGGCCAAACCGGAAGCTTAAGCGTGGCTGCTGAAGAGTTCCTTTACCTGCTGATAATATTGCTGGACTGGGACTTGTGGCATCGGCATCTGGCCAGCCGCAGGCCCGACTCTTCCCTTGGCTGCAGGTTCTCTCGCATAAGGTGCCTTGGGTGCCTCTGGGCCCCTGGGAAGGTCTCCCTGGGCTCTACAAATTCGGTCCCGCAACTGCACGATGTTTGGCTGCAAAGCATACACAAGGGATTTTACAAAGAGGCACACATCCAGTAAGCCTGGCACATTCCTCTGTCCTTTAGAATAGCCTTCTCACCCTGATGCTCTCCAGGTGTGGTGGGCTATAATCCTGGCAACCCACACACAGCTGGAGGGCACTTGGTTGACGAAGACTTATTTAGAAGGCAACCGAAATTGCAACAGTTTAATTCACACTGTACGCAATCTGCATACTTTATTCGGCAATCTCAGAAAATACCACACCTCCCCATCTCAGCACTGGGGCGACCTGGATGATTTCCAGCATCGTGAGTACGAGTCAACAAGTTTGAAGGAATTTCTGTCAAGTTCCTCCATGAAAAAGGAGAAAAAGAATTCTCATGGGGAATGAGAGGAAGACACCCCTCAGGGAAGACATCCCTTCAGGCACTGCAGTACCAAGAGTTCTGATTAAGCCCTTTCTCCCATTCTGAGTCTTGCCCTCACATTCTTGCAGGATTATCATGGAGGGTTTCATCACTCACCTTAACATGCACAAAACCCCCCATCAGGTAATAAAGTGAATGAGTCCGGCAGGTAAAGGCAAGCCAGTAAGTGTAGTGCTAGAGTGTCAGACTGGGATTTGGCCATGAAGCTCACTGATCTGCCTCTGGGCCAATCAAGGATTCTCCACCTAACCTACCTATTTCAGAGGGTTGTTGGAGAGAAGAAGGACAGCATAAGCCACCTTGGGTTCCTTACAGAAGGTAAAAAGGGGGGCTGTAACTGCAGTAATAAGACATAAAATGCCAACAGCTTTCAGCTTTATCTACCATCCACACTGCAAGAAGAGCATTTTTGTTTTCTTAAAGTCTGTTCAGCCTACGTAACTCAAAAGGAGAAGCAAAAGTGACAAGAAGTGGCTAAGCCATTTACCTGGTTGGTGTTAGCAGGCAGGAAAGCTAATGCAGCAGTAACGCTGCCCTGCGAAGCCAAGAGACTGGCGTACTGACTCATTTTTTCAGCCAGAACAGCTCCTACAGCATCCGCATCCATCACCTGTGTCTGCTGGACGGCCTTACGGAGGATGACCACTTTTTCAATGAGGTCCTGAAAAGTTACGATGGAAGAGGAAAGGGAAAAAAATGTTCTGTTGGCTGCCACCACTACCCGAATGTTATCTTACAAACGCATGCAGCTCCAACGTACACCCTTTGGTCATGGTGGTATTCACATACTTCTTAAGAAAGGGAATTGTGCAGGGATGCAGATATTATGGGTGATTAAGTGACACAAGGGGACAATTAGCTTGTTTTCACAAGTATAATTTTGCACATAAGAAATGTTTGAAAAAAAAATAGTGAGCACACAACAGAACAACAAGGAGCACAGTTTATTTGAAATCTTTACACTGAGGTGGGCAGCATGAGCCTTGCAGGTGTAACCCTGGAAGTGCCCCCGGCCCCAATTTCAGCAGCAAAAATGTGCAGGGGCTTTTAAAGCACACATTTAGCTTGAAAACAAGCTAAACCTGACTGCTTAAGCTGCAGCAGAGAAGGGATTTGCCACTCCGAGGGTTGAGGAAGGTTAAAACTGGCCCCCAACCCTCTGAAAGCACCCACTTCTTGGACAGCAAGAGCCTACATCCAAAGATAAATGGAATCATTGACAAGTGCCCCTAAAAGCCCACAGAATTTCAAATAAGGTTCCTTATGAGGGAACCAATTAATAAGGAAACTAACCTGGAGGGACAGCGGATTGCTTCCATCCTGGGCTTTAGTCCAGCAGGCGACCAGTTTCTCTACATTCCCAGCACAAATGTAACACAGGCAAGCCTGCATCTGCAGGGGGCTGTCGCCTTCCCTTTCAAGTCTGGCACCCAACAAATCTAAGAATTAGGAATAAGAACATATGTTTGAATTTCTACAACTAAAAGCCAAAATCATTGCAACACACACAGTATGTGGTACAGTGGTCATGCTCTAACCAGGAGGACTGGCCCACATACTTCACCCTCTACGTGTATGTGCCTATGCCTTCCTCCATATATTCATTAATTTCTTTAGGTTTTTATATATTGCCCCATTCCCAAAGGCTCTGGGCAGTTTAAGTGAGATGTCCTGGTCTATCTTGCCACTGCTTTTTCTGTCATCAAAATCAGATGAACTACGTTTAGTGCTAAGCTCACTTGTGCAATACGGATGTTGTAACAAAGTTTGGTTATAAACTAGGAAATGGAGGAGGGAATCAGTATGTAAGAGATAGGAAAAGGGAAAACAAAGGAGGACACAAAGCCTGCATATAAAGCCAGTTGTCCAAACCTTGGCCTTGATCTGAAGGATCATCTGACTCGAGTGAGAATGGCAGTTGCAACTAATGGTTTGGTTGCCATAACATAACATGTAACCATAACATGACTGGCTGTGCGTGAGTGGAAGTCAGCAGGCATGTTTCCTCCGCAAGTTCTTCACGTCTGCTTTAATCAACATCCCACAACCGTCCAGGCAGTGGGTTGTTGAGCATGATGTGTGAACCTGAAGCTCTGGGCTTTTAGGAATTAATCCATGGTTAAGTAATTGATCGTTTGCTGTTAAATATTCACTGTATCAAATCCGCTTGATATACTGCAGTCCCCAGAAGATCCTCAAATAGTAACCAGAAGGTGCGTAGATTATGCAACAAGTGCTGATTTTTCTTAAGCAGCTCTCCAACAGCTGGGGCGACAGGTCACCAAGTGCGAATTAAGTGAGCTGAAAATCCAGCAAGCTCTTGTGCTCAGGACAGATGACGTCTAGTGACTACTCCTTATTGTTATTGGTTTGATCTGCAGTTCTTTAAGATACCAACAAAACTGTGGTGTTAGTTGACCCAATATACCAGTCTTCCCTCAGAGAACAGCTGGGTGGGGATAAGAGGAGCTGAGGGACTGCACTCCAGACAGTGGCAGGTTAGAGGAACACCTGTGCCCAGTATTACTGTTCCTTTGCATCACAGACCAATGGAACACTGTTAGCAATTGAGGTCGCATTCAGTGGGTGACCTGTGCAATACAAGAGCTGCAAGTACTGTTTTCACCTTCAGAAATTCATATCCCAAGAGCCTAAATTAAAAGAATTATTTAATAATTCTATGTATTATTTCACTGAAGAAAATTCATGGCGTAAAAAACCAATGTGGCCATGAAACGAAAAAGTGCCCTATACTTTATCAGGTCTATTTTCCTTACCGCAGAGAGATGCAAATTCATCTGGCCCAGCATAAGTCAACACGGCTGCTAGAGCCTCTCTCCAGTTGTGCAGATCACAAGACTGGACAATCTCTTTCCAGTTCTTGGTCACAACTGCAGTGATGAGCTGGAAAGCAAAGAAAGGAACACACACAGTACATTCAGAGCGTCCTTTCCCAGCACTGAGCATGTTATCAAGCAGGAATCCCACCCATGAGATACCCAACATGAGAGTCAAGCATTTAAAGACTATCTGTAATGGCACAACCCCTTGCGTGCTTTGACAGGAAAAAGTCCCACAACTCTCAACATGCAGGACTTTGCTCTGTTGAAGCATGCATGGGACTAAGCCCCAGGTCTTGCTTTAAGCCAGGATCCAACCACATTCACACTGTGGCTTGATACTGCCGCTACTAGTGCAGTGGCACTGGCATTCTGGTCATGATTCATTTGGATTGTGATCTGCACAGCACAAAGGAACAGAAGGTCTGAGCTGGTAGAATATGAAGATCACAGTTTCTGAATCCACCCCGCTCTTAAAGCCTTGCTAGTTGATAACAGGCATAAAAAAGGGGAGAAAAACATACAGAGTGTCTTTCAGCCTGGGGGCATGAAGAATCCAGCACTCTTTCCCATGCTTGACCCTGGCCCAGCAAGGGACTCAAGCCAAGATCAAGTCTGCAAATGCACAGGGACACTAGCAGGCTTTCAACTGAATTATTCTTCTGCAAAATAGGCAAACCCCGCGTTCGTTCGTTCGTTCATTCATTCATTTATTTATTTTGTATTCCACGCTGCTAGACCCCATAGGACTCTCTAGGCAGATTACCACAACAATGAATAACAGAATAAAATCACAGTATACTATTAAAATAACAACAAAAGGACAATAATATAGAAGAACATGTGACAATATATAGCTGAGAGTCATATACCTGTGCAACAATGGTACTTGCTTCCTGCCTAGCACACAAGCAAGTACTTGGCGTTTGGGCTTAGAGCAAAGAGTCCTACCAGAGGGCCCAGATTTACTTCCTCCCTACCCGCTGAACTAGGCCTTAGGTATTTCCTGCAAGCAAGCAAGCAAATTCCAGCCCACGCTCACAAATATAAACCACACCAGAGCAGTATGAGAACAGGTAGAAAGAGGAGAAAGTTCCGTACTGGACAGGTATGTAATTCTATATCTCTTAAGCTTTACCTCTTTAGTATTTCCAAATGTTTTATTCATCAAGCTCTATACCCCAAACAACTGTAAAATGTACATGGAATGGTAGCTGCACCATTTTTCATATCAACAGAACTCTCTAGAATTTGGTAATCTAATTCAAGAATTTGATTGCTTAGAGCTGTGCCTAAATTACTGTATCTACTATTCCTGGAGGACTGATTTATTTTGGTTTCACAGCAAAAGTGCCCTTTGCTCGGGCAAACAGCGGAAACTTCAATCTTGCTGAGGTGTGACCTGCAGTCACCTTGGGTAGATTGACGGGGCAGTAAGAAAGCAAACCAAGCAACTAAAATGAAAACTTGTTTGGGAGGAGAGGAAGTCAACTCCATCCAGGAAAAAATGATAAGGGTGGAGGTTTGGAGAAAACTCATTTCATACAATTCTGAGACAGACTGACCCAAAGGTCAGGTATCTGTCAGACAGCTATCCATGTCCCAGACTTGATTTATTTCTGTTTTGGTCTAGCAGAATGACAAGACTGTCATCCTGTACAGCAGCAGTGCATGAACATTAGGACCTAGGCACTACAATTTAGGATCTGGCCCCCGTAACGGCTGAGTTGTGCCTTTCTCTGCAAGAGTGTGTGCAGCCCAAATGGAGCTGAAAGTACATGGTGCACCACCCTCCCCATGGCACAGACCGAACAGTAGATGAATGTATCTCAATTAAAAACAAACAAACAAACTACCTTGAGAATTGGCTCAAAAAAGTTTGAAACCATCTTCCTGTCTGCACCAGGTTGAGGATGAGGGAACTTTCCTAGCCTACTGTTCTATTATCTCGCCAGTCACTACATGACCAGAGGATACTTTAACCTACTGGCTTTTAGTAAACCAGGACTGCAGTAAGAGATCATGAATGAACAGAGCTGTTGTCACAGAGGCTGTGGGAAAACAATGGGGAGTGCAGTCAGTTCCCATTCCTTTCACACAGAGAAATACAGCCAAAGATTTTAAAAATTAGGCAGTCACACACATCGTTCTGAATGCAGTGCTCAGTTCGCTGCTCCTGCTGCCACAGCAGCAGAGAAAAAAGAGAGGGGAGGAACGGCTTTGTTAGCAATTATGCCTCTCCCAGGGGATGCCAAGAATGAACAACCTGAGGCCTGTGACAGAAACAGGGCCTTTAGAAAGGAACAGCCTCCTGGAAAGCAGGGGAAGTGGGGGAGGGGGGCACCACCTGCTGCATGCACTGCAACACGTTATTTCAGAAGCACATTGTGTTTAAAAATAAGTTCTTGCAAAATTATTAAATACTGCAGCTCTAGATAGGACAAGACAATTTTACACTGTTAGCTGTTCCCAAAGATGTGTTTCTGGGATAGCCTTCCTCAACCTGGTGCCCTCCATGAGTTCTGGCCTTCGACTCCCAGCAGGTCTAGCTAGCATGGTGCCAACCCTCAAGAATTCTGGGAGATGTGGTTCGAAACATCTGGAGGGCATCTGGTTGGAGAAGGCTGCACTTTGTGATGTAGAGCCCCATTACCTGGTCCCCTGGGCTGGTACATGCCTTACAAATCCAATCTGTCAACAGTAGCTAAGAGACTGGGAGCAGGAGACTGGATTAAATGTTTTCTCTCAAAGGACATTCCCTACTCCTTCCACAATTGCAGTTAAAAGTTATTCTGACATCAGTGTTGATTGTTCTTAGGACGCACTTCCCTCTGGGGAGTGGCCAGGGAAAACTTGCAATCCCACAGCAAACTCCTGAATGGCTCATTTTTGAGTTCAGTCATCTCCCCACATGGTATTTGAACTGATGCTAACACGTCCTCTTGTAAATAGACACACCAGTTCATTTGATCTCTGCAAATTCTTCTGGCTGCCTAGCTAATCCTCTGGATGAATGATGGGGTTACAAGAACACACACTTTGGCTACTTAAAACTCTACATACCCTAGTAATTTTGCCTCGTGTCTTTGCAAAGTATTTCTTCTGTGTCTTGGACAGCAGCTCCTGGCCTCCAGCTGTTGCCAGTATAATCGCATCAGCCATGCGATTGTCATGGAGGCAGAGATCAACTGCGCCTTCAAAGTTGCCTGTCAGCAGAGCCTGAGTGATCAAGCCATCAATATCTGTGCCAAGGGAAATAAAAAATACATGCTGCTAATTACCACTGCAGCTTGACAAAAATGTCAAATTCAGACATGTTGAGAGATGTTCTGTGTGAAAGGCTTATTTGTTTTTACCTCCAGTGACAGAAATGTTAAATGTTTCATTTGCAGAAGGCAGTACATCCACCTCATCTTTGGTAATCTAGCAGGAACAAAGAAAGCAGTTAAGCAGGTCTGTAGGAGCTTGTCTAAATACACAACCTACACTGGGAAGAGGAGCTATGCTCTCACGCTGTCGTCTCCCTAATGGGTTGTTGTCTTATAAACAAGAAAGGGATATTGCTGCTGTATGAGCACCACAAAGTGATACACATACAGTGGAAGTCCCTTTGTCCAGCCCTCTGTCCTGCAGGTTAAAATCCCCGAGCATCCTGGTACATTGTGCCAATTTAGGCTTGCAACTCCACACCTCAGCATAAGCTCCACTGAAGTTAATGGGCCTCACTTTTCAGAGAAGAGGCACAGGACTGGACACAGTCATGCAACTCAAAGGGACGATTGTTAGACCATCATGTTGCGTCAATAAAGCTGCAGTTTCCTAATGCAAATGGCAACCAGGAGACATGCATCAAAATATCCAGTGGGAGGGACATCTATTGAAATATCAGCTAGCGCTTCTTGAAGTGAATGGGGAAGGATGTAAGGATTTTATTAAATCCATTCTTTGTGTGTTTTGTGGATTGCAGGTGGCTTTTGTTCCCGTGTTCATTCATTGATGGAAGTGGATGTTTTAAAGGAAGGTACAAGAGTTTCATTCCACTTGCACAAACGCACAACTTCTCCCTCCCCAAGTCTGTAGAATTCATGCAGTTCCAAAACATTTGCTCCACAGGTTGGATTCACAGAAGTCTGAACTCCTTTGAATTATTGCAGGGCTTTTGTTTAAACATCCCTGCAGATACTCTAGCTTTATGGCTTACACCCAAACTCTCATGAGTTAGAAGGCAAAAAGGGAAAACAAATTTATTCTGAAGAAGCAATATCCTTGCAGGGGGGATTCTGCTAATTAAGTATATGTAGAACCTACTAGCAAATTTATTTAGCCCTCTTGAGTTTAAGGACATTCCTGGAGACACTAATGAGATGCAACTGCAAACCCAGTCTTATTGTTCTATTCTGTACACCAGAATGGGCAAGCCCATGTAATTTGTGTGCAACCTATATATCTGATGCCATTGTAATCCTCTGGCCACCTTCCTGAAAAGGAACAACTTCAGGGCATCCACACCTCTGATCAAATAAATTCAACCAGGAATTAGAAGGACGGACTAGTGCAGTAAAGGCTTGCAGGCACTGCTGCCCTCTGGTGGCAGAGAGCTGTCATTGCCCCAATGAGGGGGTTAAGAAACTGCACTGTACAGCGTAACAACACAGTCTGCCTGGCATTTTGGGGGGTGGGGGCCGGTGGGCTGTGGAGCAAGCCTCAAGGATGGACACAGCTGGGCACCTGTCAAGGGCCCACCAGCCAGTAGGGGCCGACTGACGAGAGCCCCTGGAGGTGCTCCTGCTCTTCACCACTGCAACCTGCTGCCTTTCACTTTGGCCCAGATGGCATGAAAGAGGAACGGAGGGTCACTGCCTCTCTGTTCACTGGCTCTTTTCCTGTTAAAAAGCAGCTGGTAGCACTGAAGGGAAAGAGGAGAAGCAAGAGCAGGAGGTGCCCACGGTGGTGGTGAGGAAGAACCACTGAGGCAGGGGGTTAGACTGTCTTGCTCAAAAGGCCTTAAAACATGGGTGAAGACTGACCCTGACCTGGTTCACGCATAGCAGCAATTCCTGGGCTGGCTAACCCACCAATTGCCTTGGCTGAGCAGGAGCAGTGAGTTCGCCTAACAACAGCCCACTGTTTGCTACTGGTTTAACTTTGAGGTGTTCAACACCTAAACACACCAGAGTGCCTGGGCTCAGACATCATGACAATGTGCTATTCCTAAGCTTTTAACTAAAAGCTAAAGCAATGAGTACTGCTGCTCCACCGTAACAACATCCCAGGAAATACATGTAAACAAACATATTTACTCAAGTTGCAAAGTTTTACTTTTGTCTTGGTGCAAGGGAAGCGGAGTAATTTTTAGGATGTATGCAGTCTTGCTTGAACATATCGTATTTCATTCTACTGAGTCATATGTTTGTGCATCTAATGTACACATATACATATAGACACATCCAGGAGCAAACTAGATAGTGATTAAGCACCCACGTGCATAGCACCTCTAGCACAAAAGAGAATGAATACCTCTGCCAAGTGCTGATCTTTAGCAGCCAGGCCCTCTTCGTTATCACTTTGTACAGACTGGTCAGCTTCCTCAACAGCCTTCCCCGCAGATGAGAAGAGGGTGTGATTCAATGGTTTAAGCAGAGAGAAAGACACCAATGCCGTCAAGCCGGCCCCAAATAGCCCCCACATGCCCCAAAGAATCTAAATGTTAGCAAACCAACAATAAAAAAAGGCCACCAGCTTTTTTCTTCCTTTTTAAGTCATCTCATACACAGTGACTAATGTTTGTCAAAATATATGTTTTCACAAGGGTAATTGCAACCCACACTGACAAAGGAATAAGTGGGAGGCAGCCTTACAGATGTGACAGTCAGGGTGAAACTTTAGATTCTAAATTACTTCATGAATACCAGAGCAAAGAAGGAGGATCGCTTACAGAGAAAGAGTGCATTTTCAGCATACAAGTTCTGTAGGAATTGCATGACCATTAGTAACTAGTAGCGTGAGATGTTATTATGTCTTAGGTTGTGCAAGGGCTGAGAAAGAGACAGAAATATTTGCATAGACTGGCTGGAGAAATACCTGCCATTACAGACGAACATCACTCTACTGAACTGTTCTCAAAGCAAGAAATCTACGGCCAGCCTAATTCTCTGATCTGCACAGGATCTTCCAGTAGAAGTTTTGAGATCTTGACAAAGGCAGGAATTGGGATTCTTTACCTCAGTGCGATTTTTCTCAATAGTAAAGTTATACCACAGGTCCGCTCACTCGTGCTTGTTCATGGCACTGTAAACCACAGATGAGCACAGGGGAGATCCCCGGCTGTTTGGGTCTTCAGTTCCCAGCATTCTTGACCAACAGCTATGCTAGCAGAGGCTCCTTGGCACTGAAGTCACAAACATCTGGAAATTCCCTGCCCTGCACCACTCTTTCCCAATCTGGTGCCCTCCAGATGTTTTGTATTATGACTCCCAACGTTCCTGACAATTGGTCACATAGGCTACGGTTGATGGGAGTAGAAATCAAAAACATTTGGAGGGCCCCAAGCTGGGGATGAGTGTTCTAACCTAGATTCAAAGTGCAGTGCATAAATATGGCAAATATGGACTTCCATATGCTGCTTTTGTTCGAGGCAAAATCTAAGCTAGAAGACTCCCCCCATCACCATTTACATCCCTAGCTGTTACGGTTTTAACCTGTCACTTTTCACCCAGCAGTAGATGGTACAAATGTCAAAACCCCCTGCAAGAAACCTGCAACAACACCTGCCGTTCTTAATGTACAAGTCCTGGGTATTTTCCCTTTGTGATGCAGAAGTGGCTGTGCCTCCTGTTCCTCAAATCACTGCAACAGGCAGCTCACTTGCCTTCCTTTTAAAAAATGATCTATCCACTGAGCTTTTATTTGATTCAGAACAAAAGAGCAGTGCCTCTGTAGAGACCGAATGCCATAAATCTTTCCAGAAATATGGGGAAGGATAGAGAGAGATTATGCTGTCGGACACCCAAACAGCAACATAAAGCACTACAGTCCAGCCTACAGCAGGATTTACAAACGAGTAACGGAAAGAGAAAGAAAGGCGAATTTCTCTCCTGTGCACATGGTTGAGTGAACCAGCTAAAAAAACCAAACTAGCTTTACAAAGTTTAAAAAGCTGAAGGTTTCTTTTTTAATGAATGTTAAGCCTGACCACGTGCTGTTAAACTGTAGAAAAATCTTAGGACAAAATTATATGATCAATATGTTTTTGTACAAATACTGTGCTGCCACAGAAACAAGAATGCAGTGAAACATTATAGCCAACATCTCACATAAGTCCCATTCATTTTAGTGGAGCCACTAACAGCGGGTGCAACCCAGCGGCTGCCAAGTTCCAAATGTTACCTAATTTGCATGAGCATAGCTTACATTTGTTTTCTTACCTCATTTAGTTCTCTACCATGAAGACTATTTTTACTGAGAGCCGAAGTAATCTGAAGGGAGGAAATGGCACACAGTTTATGTGAAGAGAAAGGAGCAAAACTTCAACATTCCCAATTTGCCAAAATGGCAACGGGGGGGTACAACTTTGATACCATCCACAATAATAAATCAATAATAATGGTTTATTATTACAGTATATCAATCTGACACGGGAGATCACCGAGAGGCCTATGTCTATAACAGGTCTTTACTTTTAATCTTTTTGATCTGACCCTGTGTCAGAAATTATGTACTGCAAGAAAAAACAAACCAAACAGCGATACTAAGAATTAATGCAAGTCCTTCCCCTTCTGTCCCTCTCCCTTTTCCCTTTTCAGTCATGTATTTTAGATTAGTCAGTGAACAGGGGTGGTCTTTTCAGCGACTGCACATAAGCTGCTCTGTGGACCTTTTTTGGCTGAGGCAAAAATGCTTTAAAATACCAACAAATCTGACTGGAAAGGGCCTTTGCCACATGACGAGCATTTTTCTTTTCCTATGGGAAAGCAAAAAACAGCATGCTGGCAGCTCGGTATTTACCTTTTTTCCCAGGTCATCCTTCCTGTACCCCAAGAGTTCCAGATACTTGCTACGGGAATCCTCTTCAAAATGCACCTGTAGAAAAAACAGACTTTAAAACCTAATTTTACTTTCCTTCTTCCTCCCCACCTGGTCTTCACAGCTTCTCTTCTTCTAAATGGAAATGCAGCATGGTGAATTTGAAGCTCGATGCAACACTGAAAGAAAATCCAGTAGCACTAGTCCTTCCCTGACATAAGCAGGGAGCATGGGATCACCACTGACTAGGACAAACAGTTTTGTGTGACTTCTTGACAAAAGTGCTCAGAATACTTGAAGTGAAGTTTTTCCTAGAGTATGCGAACTGCAGCACTGCCCCTACTAGAATTCGATGCTCACTTACATCAGGACAGAAGTTAAGGGGTAGGGATGTAGGAGTTGAGAAAGAAGACTTAGATGGATATAGCAATGTAGTCGAAACCACGTGGGTCTACTCAAGGAGTGTAGTGGGGTGCGATAGGGGCAGATCTAGATTGGTGGCAAGGTGCTGCAGTTTCTATTGCTCCCTGGCAGATCTGTATCTATCAAGTAAAATATATATAATAATTTGATTTATTGCATTTGCATCCTATCTTTTTCTTACAAATAACTCAAGATAGAGCCTCTCCATTTTATCTTCAGAGTAACCCTGTGAGGTAGGTGGGGCTGAGGGTCTGCGACTGTCCCAGAGTCACCCAATGCGCTTCAGGGCTGAGTAGGGACTAGAGCCCAGGTCCCCGGAGCCCCAGTCCCACATTCTAACCACTATACCACACTGGCTCTCTGGGTCTCTTTCAGTCCCCTGAATTGTGGATCCAGTTTTAACATGGTCAGTATTCATGTTCCTGGGAAAGGGCAAGGAGCATGTACACAACAGCTCAGCAAAATAATGAAGCCCATTATTTTCAATGCCTAATATTTTGCCCTTGAAACATTAGTCCAGTGGGGGAGCTACTCTGCATAACTGGGGTGACAGTTAAGAGGCCTGTCCATGCCAGCAGGTAGTCACACCCCTGGCTCTTTCCTACAAAGTTAGCATTTCTGCCCAGCGGGGTGCTGATGCAGCGGACAAGAACTGTACAGCCCACCTCTGCGCACATGGCTGGACCACTGCAAAAAACTGTGATGGAGAGCCAAGGAAAAGGTGTGGCTAATGTAATGTTGAAACTGGACTCCTAACCAGGAAAGTGTGAGGAATCCTTTTGTGGGGGAGAATCCACCAGGTTCCCTGTGTCTGGCTCCCCCGACTCCGGCCCACTCTCTCGCTGCTGTGAGTCTGGCTTCCTTGTGAGTGCTCCAAGCATTCCAGAGACTTCCTCAGAATCAGGTCCTGCATGAACCCTGCACAGCTGGCATCCCTCTTCCACGCACGTGACTCGCAGCGTTTGTTTGTGCCGCACTTGACATGGAAGCAGGCTGCTGGTTGTGCAACCCTCATTCGGTGCACGCTTGTGGACTTTGTCTTGGCTCTGCTCACTTTCTACAACAGGGCTGAGCTCAAGAGGAAGCCTGCAAACTGAAGAGGGATGGATTCTGGGGAGCTTTGTTGCAATGCTATTCCAAATTCACTACACTCTGTGTATAGGCTAATAACAACAACAGTTGTACATTTATTCAATGCTTCTCACTAAAAAAGACTCAATGCATCTTACAGCAGGGCTTAAAACATGCCAAGAATGTAAGACCAGGAGGTTTGATACAGAAGCGACCTCTGAAATTACCTTTAAGAAAGACCACACGTTCTTCTCAAAGTCATTCTTAGCAGCAGCAATCTTCCTCTGACAATAGTTGATGAAAGCTTCTGCTCGCACAGCCTCCTGCAGCTGATCAGAACGGTTCAGGAATTCCTTCTCGGTGACAACTTGGCTGATGTAGACATGATGGCGGGGCGGAGGCTGATCTGTTCCCTGCTGCTGAGGCTTGCTAGCCTCAAATGTAACCAGCTTCCCTCCAAACTGGAATTGAAACACACCACAGACAAGGTCCAGACAACAGTTTTAATCCACTGCGATTAAAGTTAGTGCTCTTCAGCGCACATGCCCAGGAGAGCGGTCATTTTCAGAGACAGGTGTGGTAGCTCTGAAACTGACATTTGAGAGAAGTCTGCAAACCATCATTTAAAGGCCTCTAGTTCTATGCCTGGAGTCTTCTGCCTGAAACCCTAGAGAGCCATTCGTGTTTTCCCTTCCCTCCTTAGGCTCGGCAAGACTGCCATACAGCAAAAGAAACACAATCCTGTTGTATGCCTTCTGGAGATGTCAAGAACATCACGAGCTTTCTGTATAGCACAGTAATGAAAACTTTCCACTTACAGAGAAAGATGCACCCACAGGCCGGCGGATCCACTTGGGTGGCTTCTTCAGTGGCAGGACTGTGGGAGTGGTCTGCTGTGGAAGCTGCAGCGGAGGGAGGGGTTGGCCTGTGCCGAAGGGATCGAGATTCCCGAAGGATGATGACAGCTGTTAAGGAGAGAGAGAGAGAAAAAATAATCCACAACTCCTGCTCATTATGACAATTTGGAATGATTCTGTATTTAAGAGCTTGCTGATCCAGAGATTATCGGTATTCAGGGGGCTGAGCAGAGCCAAAGAGTTAACAGCTGTTTAGTAATCTCCCATCTATAACATGGGATATTAGAATAACATGCTTGTTCTCCTTGGCACCTTAGTGCTTATAGCCTCCTAGAAAAGCCAGTGACTCCTGAGATATCCAGAACAGGTACTGAAAAACCCTGGAAAAAGCATCATAATCTCTGAATTCTGATTGTGTGAGCAAGTTCCAAAAGTCTACAAGTATGGTCAAATTCCACACTTTCTGTATTTAACTTCCTTCAATTTCACCCTTTACAATTCTTCCCCCTGCCCCACACCGTTTATAAACCAGAAAATCTCCATATTACTCCATTAATTATATGAGACTGGATGCAGTCAATGAACACTTGTGCTAGTCTTTAAGGTGCCGCAAACCTCTCTATTGTTTTTCCTGCAATGGACTAACATCACTACCTCCTGGAAATAATTTTGACAGTCAAACTATTTCAAAGTATTTCATTATGAATTACAAAGATCTGTGTTCCTCCAATCTGATAGAAAGTTACCTTTTGTTTGTTTTTTAAAATACCTTGTCCGCTTGTTTCTGACGCAGGTTGTCTGGGCTTCCTCCCATGATTGAGTAAATACTGATCCTCCCATCAAAAGAAGCAGCAGAGAGGATAGCAGGGTTCCTGGGACACCACTGAACATCAAAGCACCACTGGGTAGTGGTAGGAAGTTCATATAACACCTGTGGCCCAAAACCAGACAGGTTAGAAAAACAATGGTGGCTACCAAAAAGAACAGGTACAAGAAAGATCTCCAAGACCTGGGAAATTTTAACACCCCATATAGATCTCCAAGCACTTCCGACAAGCTCTCTTCCCATCTTTTTGTCGAGCAAGTTTTTGTGCACATTTTGTAATTTACATTTTAATTTGTAAATGCATTCGCTGTCATCTACATTATCCTTGCTAATTCTTTCCGTCTGTTTCCAAGTAGACTTCAGTGACACAAACCGGTGGGGTACAGGTTTCTTAAGGGGCAGGAAGGACTAATGAAGGCCAAGAAACGGAGTCATTCCTTAGAAAAAAATCAAGGATTTCACCGAAAAACATGGACCTTTGTGGACCCATTTGTCAGCATGGGCATATTCAAAGCTTAAGCAATGCCTTCCACTTGTATGTTCCTACCTCTCCTGTGTTTGGATTAGAACAGAGAATTTTAGCATCCTTCCCACAGCTCAGCAGCAATTCGGGATCTGCCATACTCCAAGCGATGGTCAAAATGCCCCTATGTAAAAAGGACACAACAAATGAAGTTTTTTAAAAGTTTAAAAATTGAAATGTATGCTGTATTAATCCTTAACTAAAGCTATAATGGAAAAGGGGATGCAGTGGCATGTTTAGCCTCTGCTAAGCTATATTTTAGCAAGGACACTTGCTATCTATATTTGATTTTGCCAGAATGTTTCCCACCGCCACAAGGAAATCCTGTAAGAAGAAAAACATTTACCTTGCATGGCTTTCCAGGACGCGAAGTGGTGAAGACGCAAACCTGAGGTCCCACATCTGAATTACAGGCAGTCTGTCATCTTCTGAAGCCAGAACCATTTGTGTAGCAATATCAGGATGCCAAGCCAGCCCTGAGCAGTGCATCTGAAAGAGGATGACCAGCATTCATAATAATGCTATGTGGGCTTAATTGTTAATATTATTGGATGTTATCTGGCCAGGGCGGCTTATTTTATATTGGTATTTTTGTATTTTTAACTTAATGTTTATATTTTTTTAATTTAATGTTATAATTATTTTTAACTTATTGTTGTAAGCCGCCCCGAGGCTTTGGCGAATGGGGCGGCATAAAAATGTTTTAATAAATAAACAATAAATAAAGGAAAGCCCCACTCCCCTTCTTATATCAAAGTCCTCCTTCCCACACTTTCTCCCCAGGTTGCTGCAGCCCCACCTAAGAAAACTCCTGTGATGGTCCAGGCCTACCATGCATGGTCAAGTACCTGACATGCAGGGGTGTGGGGAGATCAGGAGATCTACGTGTGAATCTTGCATTATGCGTCACGCACACGACAGAGCAGGCTGCACTTGCTGGCCACCACGCAAAGAGCATCTCTGGCCAGGTGGCAGTGAGAAGCCATCGGGAACAAAACTCTTGACTAAAATGACCGTCCACAAGGCGTTCTCCCAACCTGGCTGCCTCCTCGTGCATTGGACTACGATTCCCCATCACCCCCTTCCGACCAGCGTGACGGGTGACCGATGCTTCGAGAAGGAGGTTGGGCAGACGTGTTCTAAAGTGAACTCGCTGAATAGTCACCCGGTTACTGTGGTCGCTGACTTTGATGATTGGTTCATTCTTCCTGAGATCCCAAACGGTGGCACGGCCGCTGGGGCTCGCTGAAGCCAAGATATGCTGGACTTGCCTGTTCCACGCAATGCAGCTAATGTCTTCAGGAGGCTGATGGAAACAGGACAGGCTCTCATTCGACATCACTGGAGGACCGAACTCGTGAATCTGTCTTCCTCAGCTGCAGCTTATTCACGGCTCACAGCTCTGCTGCTCTCCGATCGCAAGTAATCCACCCATCCGCCCACAGCCCACTTGCACTCGCAGCCTTCTAGAGCCACCGTGCAAACCCCCAGAACCCCGCCTTGCACTTTCTCCCAGGGAAGCACGTTACAAGCATTACGGCATCTCCCTGGTTCTGCTCCCTGCCCGTTCCCTTGGACTTAACCACACAGGGAAAAGAGCCCATGTGGCAGGGCTGCAACAGTGAGTAGGCAAAGAAAGCAGCGAGGGAAAGGGAGCAGATATAATGCGCTTGGAGCGAAGAGAAATAGAGTAATTAAGAAGATAAGTATTTGGCAAATTGTAGTTGCAGCTCAGCGTGAAGAATGTGGTGCGGCTCCAGCAAAGGTGCAGGACTGGAATGGTGGGAGCAAAGTGCCCCCACAACCCTCTGTGGGCTGGATGATGGCAGTGCACACGTTCCCCTCAGAATGGAGAAAGAGACTCCACTGTCTGTAGCAGGAATGCGTCCTGGAGTGTCAGCTGAGCTCCTGGTTTTGTGCGGTGTCCCCATGGGGCTGGCCACACAAACCCACCTGGCTGGACTGGGTGGCCCCTTCCAGCGCCACCAAAGTCCCCAAGCTGCCAGCAGGCCTGCCGTTCATGTCAGATCGAAGATCCCAGCTGGACATCCTGTGGGAGCTGGGGCCTGGTGGCCAAGCTCTGCCTCATGGAGGAACCCGAGGAGACTTCCCTGAGTGGGGTGGACTGGCTAGATCAGGGCTGTCCAACTTTTTGTACCTCGAGGGCCACAAAAGGACTTCAACACAACCCAGGGGTTGCACAATGGATTACATTTCCATACCATAAATTAAAGTGGTCGCAATTGATTTATTTAATCTGATGTACACAGTTACTATATTAAATTAACCAATAAATTAGGGAGAAAATTTAGGACTAGCTGAATGAAAAAAAACAAAACAAAACAAAACAAAACCCTTTGCAGAGATCACAGGCTGCTGGGTGTGGTTAAGGGTTATGTTAAGTCAATTCATATCTACGACTGCTCATTAAACTGCTTCCACAGATTAATTCAGCTACTCTTCCACAAAGTTAATTTGAAGAGCAGGCATTCTCATACGAATGGATGCTTATCCAATGGCACTGTAAGATTCTAGGACATGCTTGTACAACCAAAGGTGCATATTCAGAGAGCAAAAAGTCCTACTATTCCCAGCATCTCCCACTCCTCTGGGATGGTCCACCCCTTTCTTCCCTGTTTCTCCCACCCAGAAATCCTCCCATGTGACCCCCAGCCCCTCCCTCCTTCTTGAAACTGGCATGCTGGGTCACTTGGACTGCAGCCAGTGGACCTTCTCCAGCGTGCCCTGCCTGCTCCTGCCGGTGGGCAGCTTTGTGTAAGTGGGCAGGGCGTGGTGGCACGAGAGCTCTCAAAGCTGCCAGCCTGCCCCACTCTCTGGGCCAGCGGCCTTGGGAGAGCTTGCTGCAATCCTGCCCGTGCCACCACTGGGAACTGGACTGGGGAGATGGGATGGAGGGGCTCCAAGTGGCGAGAGGACAAGGCCTCGGGGATTGCGTGCAGCTCGTGGGCCGTGTGCTGGACCCTCCTGGGCTAGATAATCTTCAGGAGCTACCCTTCTACAATGACCTGATTCTAAGAAAGATGATGCTTCCTTGAATCAGAAGTTGCCCTACTGTTCAAGTTTTTCTAGAACTGCTTGCAAGTGTCAAGCAAGACACTTGTGTGTGCACACCTTAAGAAAAATGAGGAAGCACACTCTATCCAAACAATTATTGAGAGACACACTCTGAACCTGGAAACAGGACAGACTGCAATGGAGGCATGTGAGAGTTCACTTAAGAGGCTTCTGGTATGCAGATGGAGGAGGGGAGAGGGAGAAATTTCCACAGGAAACTAAGAATACATCCACATGTGATATCACACATGTTGAATAATGATTAGAACAGAGGTGGGCCACCTGTGTTCCTCTTAAGGGTCACATACCCTCATGGGTGGCCTGTTGGAGGTGCATATTGGCAGTGGGGAAGGCCAGAGTCCGAGGTGGGCAGGTTACTCCCTTTCTCTCTCTCCTTTCCTTTCCAGTGAACTGCAAGCAAATCTCTTGCCAGAAACCTGAATGGCTCACACACAGAAGGCATTTTAAATTATTCTGGAGGCTGCACGAGATCAGACCCAAGCCCACATGTAGCCGTGGGGATGCAGGCTGGCCCTCCTTGCTTTGCAGAAACAAGAGATTCCACTGGGAAAGGGTGCATACTGGGTGATCCCTCTGCTGTACGTCATCCTTGATGCCGGGACATATGCATTCCTACCAGCATTTCAGCCTCTTTTAGAGCGAACAGCATAGGCTGCTGCCTGCATAAAAGGGTTGTGTTAAGTCAGTTCCTATCTGTTACTGCTCATTATACTGCTTCCACAGATTAATTCAGCTGCTCTTCCACAAAGTTAATTTGAAGAGCAGGCATTCTCATACGAATGGATGTTTATCAAATGGCTTTGCAAGATTCTAGGACATGCTTGCACAAACAAGTGCACAAAGGGGCATGTTCAGACAGCAAAAAGTTCTACTGTTCCCAGCATTCCCCACTAGCTGGGGCATGCTAGGCATTTTAAGATTTTTTTTTCTGCCTTAACAAGTACAGGATTATTACTATTACACTGCATTTGTATAATATCCTGCCTTTCTTCCTCTTGCAAGAAACCCGAGAAGGCTTACAAGCTTCTCCTCCTCTTCAGGTTATCCTCACAACAACCTTGTGCAGTAGGTTAGGCTGAGAGTCCATGACTGATCCAAAGACGCCCAGTGAGCTTCATGACCGATTGGAAACTAGAACCTGGGTCTCCTGACTCCCAGTCCAGCACTCCTAACTACTACACCACACTGGTGCTCATTATATCTAACAATACTCCTGAAAACAACGTTAAGTCAAATGCAGTCATAGAAACTCTTCATTCTCTTAAGCATTATCCAATGGTTTCTTAACACAATATCTGTATCCAACACCCACACACAAATCTTATACCTGCGTCTTGGCTCCTGGTGTCATTGGTGTTGCAAAGTTGTTCAAGTCCCAGATGTAGATCTCAGACTCATTTGCACCGGAAGCTACTAGGTTTGTCTAGAAGAGAAAGAACACAGCAAAAGAGTGCATGCTAAGAATCTAAAATGCTCTCATTTAGGCAGTATGAACACAGTTGGAGTGAATCTAACCTGGAATATGTTGACATCCAGAGCTCTTACAGGTCCTGTGTGCTTATCTTTCTGTGCAATCACAACTTCACTTTCGCCAGCTAATATTTTAGCTGGGTCATACAAAATTGTATTTCCATTTTCACCTCCGGCAATAAGTACTCCTGAAAGACTCCCATCAGATGCCGTTTTATGAGGACCCCAGATCAGCTTGTGATACCTATAAGGGAATTACAAGAGGAGTGGAAATGAAGCTACTTAGAGTTGCATATTCTCCTGACTGTAGAAGTGCACCTTCTAACGAGCTGCACTTTCCTTCATGGAACGCAATGCTACAGTGTTGAGTTTGGTGGCAGCGATCCTTAACTAAATTCCCATTCAGCAATGAAATGAGCTGGCTGGCCTTGCCTACCCCACAGGGCTCAAGACGAAGGAGATTTCTAAAGTAATTTGAGCTGTAAGTCAGAAAGCCTCAGATTTGCACAGGTCTGCACTTGTTGCATTTGGTATGGATTGTGGGATGGGAATTGCGGGATGGGAAAGGTTTGGTCTGATGATGTTCAAAATAAACCAGTGCTACAGTCTGAGTTAACCAGGCACCTCTGGTGATAATACAAGCAGGCAACAAAAATGCAGACTCTCCGGTGGGCACTGCATCTTCTATGAAAGATTCGTGGACTCAGGCCAATGTTAGTGGAAAGTCTTTCATCTCCATCTCTGCTCTAAGCAGAGCATCACTTGCTCTGTCAATGCCACTTGCTGAGGAGAAGCAGCTGCAGGTAGCTTAGAAGGGGCCCATGCGCAGAACTGTTCCTATTTCTTTTCTTTTATAACTTCTTTTATATCGTTTATATTTTTTATTTATTTTGTATTATTAATTTTAATTTTATATTGTTATTTTTGTATTGTATTGTGTTGTAAGCCGCCCTGAGGCTTCGGCAAGGGGCGGCATAGAAATGTTCTAATAATAATAATAATAATAATAATAATAATAATTTGCTAAATGCACACTCAGAATGATGGCAGGTCCAGCAAAGATAGAAGAATTAAAAGCACGGAACAAATTCAGTACCATGTCAATTATAAAACGATTTACAAGTAAATGGCACAAGCCAAGGGTTTCTCAGTGGAGATGGAAGCCTGGGCACTGGACTGTTTTTTATTTTTCTGCGGGGGGGGGGCATCTCAATGCCGGAGCCTCTGCGCCCCTGTGCTTCTGAGAGCTGTGAGGCAGCACAGGCAGCACAGAACAGCCTGTTTCCTCTGATCCTGCCACTGCAGAGAGCAGAGCTGCCAAGCGTGCTGCCCTCACTGGAACCGTCCTTCTCGCTCTCATCACCCTGGCCCAGCACGTCCAGGGGTGCAGCGGGGCCTGCTGGATCCGGCCATGGGTAGGGCCAGCAGCAGCATAGTCTCTCTGCCATAGTGTGCTTTGGAACAACTCCTACCATGGGCTAGACAAAAATAAGTTGTGCACCTGGGCTGGCCACAGCATATGCACAGAGGTACACCTGGCTTGGTGTGGCAATGAGGCTTTGCACACGCTTGTGACGCAGGTCCTCTGGCCAGATGCAGGCCTTTTTCTACGGGCCTTTTCCACCCCGAACCGATGCATGGGCTGGACTGCATTCAAATCCAGGCTTTAGCACTGTAGCCCTTAATCACTAGCAATCATCGAGTGCTGTGATTACCTTAAGCAGACAGAGAGCTTTAAAAACTGCACATACCTGTGTGCAGAGGAGAAAGTGGCACAAGACTTCATATCCAGTGATGGGTCTGTCAAGTCGAGTTCAAATATTTCCAAGGAAGCACTGGTGCTGAAGGTTGCATCTAACTGTTGAGCAGATGTGCCTGCGTATAGACATGTAATCACTTACAGTGGACATACCATAAAAACATTTTGGAAACCCCAAATAATTCTACACATTTGTGAGGGAACACAAAACTCATTTATTTTTTTAAACTAATACTACTACTACTCTTCAACAAACTTTGAATCCTTTGTGACATTATGACACTTTTAACTGTTTCCAGAATTTCTCTCCAAAGTGGTAGTTTGAAAAATGCTGGTAATCACTGAGGAAAAGGGGAATTTAATGTGTTTAACAGCCATGCTGAACTTCTGGTAAGCACTGCACTGACCCTATTAGGGTTGCAAGCATCAGGTTCTGCATCAGAGGTGTAGACCTCAGCCTGGGGGCCAAATCTGGCTTACGGAGATCCTAGAAGGCCTCAGCCCCTTTCCCTGAATCTGGTAGCATCCCAGAAATTATTTTCACATTCTAAAAGAATGAAATGCCTCTCCGGAGGCCTGGTTACTAGCAAGAAGAGCTGGCAACTGTGGCCCCTGAGGAATTCTCTGAAATGGAATTTAGCCCTTGGGATGGAAGTTTCAACATCAACAGGGAGGCCCAATGACCACATGCCTAGGAATGGCCACCACTGAAATCTGAGAGGGTTTTATGAAATAGGTAGAGGATCTGAAAAATGCTATTGTACATTCTTAGAGATGCTTTAGAACAAACCCAGAGAGGACATTTCTGTCAATGGCTACAAGAGATGAATGGAACTGCCACATATAAAGGGATGGATGGATGCTATGTCTAAACATTAGAAGGCTAACCACCTTCATGACCTGCTTGAGAGAAAGCAGAGACTCCTGGCTGGTGTTGAGCCAGCTGATCCAGATGGATGCTGATTTGATTCAGCAAGGGAATTTTTATGTGCTTATTTAAGACAAAACACAAGTTACAGCATAATCCTACAGGGAGGCTCCAAGCCCTCCAGACTTGGAGGATTATGGGCATCCTATGCAGAACAGGAGAAGCACAGAGCTGAAGGTCGCCTCTGTATTTCTCCCTGGCTGCAAAAGGAACAGATGGTTGATTTTGGTTGTCAAACTGCAGCTCCTTGGAGCAGAGGGAGGCAGACTAAGGCTATCTCATATCTTGGTGTCACCAGCATCTTCCCCTCTCTGTGCCCTCCAACACCCACTAAACCCCTTCTCCAAGATTGGTCTTATGACCTTGGAGGAGAATCAGCACAGTTCTTTCTATACCAACTGCAAAGGGCAGAGGAGAGTGCTCCATGCATGAAGCCTCAGCTCCATAAAGGAGCTGTTTTCTGATGTTAGTGCTGGTTCTCAGAAAAATCCTATGGCCCTCTGAACATTGTCAAAGGGCCAAAGGATCACTCTGTTGGAAAACGCAGGCTAGACGAGCAAAAGACATAGGATGAGATTTTGATTTCTTGGCAACTAGAACCACATCTTGAAAGGGCCAGATGATGGCTGGACTGTCTTCATTTATGAGCTTTAACTGCAGTCATAATAAATATTTTCATACTTGAATAAAATGTTAACAGAGTCTCCTTCAAAACTTACCAGTAGCCAAGTAAATAGGATGGTGGTCGGATGGACTCCATGCCTGCATGGCAGTACGGTCTATCTCTTTTAACTTCATCCTGCTGAAAAGAGTGTAACAGAGAGCACTGCTAAATGAGAAGTGTGAAATTAAACAGAAACACAAGCGGACACACTGGAAGGGGGAAAACAGCTTTGAAATCAAAACGATGCAAGTGGGACCTTTTACTTTTATATTTAGAACTGTATTTAAACATTATAGAAAAATAAAGTCTTAAGTAGTCAATAAAATATTCAGTAACATTAAAAAAATTGGAATAGAGATTAGTCTCATTTCAGGTTGAAACCAGGAGGGCAGAACGTTCAATGCTACCTTATATGTGTATACTCAGAAACTAAGTTTCACGATTTCTATGGGGCTTATGCTAGGTAAGCAAGCACAGGATTGCCGCTTCAAGTTGCGCACCTAGAAAATTGCTTCCCAATAAGAAACTAACACAACTTGAAATAACGTAACACAAATTTGTAACATAACTTTTTCTACTCTGGTTTACAAATGACCTCAATGTTTAGCACAGATTATTGTTATTTTAACTATGAGTCAGAAATGACTTATGATGTTGATCAGAGGAATCACAGAATAATAGAGTTGGAAGGGGCTAACAAGACCATCAGGCCCAACCCCAAGATTTCCAGATATGTTTGATCAAACAGATATATTTGATCTGTTTTAGCTGTTTGAGGGAGAACCCTGCAAATGTTTAGAAAGAAAAAACTACAGCCCACAGCATGTCCCAGGACTTTTTTAGGACGTTGTGTCCTTTCTTAGCTATGCAACCTGGGGCAATTGGAAGAGGTTAAACGCTTGCCTGAAGGATCAGCTCAAGGTATGCCTTAGCCTTAGAGTTTAGCCTCTGTTCCTGCAAGCCCTATTTTATGACATTATGTCAGGACATCCTGTCCATTTGAAATGAAATGGCAATGTTTTATTTATTTTTATTTATTTATTACAAACATTTATATCCCGTCCTTCCAACAAGTGCTCAGGACAGTGTGCTAATATAAAATTACAATAATAAAACCATAATTATTTAAACAATATAAAACAGCATATCATAAACTAAGAAAAAAGAAAGGGATGAAAAGAATCGAAAATGCGACTGTGGGGAAGGGGAAAAAATCTTAAAACATCTAAACCCCTTAATTATTAAAATGATAGTTAAATAAAAAGGTCTTTACCTGGCACCAGAAGGAGTATAATGCCAGCACCAGGCGGACCTCTCTGGGGAGCGCATTCCACAGCCTGGGTGCCACTACAGAGAGGGCCCTCCTCCGAGTAGACACCCTTCATACTTCCTTCAGAGAGGGCTCCCGGAGCAAGGCCTCCCCTGCTGATCTTAAGGGGCGTGAGGGCATACAGGAAAGGAGGTGATCCTTCAGGTATTCTGGACCTAAGCTGTTTAATGTTGGCAGTGGAAGGGATGCCCTAGTCATCCTATCTTTCCTGTTAGAGTGGAGTTACAGCAGCATTTCACAACACAGCACAGCACCCTACAGAGGTGCTTGACTGCAACTCAGATCAACCCCAGCCAGCAGGGCCCTTCAATGTGTTCCCAGGGATAGACAGCATTGTAGTCAAAGACATCTGAAGAGTGCCAAATTGGCCAAACCCAGAATATAGCTTCTCACCATCTCCTGCACCTGTTTTTTGTTTTGTTTGAATGTTGATGTCCACTTCAGCACAAAGAGGGAAGCCTGAAACATCCGAAAAGGAGGCTGACACTGGAGTGCAACTGGCCTCAAGCCGTACCCTGCCGAGGATTAAACATTTTCTCCAGAGAGTGAACAGCTCCAGCACTCAACCCTCGTGCAAGTTGTTAACTGCTGCTGGCTTTGCACCCTACATTTCAAAACCATATGAAATACATATGGAATTTATTTTATGCCTGATGAGATTTAAGTATCAAATCCTTCTAGAAGTCCTTGGACTCTCCTGAGATCATTTCAGCAAAAAATGCAGAAATGATCAGAGTTTCTGAGGGCAGGTGACCAGTGAGTAAATTTCCAGATCAGACCTATATACTAATCCTCGAGCTCCTTCTAGCTCATGGAATGGAGAATGTGAAGCCCCAGTTCCTGGTGCATCAAGAAAGTTCTGTCCTAAGCCCGTCTCCCCCTTACTGCATTTGCGTCAAGCCCTGTCCGAAAGTGGACAACACCACACAAAGAAACTATGGTGCATTTTAGAATATGTGCATTTTATCCTCCCATCATGATCTGGACTGAAACACGTATCTTTGCTCTCTCTCTCTCTCCCTTTTCGCTTCAGTGGAAACTGAAAAAAGCTCAGGCTAGAAAGCTACATGACTCACAGTACAAACACACACACACAAACCACAAGCCAAACCCACATTTTAGTGGTTCAAACAATTGCAAACTTGCTTCTGCAGCCCTCTGTGATTCTTCTTGGCCATCAAACTCTAATGCGCTAATCAGGTTTTAAAAAATAAAGATATGTTCCATACTGTTCTTTTCATGGATAGATAAAGAACAAAAACACAATTCTATGTGCGTTTAGAGAGATTCCCAGCTATGCTGACTGGGGGATGCTGAGAGTTGCAGGGCTTTTCTCTTTTTCTAAACATGCACAGGACTATACCTTGTCTTACAATAAAGAACACACTGATGCGCCAGCATTTGATGCCCACTGTGGAAAGCAAATCTAAGTGTCTGTATTTTGAATCCTATTCACAGCACCTTTGGGGGGCAGGAGAAAACTGAAGCAATGCAGTTACTAGTTGTTAGGAACACTGTCCATACTTCCTCATTCTGTTTGGGTAAGCCAGCCAATACAAGGGGCAACAACAGCTAAAAGAGCTCAGGCTGCTTCACACTTCACAGTCTTACCTGTCAATTTAAAAACATGGTCTCTCTTCTTTTCAGACCTTCTGGACCCATTAATTAGAAGCTAAACTATGAGATCTGCTGTTACTTTTTTCCTCTTTCACCATCTTCCTCTGCCTTCTTTTGATCTCTCTCCACAGCCCACCAGCTTTGTTTACTTTTCCACACTCCCCTTCTCTTAGAAGAACTGCCTACTTGCCCACCATAAGATGCAAAAAGCACTCTATTGCAGCCCACCTTGCATCAGCCTGCAAGACAACTTGGGGGCTCAATAAACAAATAAAAGCAAATGAGAGGCTTCCATTTTTAGGAGTACACTTAAAAATGCAGAAGTAACAAGGATGGCTTAACAAACACGCATGTGATACAGGGAGCCTTGCTTTTCTGAGTAGACAAGGAGATGTCAGCTCCGGGTTTATTGTTGCATTTCAAGAGAAACCATCTTGTGAGTTATTATGGTTGAAAGATTGTATACAAAATGTATACAATAAGCCATAAAAATTCAATTCTTGATTACCAATTTCAACTGTCATTGATCAACAAAGTTAATTACACACATGGAAACACAAGATTACTGAGTTCCAGTGTTTTCTGTTGCCCAGGGCAATAAAAGTGCCAATTTTTGCAATCAGCACAGAAATAGACTAGGTAGGAGGCCTTGCATTATGTTCTTAAACATAGTAATGAGAATGTTCTGCAATATCCTCAGCCCAAAATGCTGATACTCTTCCCACCTAATTGTCTGTAAAAAAGGGCACTCAACATGCACACAAAGTGCCCAGAATTTTATGTACATTTTAGAACAACTACTTCTTCTTACAGTTTTTATTAAAATTATTAAGTTATTGCTCTGGATCAATCCAGAGTAACTTTCATTGGAATGTGAAACAAGAAAGAAGGAGAAAGTATAAAATTGAAAGATCAAACTCTTTTGAATACGGATCTCTCAAAACTATTTTTGAAAATACTGCCCAGCTGCTTGAAGGAGCAACAGAGCTTTGTCAGGATATGCAGCCCTTGGGACTCATCACAGTCTTTTCTCTAGGCCACTTATCACCTCAACAGGAGCTCTACTATAATCCTATACCAATATTGCACAACTCTGTAGGCTTAAAAACCAAGAATTTTGTCTTGCATAAACACGATCAGTACAGGCACTTCCCTTAGCTAAGAATGGTCTTCTCTATTAACAGTTTTTCCAAGTTGAAAGTGTTATCTGAAATTGAGTTCTACCTACAAAAGGATAAGGTTTGCAATATGCTCTTTCCAGTATGACAACTCCCTTGGGTGGAGAACTGTCTGGAAGTTGAAAACACCTGAACACCAGACTGAGCTGCAGCCTGGAGCGGGCTGGTTTTTCTGCCTCTATATTTGGTATGCAGAGAGGCTCCCCCTGGACAGTGCATTACAGTACACAACCGTAAATGCCACAGAATGCCTATACTGTATATGTTCCCCGGGACCAATCCTACAACAACTGACCACAGCATTACTTCATTTTGGTTAATGTACAACTGCCATATAAATCGTAGTTCCTGAAATAAAAATGTTTGAGAAATCATGCAGCAAGAATCTAGGTGTTGCCGCATGCCAATTTTTAAAATATACATTACAGTAACAGAGGCTTGCTCTGAGTCCATCTCCAAGTTAAAAAGTTAACTTGCAACACACTATTAAAGCTTAGGGAGTACTTTTCTTTAACAGGAATCACTCCTTATTCTGCACATGCCTATTTTCCACTCTAAGTTGGGATATCATTTTTGTCCCCTTAGTACAAGGCAAATTTCAAGTTCTCAAACCAACTCAGAAAAATAGCCTGGGAGAAGTTTTAGAATCATTGTACTTTTTGAAGTCATCATTACAGCTTTCTGCATTCTGCTACTTCTTGAGATATCAAAGAGAAGTTTGCAGCCTTCTAGCTGCCTAAGCAGCTGTTCATTACTCAACCAGCAGCACATAAACCTTTGCTACTGAACCAACTCCTCATACAGAGATAGGAATGGGCAAAAGGACACGTATCCAAGATCATTCAGTGCTACCATGTTTCTTCTTAAACCGTGGCACAAAAGATTTGATTAAAGGGTCCATCTCAGGCACAACAGAGATTCTAACCCATGCTTAGTAACTGAGAAAACAGAATCAGTGTCACATTGTTATGCTATAGACAGCTAAGCAGGTTGGGAGATGCTGGGAGAAATAGTCCAACACATCTCAAATGCATCTGGTTGAAAAAGGCCAAACTGTGCATTTAATTATAATTATATCCCACCTTTTTTTCTTTCAAGGAACTCGAGGTAGCTTACATCATTCCCTTTCTCCTCTCAGTCGTATCCTCACAACAGCAACCCTGTGAGTTGGGCTGAGTTTGTGACTATCCTGAGGTCACCCAGTTGGCTCCATGGCTGAGTGGGGACTAGAACCCAGTTCTCCTGAGTCCTAGTCCTGCACTCTTAACCACTGCACCACACTGGCTCTCTACACAATGCCATACAATATTATACTGATTGTGTGGCACACAATCATTTTGTCACCTTACACAGCTTGGTCAAGGGTGACTTCACAGTTCTTAGCACTTCCAATTAGAATTCATTGAGCAGTTATGCTTTTACTCCTTATTTTCTTTGGTAAGAAACAAGATGGAAGAGGCAGTGGGAAAACATAGGTCGCAAGTGGAAAACATCATCTGGATCCTATGCAAATTCTGTGGTGCAACCAAAGCATCAGTTGGAAGCTACCAATGAATCCTAGGCACAGCTTCATGGGGCAAGAAGCTTGAACATCAGGGATGGCAGGTATCCTGAATTAATTGATCCTGAGTAAGTGTGCAGTTTTTGGTAGGAATTACACGGAAAGGTCAACTAAAGCTTTGCAAAAATAAAATAAAATAAAATCAAGAACAAGTCTTAAGGGCTTTTAATATGCAAACTCTCCCAGTATTTCAGCACAGGTGGAGGTGGGGGTAAAGATATCTAAAGCTCTCATCCACTGATTATGGAAGGGGTGCACTTTATTCAGTCTTTCAAGGCATGCTTAGAAGTTGCAGTGAGGATTTTAAGTATGAAACTACGTGGAGTGCAGTAACTTCCCCATTTATCAGTGCTGAATACCTACAGGAGGATTGCGACTGTATGGTATAGTCTCCCTTCCACACACTTCAAGTATCACAAGCAGATACACATATGATATAGTCCCCAGCAACACACTGACACATAAACTCTAACTTACCAAGAGTGAATGACTCAGCCAGCCCCCAACCCAATACACAGGAAGAGGCTTCCTCCAAATCCAACCCAGAAGACCCTCCCGAATCCTCCTTTTATAACTCTAGGAAAGGGAAAAGGGTGGGGAGGACGAGTCCTGTATCAAAACGAACATGAATCTGTTTCCACTGAGCTCACATCTTCAAAAGCAGTAATAATATTTAGATTCCGCCCCCAGCATTCAAGTTATGGCTGCAATCCTACTTGGGAGCAACTCCCAAGGAGATCGCTGGGATCTACTTCCGAGTAACAGACGCAGGACGGGCTGCCAGCGAGGCGAGGCCAGGAGCTCCGGGTCCATTTCAAGGCAAGCAGACAGGGCGGCGGGGTGGGGCTCGCCGCCAGCCCCTTTCCTCACCTGCTGCGGTGGCTCCGGCCAGGCGCCCTCTCCGGGAAAGGAAGGGCTCGGCTGCGGCCTCCTCCTCCTCCTCAACCGGCGGCAGCTCGGGCGCCTCCTGCCAGGGCCCAGAGCTCCTCCACGTTCCGCTTCAACGTGGCAGCCGGAGCGCCGCCTCCATCCCGGCGGCTTCCGGGACAACTGACGCCCGCCCCGCCGCCTGGGCTGGGCCTGGCCTGCTTGGGAGGAAGCCGGGCCTGGTCGCCTCCGAGCGAAAGCGCCGGCGCGCAGAGGAGCCGCGCGGGGCCCCCGGGGCCAGAGGTGGGGCGGCGGGTGAGCTGCGTGCCTTGTGCGGAAGTTGAAAGACACTCTGCACATGTGCAACGTGCGTTCGTCTCGGCTCTGCAGCCGCCGCTGCTCATGCAAAGCCCTGCTGGATCCGGCGATGGGTGGGATCCAAAATTAGTCTCATCGAATCCCCTTCTGTTTCAGTAGGCCTACTCGAAGTAGGGCTATCATTGCATACAGTCTCAAAACCCATTCTGCTTCCCACAATCGCCTCTGCGAAGTCCGCGGGCTGAAGCACGGTGTGAAGGCAATAGCCTCTTCTATTTCTCGCCGGCAACAAGGGGACTGGCGTAAGGTTCACATAGCCACACACGGGTGAGCATTACAAGACAAAACTGCAAAATGTCGGCCTAGTAACTGCCTCCTTGTCGTCGTCCAGCTCTTTTATTTTCTTGTCTGACACCAAACAGTGAAGGGATAAAATAACTAATTCCTTTTGCATCCTGTTGTTGCATGCCAAATAGCCTGCCCACCTTTCAGGAAGGGTAACCACCAGATTACTATATAATTTAATGTATTACTAGCCATTAAAGGGAAAGTACTGTCATATATGGCTATTAACATACTGCTCAATGGACTTAAATTTGAACTTCAGCGCAAGTTGTAATAGATACTTTGCCGTTTCAGATTTGAGTACTTTTGTACTCTTTCAGGAGAGCATTTTTTCAGTGGACGTAAAATATACAATTACTTTTGTATTTACTTATCAAGAATCTTTACATGCTGCCCCTTGCCCCAGAAAGAACAGTGGCATTGTTAATGATAGGCAGAATTAAATCAGCAAATAAAAAGGCCTTTTTCCCACTGAAGCTTTTGCATATTTCCTAAACAATAGTGTAAGTTTTCAGGTTTACAACTATGCTTTGCATCTCAGCTTCCATATATTTAATACGCGCTTTCTTCATGAAGTTTACACCCATGCAAAATGTTATAGGATCGAAGCAAAAATGTGGATAGAAAAATTATTCTTTTCCAGCATCACCTCTTTCTGCTTCACTGCCTTGTCTTAGCCTTGCCCTTTCACAATGAACACCCTAGGGCGAGCTTACTTCTTGCATTTTCCTTCCTTGCAATAATTATTACATTGGTTTTATATCCACTTTCTTCTGGTGAGGAAACCCAGGAACTGCAGGCAGCTTGCACAGCTCCATTTGATCCTCACAAGCCTGTGAGGGAGGTTAGGCTGAGAGGCCAGTCATGCACTCACCTAAATTGGCCAAGTAGGGAGTAAAACCTGGTTCTCCCAAGACCCCTGGCCAACACTCCACCCACCACACACCTCATGATTCATTTTCCTGTATTTTCTGCTCCCTACTAATCTAATCTTATCCCATGATTGCTGAGTGAACTCAGGAGCCTTCATTTTCATTGTGGAATCAGCAGCAGAGCACTTTATTGCTTTGAAGTGGTTTGATCTTGTACATGTGCAGGAGACATTCAGATTTCTCAAATGAGTATCAGGCCACAGTAGAAATCCATCTTCTGTCAGGCTGATATTATCTGGATTTAACATGTGTAATTTGCAAACAAGGATAGGTTTTTTTTAATGTGCGTCTAATGAAGCTTAAAACACTAATTTCTTATCACTTTTATAGGCCTAAGAAAAATCAAACCACAAAGTTAATTCAAGATCAAAGCATGCATTTATTTTCAGCACAAGCCAGGGCAGGGTACAAGATGCCAGTGGTTCTCAACCTTTTCACAGTTGGGGACCAGTGAAAATAGGAAAATTATTTCAGGGACCACTGAGGCAGAAATACAAAATATATACATAATATAGTATTGTGCATTAGTTCTTAAATATAATAAAAGAATTCTCTAAAAATAACCAGAAACTGAGCAATAAAATGCTAGTTATAAAATATTGAAGTTAAATGTAATTGAACACAACTGTAATTTTTAGAGCAATATTTAATTTAAGTAAGGCCAGTGTGAAATCTGCTGCTGCTCCTTTTCAAGAATTCTTGAAAATCGTGGCTGTAGTGTTGTTTCCGAGAGACGAAGTGCCGCATTGACATCGATTCTGTTTCTCTGTTTGGTTTTTATCAGTAACAGAGCTGAAAAGCTCTTTTCACACAAATATGTAGTAGAAAATATGATCAACAATTTAATAGCTCTGTAACTTAGAGACGGATATTCTTTTTCCAGTGATATCCAAAATTGTGACAATGATAGCATTTTATGTTTGGATGCCAGAGTGACATCAGAAGATAACTCAATCAATTTTTCTTTTTCATGAGGATTAAGTGTGCATGAATCAATATCTTTTATAAAGGGGTTGTTAATCCAGAGGTTACCTTTACGGGGATCCTCATTTTCAGGATAATAATGGTTAAAGTTTTGAACTAATGCCTTTAAATGTTGACTTATTATATTAAATAGGAATTTCTGGTTGACATTAGCTGCAGTCAAAAAGTCTTGCAAATGTGGAAACATTTCTATATCATCTTCTTGTACACGGCTATCCCAAAGAACCAGTTTCTTTTTGAATGCATCCATCTTATTTCTCAGTGTGAAAATATTTGTGGAAAACCCCTGAAGAGAAATATTAAGTTCGTTGAAAAGGATAAATATATCTGCCATATATGCAAGCTTAGCCATCCATTCCTCATCCAACAAAGGCTTTACTAATGCAGAGTCCCACTCTCGCAGAAATTGTTTTATTTCTTCTCTCAGCTCAAGAAGACGAGAAAGAATCCTTCCTCTTGATAGCCACCTTACTTCAGTGGAGAGGAGGAGATGTTGGTGTTGTGAGTCCATACTTTCACACAGTGTTGTAAACAGCCTGGAGTTCAAAGCTCGGCTACGAATGTCATTTATGATCTTCACCGCATCATTCATCACGGTGTTTAGTTCAGCAGAAAGTTCCTTTGCAACCAAGTGCTGCCGGTGAATCACACAGTGAGTGGACAGCATTTCTGGATGTGCCACCTCCTTTATTTTTGCTACTACCCCTGAGAGATGGCCACTCATGCTTGCTGCACCATCTGTACACACTCCGACACACTTCCCCCAGTCTAAGCCCTGCACTTGAAAATACTCATTAAGAACGTTAAACATCTCCAAAGTAGTGGTCTGTCCAGGTAAATCAAGACAACAAAGAAGTTCTTCCCTGAAGTTTTCATCTTCTGTATACCTCACAAAGCAAAGTAATATGGTTTGGTTGCTCACATCTGTTGATAGGTCAAGTTGAATTGCAAAAAATTTCGACTTCTTTATCCCCTCCACAATTTGCTCTTCAATATCACTGGCCATATCAACAACTCTCCTCTGAATGGTGTTGTCTGAAAGTGTTATTGCCTCAAGTTTTTCAGCAGCTTGAGGACCCAAAATTTCCCGAGTGACATCTAAGATGCAAGGCTTTATCAATTCTTCACCGATAGTGAATAGCTTTTTTGTTTTCAATATTTGAAGGGCTACTAAGTAAGATGCTTGAAGCAGCGGTTTATCACCAGTCATTTTCTGTATTTGAATTTTCTGACTTTTCATTTGGTTATGCAGACCTTCAAAAAACTCAGCTGGCTTGTCAATAAGATCATTGTGCTTTGAACGCAAATGACGAGCAAGTTTTGAAGGTTTCATTGCATCATTTGACAAAATTTCAGAACATACCACACACAAGGGACGTGGCGATTGTTCACTACCAGGGGCTACAGTGAAACCAAGTTTTAAATATTCCTTATTATAATGCCTAACAAAGTTAGCTTTTCTTTTTTTGGTTTCTGTTGCACCTACTGGAGTATCAACACATTTCATTTTCACTGTTCCTTTTAAACTTGAAGCACTTGTACTTGGCTTATTTTCGGTATCATCAATACTTTTCTTTGGACTATTGTTTTTGCTTTTGAAGGTTAAAATGTTTTGTTTTTCTCTTTCCATTTTATAGGGTTTAAAATTACAGCATAATGGCTCAAGAAATAACTTGCTTTAAGAAATCACAACAAAGTATTTGCAAACAATATGCTCATGTTGTTGACAGGCAGATAGTATGTATTCCTATCAAGTGTAACTTATAAATACCATGCGAGTGACATGCATGTCTTTCATGATGCGCATCATACCTAAGCCAATGTGAGGTTACTATTTACTCACCCCTAGAATCCCTATGCACTGCTCCCTATTCCAATTGTCCCAGACAGTACTGCGCTGAATAAAATCATACTATGTGTCCAAAAACACCTTAACTTGAACTTTAAAGCCCAAAATTACATGATTGTATAAACTGTATTACCTCTGATATTTAAATATTCAGTGATTGTGTTACTTTGGATTTTAGTTTAGTGTTTTGGAATATGTTCAGCGTGATTAGCTCTTTCATGGAAAGGCAGGAAATTTCTGGTGAACTCTCCTGGTCCATGGACCGGCAACTGAAAAACACTACAATATGCGATCTATAAAAAAAGTATCAAAATCTACATGTTCTGTCCATAACAAGTATTTTCAAAGTTCTTATGCCTGGAAATTTGTCCAGCAGATCTTCCATGCAGTGGATCAAGACTCATTTAATACACAAATGAGTACACAAACACAGGTACAAAATCCAGTGGCACTTTTATCTCGCTTCACATACCTAGAACACAAAACAAAGGGCTTATTTCATGAGGGTGCATACTTTAATGACTTGGCCCATGATTAATTTTTCTATTTCAGCATTCTCAGTAATTGCTTGTTCCTAGTTTTCATATGAAATTGATGCCAATGTGGAAGTAGAAGGGAGTGTAGCCTGACGACTGATCTACTAAGCATATGCAGTGCATTTAGAACCAACTGTAAGTGCGATGGCTAAAGTCGACCTCGACAGATCTGGGTTCTAGTTCCCACTCACTGGAAGCTCACTGACTCAGCCTATCCTACCTCACAGGGTTGTTGTGAGGATAAGATGAAAATAAGGATCATGTAAGCCAGCGTTCCCCAACCTTTCTGGAACCAGGCACCAGTTTCGCAGAAGACAATTTTTCCACGAACTGGGGGCAGGGGGATGATTCAAGCGCATTTACATTTATTGTGCACTTTATTTCTATTATTATTACTACATTGTAATATATATAATAAGTATACAATTCACCATATTGCAGAATCAGTAGGAGCCCTCAGCTTATCTTCCTGCAACTAGACAGTCCCATCTGGGGGTAATGGGAAACAGTGACACCCTAAGTGTGTTGCTTATATCCAGTCTACTCTGTAATCTCGTTTTGATTTACAGTAGGGTTCATGTTCCTATCAGAATCTAATGCCTGATGATCTGAGGTGGAGCTGAGGCGATGATGCGAGTGCCGGGGAGTGGCCGGAAATACAGATGAAGCTTCGCTCACCCACCCACTGCTGACCTCCTGCTGTCCAGCCCAGTTCCTAACAGGCTACGGACCAGTGCCAGTCTGTGGCTTGGGGACCCCTGATATAAGCTAGCAGTCCTCGTGACAGTATTATGATATTCAGTCGCCTGGATCACCCAATTCCCCAGTGACTATCTCCCCATGCAGCAGATCCCTCCCACCAGGTTACCTGGTTATCCTGGAAAGCAGCATCTTGATACCTAAACGAAGGAGAGGAAAGGGAATACTCTGAGATGATACCAAATTTTTATCTTTATATTCTCATCCACAGGCAAAGCCTGTGTCCTCATTGACATTAAAAATAATCACAGCAAATCATGATGTGAACAGCAAAAAGTTTTAATCACAGGACACAGAAGCAGCAGCAGAAAGACTGCAAACTAACTGTTATGGTCCTTACTCAAACATGTTTACACTGGACTTTATTTAAAGAGTGAGCGACTCATTTTAAAGATTCTATCCTGCGTCACAACACTATTCCATAAAATGCATGCATTTTATAAGACCCACAAGCACAACAGGTGGCATCCAGACTGAAGAACATACTCATGGAAATCAAGTCTTATATGACTAAGCCTAGATTCAGTCCATTCTCTTGTCAGAGATGAATTTCAGCACCATGAGTATTGGAACAGTACATTCCAAATAAAAGCGCACAATATCCCATGGCTATAACTACTATTGAAAGTAGGACAGCTATTATTCTTGTCCTTAGAAGTGTAAACATATGTATACATGACCAGTTTATGATAAAGGTGAAGGAATCTTCTGTAAAGGTTAGAATTTATATGAAAGAAGGTTCAGAGTGACATCGCACCTCAAGAAGCTGAGAATCCATGTTCTAAGTTGCCCTCTGTGAAGCAGGCAATTCCTAAGGGTATCAAGAACAAAAGTAACCATTTTTTCTTTCTGTCAACAAAAATACTACATACATAGAGCACACACTTCAGTTAATGTATTTTTTTTTTAAATGCTGGGCCTCAAACAAAAAATCACTTTAAATCGCAATATGAACAGCAAAATGATTGCTTCACTGGATATGCCATACCATGCTCAGAGAGGAGCTGAAGCATAATCGTTGCTTCACAATGCAGCACAAGACCTGCACAGCAATTACATGTGCCAGACAAGGGAAGAGTTGGTTCATTCATCCCTAATGCCAATTATTGAAATTGCAACACTGACAGTCACAACAGTAGTCAAACTCAGTTTGAATTTGGAGTTCTGTTAAAAGTACTGCATTAGAATGAACTGGGTGAACTTCAAGGTCTGAAAAATAAGCAAAGAAAACTCAACTGCATTTAAACAGAAAGGGTGTTGCTGTCTTGAAGCAAAATATGGAGGCCTCACGCCTGTCTCCATTGCAAGGCCAAGACAGGACTCTCCATTACAATGCTTAAAGAACCAGAAATTAAATTCCGAACTAACATGAGTTGTGCACCTCATTAGGTCACCTTGGGCAAAGTACTGTATCTCCTAGTAAGCTATAATGGTTGCTGTAATGATGAAATACGCATTTCAGGTGCAAAAATTACTTTAAAAATGCAACAGTAACGGTATGCAAAAGGTACTACATGCAGGGTAAAGCAGGTTTCAAAATAGACCATTATCCTAACCGGTGGGCAGAAAATGAGACAATTCATGTGTTTGCTACTGCAGTGGCAACATTAGACGACCGCTGGCACCTCCTTTCCTTCAGAAAAGGGGAATGACAAGAAAATGTTACCATCATTCACCACCAGTGTGATGGAAAGAATGTGGGACTGGGGACCCATGAGACAGGGGCTCTAGGCCCCACCAGACCATAATGATTACTGGGAGGCTTCAGGCCTCAGTCCAAGCTACCTCAGAGCTGCTGTGCCGGTAGTGCAGCACGCGGGTCTATGGAGGCCAGCGTTTTCCCACCGACAGACCGCGGACCGGCACCGGCTGGCCGGCATTTCCTGGCGGTCCATGAGAGGCGCTGCCGCGCGCGGGCAGGAGCGCGGCATCCCGCTCGTCCAGGCCAGCAGGGCCGGCTGCGCCCTGGCTGCCGATCCCGCACCTCTTCCTCGGCCGAAGAGGCTGGGAAGGGAGACGCAGCTCGACCGGAGCCAGCCAGGAGCCCCGCCACGCCGGGATCGTGCGGAGCGCGTTTTCCCAGCCGGGCTGCGCTGGTGCGCACGGGGTTTCAGTTCTATTTCATTATTTATTATTAATAATATTGTATTAAGTAACACGATTTGATTTTGTATTGCTCTGCTGTTGATACTGTATTTGTATTTGCTATGAGCATAGTATTGCATTTATATTGATTTTGCATTTTGCTATTGCACATTTTAAATCAAGCATTCTTGAAAAGCAACAGCCGACTTCACAGTAGCCTTAACTGAATTACATACATACATACATACATATTTATTTATTTATTAAAACATTTTTATGCCGCCCCATTCGCCGAAGCCTCGGGGCGGCTTACAACATCGATAAAACAATAAGTTAAAATCCATATAAAATAATCTTAATTAAAACACACATTATAAAATAAGCCGCCCTGGCCAGATATTGCTCTCTACAAATTTCAGTGGAAAGCATATACAATTAATTTTAATATTTTATTCTTTTATTAGTATTTTTACTGCTTAGTTTCTGGTTATTTTAGAAAATTTTCATTTTTTGGTACTATATTTAAAAACTAATACACAAAATACTACATTATGTATATAATGCTTTTTTTTCTGCCTCGGCGATCCCCGGAATACTTTTCACATTTTTGCGGGTCCCAAACTGTAAAAAGGTTGCAAACCACTGATTACGTCACCTTGGGTCCGTTGCGCGAGGAAGAAAGACAGGATACAAATGCAATGTGGTAGCAGCAGAAAGAACTTTGCAATGAGACCTAGCTTCTTAGGAAGGCAGGAGATTTATATCTTTCACAAAAAGTGTGCCAGTATAGGAAACAGTATGAAACTATTGTAAGCATCTGTATCACATCCACAAGCAAAGTTGCAACAGGCATAAATACATAGAAATAGGTAAATGTGTTGCAATCTGAACAGAACTCTACCAAGACTTCCCATAGAACAAACATTCTAGTCTTGCCACTAAATACCAAGCAAGTAAAATCACTACGTTTCTTTCCAAGCAATACTTAATCTCCTGCATTCACCCTTACCTGGCCGACGCAGCTCGGGACCCAAGCTCCAAGCTTCAGCGGTTATTCTTCATGCTTCAGACAGCAAGGAAAGGAAAGGAAAGGAAAGGAAAGGAAAGGAAAGGAAAGGAAAGGAAAGGAAAGGAAAGGAAAAGGAGTGCCAGGTCCTCGGCAACAAAAGCCCTGCAGCTTCTGAGCGTGGCATTAGCCCAAGCAGCTCAGGAGCCGCGGCGCGCCATCAAGCAGGCGCTGCAACAAAAGTGGGGCGGCGAGGCAAGGAATCCATTCACCCCAATGGGAATCCAAAGGAAAACGCGAACGCGGGGGAAACGGAAAATTGCTAAGCAGGGCTGATCATGAAACTGGGAGCGGGGCGATTCTGAAGCCGCAAAGACGGCTGGGGGTCTTCTTGTCCCCCGAACGAATCCAACCTCTGGAAGCAAGCGAGGTCGCTTCGGCCCCTCCCCAAATGCAAGCACACTTAACTGAGAGATACCAACACGCTGGACATTCGCCCCCCCTCCCCGCAGTGAGCAAGAGGCCGCCCGCCGCTCGGCGAAGCGACACACGGCGCCGGCCCGTGCGGAAAGCCGCCCGCCACGCCCGCCGGCCCCCGAAAGAAATGGACTCCGCGCCACGCGGGGGAGACGCCCCTCCCCCCCGTTGGCTCCCATTGGTTGGCCCATAGGGCGCTCTTTATTGGCTGTTGCAGCTTTTCCGACACTATTTCCGGCGAGTGAGCGAGCCAAGTTTCGATCTATAGATTTACGAAAAGGTTTAAGTGACACAGCAACACAGTCAGCTTGGCACTTGAGGTATAACTTTGAACCTGTTTTCCACTGTGGTTTCGAATCTAAATTATATAAGGGTCTCGTTACAGAACCCAGGACAAAAGAACCCCGACGATGATCCGAGGGAGTCCACAAAAGTCGTGACTTATTCGGACGTTCGTGTCTGATTGTCATCTTTCCGTTTTGTTTATCTCTATCTTTTTTGCAGGCCAATCACAGTCACTTCGCTTCGGAAAATAACCAATGGGAAGTATAGTTTTACGCGCGCAGAGAAAGCGAACCATTCAGAAATAAGAAACGATGAGAGCCAATAGGAAGACGGAATCCGTGAGAGAGGCGATTTGAAGTGGCTTTTCACCCAGTGGCGGCAACCATGTAGACGTTAGCTTTCCCCTTGTTGCTGTTAGTCGTGTCCGACCCATCGCGACCCCGTGGACAACATTCCTCCAGGCCTTCCTGTCCTCCACCATCCCCCGGAGTCCAATCAAACTCACGCCGACTGCTTCAGTGACTCCATCTAGCCACCTCATTCTTAGTAGGGTCCATTTAATCCTTATTATAAGGTGCCATCCAAAACTGGACCATCAGCAGAGAGGCCCTCCTCACAGAGAAACGGAGGGCTAGACGACTCCTTCTTAAAAACAAATTAAAAGCATCCTATGGTCTCCGAGAAGAATCAGAACCAAAGGAGAGCGTCCTATTTTTTAAAAACGAAGCAGCAGCCTGTGCGATACTTGATATTTCCATTAGCCATACCTCTATGGTCCACAAGCTCAATTCTCGCGAGAGTGAGGCAGAGGCCGTTGGTGACGCCACGCCTCCCCTCTCTCGCCCGGCCTCTTCTGCGCTCGCCGGCGGAGGCGACGGCCGGACTGGGTCGGTTCGGGGCTGCGGCGCCCGGGACAGCGGGCTGAGCCGAGAGCTGGTCATTTTCTTCTATTAGTGAGTGCGAGAGAGCAAGCACGTCGGCGAGACCGATTTTCTCGCCTGGGTGGGGAGGGGTTGTCCTCTCCATACGTCACAGTTACACGTGTCGGCGACCGTTAGGGCTGTTTCTCGCTTTATCTGTTTGTCGGATGCCGCTCGCACACCAGTCGTGACGTGCGACTATTAAGCGTGTTATGAAATTTGTCTAACAATCAATAATGAAGTGCATGTTGTAAAATACAAGAATGTAAAGTGTTAATTAGTACAGCTATATAAGCTTTGCGTTATTAATATTGCTGTAGCTCTTAAAATCTAAGCTGTTCATAGAAATGTTAAAAATCAGATTTACAATGCTGTATTTAAAAGTAATCATATTAAACATCTGATCTGAGCATCTGATGAATTGCACTTATTATTACTATGATTGTTACATTACATTTCGTATATTCCCCTTACAAGGAAAAAAGCTTAACACGGGAAAGCAAAGCTTATTAGGGCCAAAGTAGATGTGAGCAATGGGAGATCTGTGGGCTTAAACCTAGATCAGCCATGGTCATATAGAAAGAATATGGAAGGTCAAGTTTTTATGAAAGGGATGTGCAGGTAAGGAGGGCAGGGTTCAGATACCAGTTGGAGAAAAACTGGAGAAAATCTGCAAGTGGTAAGCAATAGGAAGGGGAAGGAGTGCTCTCCTCTTGCATGCTTTTATCATCTTAAATTGGGCCTTCCACCTTCTGTGTGATTGTGGCTGTACAAAATGGGGACATATCAACAAAAAATTATGTGAACAAGCTTTTAAATAAATGCATACTTCATATTTCTTGGGTTTCCTCTGATCAATTAAACATGGTTGCAAGCGTGCTCATACTTCACCTACCAACAGATGCAGTTTTTGTATCAGGAAATGCATATTGTACTCAAGTAATATATTTATGTGGCTAAAATTATGCTACAGTGTTAAGATGCTTTAAAAATTTGCTAATTTCAGTAGATTGGTATCAAATCATATGAGAAAAGGATATTTCATAATTTACAAAGAACAGGGTTGTTGTTAAAAAGTAGATGCTTTTTAAATAACAGCTTTAATTGTTCTCTTAATTGGAGCTGAAATTGCCTTGTTGCATTTTCCATTAAGACTTCTGCAGAAGCAGTATCACTTTACTAAGGCTTATAATAGATGTAGAGATAAGAAAGAGGCAAGCCACTGTTCAGGTTGTTTCCTCAGCAATGAGAACTGCTGCAAGTAAGATCATGGCACTGCACATCAATTGCTTTGCTGATGCATAAATGCTTTGGTTAAATGGTCTTAGAAACCACAGACTAGCAGTGGAATTGTCCAGAGTTCAGGGGAAAAAAGCAACCAGAATGTATGTCTTTTCCTAATAATCTACAGCCTGCTTTTTCTAACTAGCTGTTCCCCATAATCTACAATATTGGTGCTACATAAAGAAAATGGAGTTGAGTGGTCCTTCGAGTACACATACTATCGACCGTTTTGGTCGTGGGAGACTAGAGAAAGCACCCTGTTTCTATATTATCTTCATTTGGCTTGATCAAAGAGTTGAGTCATACCAAAGCTTGCCCATATTGCTTCCTAGCAGAGGAGGGAGTGGCATTCAAAATCCAGCTCGAGTGGGAACTTGCTGCACAGCCACCGATTGTGTTTGCTGATCTGGGTGCAAGTTTGCTCAATGCACACAATACATCTGTGACCCCAGAATGCGTCACCCTGAAAGAACTAAAAAGAACCCTAAAAGAACTAAAATAGGTTCTTTTAGTTGCTGGAGGTCTCCCTTGGGGTATTTGTCAGCAGGGTCATTGGCCTTGTGCTGATCTATCAGCAAAACGAACTAGGTAGGATTGTACACATTAGCTGCTGCTGCTCCTCCTGGAATTGCGATGACAAAGGTGTTAGGGTGAAAAAGGATGCTGACAAAATCCAGAACATGTTTCAGAACCCTCCCAGTTTTCCTCACCAAATTGCATACTTCCTTGACGCTTGCCACCTCGTAAAGCTTATAAGGAATGTATTTCAGCTTTGTCAGATTATAGACATCTTGGACCACCAGGAATTGTGGCAACTCGGCATGTAGCGGAGCTTGTGGCTGTGCAGGAGAAAAATATGGTGATCCTTGGTGAGCATTTGTCTGGCAAACTCAGGAGCAGCCAAGACCGTCTTAGTGGTGAGCTAGGCTGCAGTCTTCTGCTTAAGTGTGGCAGAGGTCCTAAAGCATTTCCACTTAGTGGAAGCAGCTCCCTTGTACTTCCGGGCTACAAGGGGACTCTCAAATTTGTGCTCTTGAGCAATGGTTTGTTTGATGTTCTTAGATTGTAAGGCATTATGGCAAAGGACTGAAGAGACTACTGGTGGAGAGTAAGAGAAACATGCCTGAGCCAGGGTAAGGGGGCAGCCAAATAGGATAGCCAAGATTGCTATGATAATCAAATCCATCAGTACCTCAAAACCAAAACATTTTCTGCAGCATACATTGTGATTTCTGGCTGCAATCCTGTTCGTGCTTCTCTGAAAGTAAGTCCAAGTGACTTATTTCCAGTAGATAGGATTGGGCTGTTAATCATGCATGAAGTTTTTAAATGATTTCCGTGAACCCGATGTTTTCAAATTGAATCGATAGTTTAGCAGCAATAAAAAAATGGGATTTTTTTTTAAACAAGACCTATCCATATTTTTTTGTTTTCACTATTACCAAGATAATGCTACTGTGTGTGTTCCTTGCAGAGAACAAGAGAACCAAGAATTTTCAATCTAAACATAAGCTGTTTCAGTTATATGGGGTTAAGCTGTTACAGGAAAGTATGAGAACCTGCAGGTTGTGCCAAAGGTGGATTGTAAGGAGGAAGGAAGAGGGAACACCACAAAGGTGTGCTGGAAGACAGTTCGAAGTGCATGGAAGAGCAATGCAAGAAGTCATCTTTAGTACTGGGGACAGGAGACCTTCGGATAGTTAAGTGTGGTAATGCTGGAAGAGTGAAGGTCATAGGCAAGGATGAATCCAGATTTATGGAGAAGCGAGAAAGTAAAGGAAGGCCATGGAAGATACTGAAAGACCTTGTGCTGGATCTGGGAACAAAAAGGAAATCTTTAAAAAGCCATGTCCTGTGATGAAATGCTGGATATGTTTAAGCGGACTAAGCTGAGTACAGAAGCCCAAAGAAAATACTGCAGAGATGACAAGAATGTGGATCAGAGTTTTGCTGAGGACAGATACTGTTTTGTAATTTTCTAAAAGGAGAAGCAACAGTCTTGCAAGAGACTGAGCCTGGCCTGGGGAACAAATGAGAGTAAACAGTGAAGACTTATGTGGGTGGTAACTTTGTCAGTAGAGAAGCTATATGGGGCGGGTTTTTCCTTATTAGGAAAAAAGATAAGTTTGCTTTGTGTATCACTTAAATATTTTAGAAGCCAAGACCAGTTCTGCTTAAATGAATTGCCAAGATCAAGCCATAATGGTAATAAGAATTGGTAGTTTAATAAAATGCCTTCATATTCCTGATTGTTAAAGAAAAATGTGCAAAGTCCATTGTTACATAATAGTATAAATGTTTTATTTTTCTTTATCTGTGATTTATCTGACATTTGTTTTTACAATATAGAAAAGTGTATTCTTTGAATAGTTCTAGTAAATATAAATTTAAATCTATTTTAGATGTAAACCAGAACTAGAAAATGAACCCCAGCCAACCCTCCCCTCTCAAAATTTGCTGACAGTGGATACAATATAAAAGCACTCTGGCTAGGCACCTGCTAATGATTTCTGTTTGTGTTTTGTCAGAAATACTGCAAGCACTCCACTAAAATGGAGTGGGCTGCACTGTAGGAGTACTTTATAAATTGTTCCCGGTATCTTGATGTGTTTTTATGAACTTGTTCAGCAATAGCATGCAAAGGACCATGTTAAAAAAAACACAAAGGGGAGGAGGGGAAGAACCAAGCTAAGTACAGGAGAAAGCTTGCTCTAAGAGACAGAAAACTAGATCTTTGATTGCACCTTCTTCAAGTCTTTTACACACAATTCCATCATACATAATCTACAACTGGAATCCAAACTTCACAAAAGGATTTCTGCACACTTATAAATACACATCACAAAAAGGTGCAAGTTAGAATAAGACACAGAATATGTACAAAATTCAACACAAATTTAGTTCTAGACAAAAAGATGCATGAAAAATAACCTTATCAAGTATTATTTCCACTCACACTAATTTACATTTATACAAATCTCATCCTAGGGATGCTCATGGAATTAGTAAAAAAAAGGCAAGTCTTCAGCATCTACTTGGAAAAGTAATACACTGACTTTTTCCAAGTCAGAGTTCTACTTGTAAAACATTTCATCTAAAATGAACAAATCCTTTCAGGATTCTGTGTACATATATGCAGGTCTGCTATGTGTGTACATGTACAGTTACATAATAAGAATATATATGTACAATTATGTAGAGAAAACATCCCTTTTGAAAAATACTTATTACAAAGCAGATTAAGATATCTAAGAAGTGCTTACTAATTCAAACATGGAATTTATATCCATTCATGAAACTCATGGAACAAATTGCTGCAATAGAAGAACAAGCTGTCATGTTTAGCATTTTAGTTGTATTTGTTAGAGATTCTTCTAAGCATTTTTATCTGAACATTGTTCATCCTTTTTTCCTGTTCCACCAAAGTTTTGTCTTAATATACAGTGTCAGGCTAACAAACTGCACTGCTAAAATATATTTAAAATAGAAGCTAAGTTGAGGCAGTATTAAAAAGTATGTATGGCTTGCAAGTAATTTGTATATAGCTATATTTGAACAACTCAGCTGAATTGCTACAAAGACTTGGTTTGCTTTCTGCTGAAAAAGAAAAAAACAAGCAAACAACTGCCTACCTGTTTTCCACCCAAATGAAACATTTATATGGAAAACCTTCCTTCTTATGCAGGCAGCTGCAGTTTTAGATAATGGTTTAGATAATTTCTGAATGGAAGTATCTGTTGTCTGATGCAGCAGAAGCAGCAATACTTAAGGCAACTGAAATCAATGGACTCAAGTGTACTAGCATCATATGGTGACTAGTTATTATTCTAGTCAAATATATGTATAACGGGGTGGCCAGACTCGCTTAGCGGAAGAGCCACATGTGGTAAATGTCAGATGTTTGAGAGCTGCAAGTTGCAAAATAAACTCAAAGAGCCACATGCAGCTCACAAGCCTCAGTTTGGCCACCCCTGGTATATATAACTATCGCATAGTTTTAAAAAATCCAATGTGCCGCATCCTTAAAGGTACACCTTCAAACTTTATATAATTTACAACAAAACCACATAGTTGTACAGTTGATGCAACCCTTGCACATTACTAAGTACTCTTGTGGAAACCAGCTGGGATCCAAGAAGATATACTGATGAAATTTAGCATGTTAACCACAAACATACCCCTTCAAACATAGTTTGCTGTGTGTAGTATAATGCAGTGGGGAGCTGTTGCTTGAGAAACTCAAGAGACACAGACTAGCTTAAGATGTTATGGGTGATTGGGCGGGGGGGGGGGGCGCTTTCCAGTATTTGGAGATCTGGGAAAAGGGCTGGGAGTACTCAACAAATACACCTCACATTTATATGGATTAAGAGTTATGCTGTGCTTTCCCCCTTATTTCCAGCATTAAGTTAAAAGGCATGATATTGCAAAATGCTGTTTAGGTGGTATATTACATCAAGCTTGGTTACAGTGGCTTATTTATGTCAGAGGAGATACACCCCAATATGGGATTTTTTTTCCAACCTCATGCAGTAGAAGTGCATGGAGCTTAGAGATTTTCTGAGATGTTATAAGATATTACAAATATAACTGGAGTCAGGAGTTCTTTTGATGATTCTACTAGAATATCTCAAGCAGAAGTCTTTAAGTGATCAGGAACTTACAGGGAATCTTGGTTGCTGCTGAAATGAGCTAGATTCAAGATAAAGACCAGATAAAAACATTTACCTCCAGTTCCTTCAAAAGTTTGGGGGATCTGTGGGGCATAGCACCAATATTAAAAATCTGCAGTTAAAGTCTGTCAAACAAAATATTCATCATCTCTGAAACCAATGAAAATGGTTTATTAAAATTTAGTATATGACATACATTATTTTTAAAACTTAGGATTATTTTATGGTTCTTTAAGTTGATATAATTTTTACCTTGATTTTTGTATATCAGTATTATATATTCCTGTATTTAGCTCTTATAATGCATTATCCTTAGTATATTAAGATCAACGCAATTAAGTCTGCCCACTGAAGTCAGGACTGCAGCCAATAAGACAACCAATGGACTGGCATTTCTTTTTTAATTGTTTTTCAGCACGTATTTATTTTTAATGATGTCCTTTAAGCATGAACTCATCCATGGGTGTACTGAGGATGCAAAGCAAATCTGTTGTGAGGCTGCTCCAGCTTACTGGGAAAATCTGCCCAAGATGCTACTGTGGCAAGAATACCTAGTCATTCCAAACAGATTTGCCCAAGACATGTTCCTGATAGACTGACTGATGTCTCTCCCCTTCCCCCGTACAAAATTCAACACTATACATTGCAAATAATAATTTAAAGAATTGCCTGTATAACATCATCTACAAGAGAAGGAATGAAGCTAACTAAACATCTCAGATTTATGGAGTATAAGAAAGTTAAGCTTAACGCTTCAATATTAACATACATCATTACAAAGCTTCAATATTAACATACACCAATGAAACTAAGCAGCACCAAATGAAGAGTGAAGAATGCTGCTGTGAACTAAAAAGTGTCCGTGTGCCTTTTAGTGTCCCATACAGACATTTACAAGAGTCAGCAGTTCATGGCACAAGGGTCACTTTTGGACTTTCCCGCTGAGTTAATGATTCTCATTAGACAACGTCCAAATTCCTCTAGAATCATCCGTTCTGCTACTGCCTTTGACTTGCCTGCCTTCTCAGCCTGCTCAGCCTGTGCTAGTAGGCAGTCACATGTTGCATCTGTAACCTCCTTTGTTACAAATGTAAAGGGCAACCTGCAAAGAAAAGAACAACTCTGAACTGTTATATGTAATACAATTGTGTCAAGCGATCCGTAAATCGCATGGAGATGAGTCGGAGTTCCCCAACCTCTCTAGGTCAGTGGATGCATTTGGAATGTTGAATGCGTATCATGGGTGCTTCTCACACAAGGGTCGCCATGGCCAGTCACAAACACTTCCTAGAAGGCAGGCCTGTGAAACTAAAAGTAGAGTAATTGGCCAAGAAATGAACTACAATTCAGAGGGGTTCTGCGCTCCAAAGACACAAAACTACTTTTATGCTTCCAAAGAAAGATAGGGCTGGAGGGCAGCACTTCACTTTTCAGGCTTCCAGCTTAAGAATTGTTTTAATTTTAGATATATATAAATAAGTCAAATTAGGGGAAGGGAGCCGGGCAGGGTACTGGTGCCCATAAGCACCACTTTGGAGAGCCCAGAGTCTGTAGTCAATTCTTAGCAGTGCCAAAGCAGTTCCTTCAACAAGGAAATGCTTTCAACCTCTTCTCTTTCTTCTTCACAGCTATAAATCCATCCTGACTCTGTCAGCAGTTCTCTCTCCAGGTTTAGAGGGGTAGTGGCCCATTAAATCTGAAGTTATTAAAAAAAAACCCCAGACATCTATTGCTCTATGACACCATTTTCTGCTTCCATTTCAAGGTAAGAGCAGTAGCAATGGTATTTAAGAGTGTGCAAGCCATAGAAAAGTGTTGGGAAAATAGTGAGGAGGAGGAGGAGGGGAGAGGAAAAGCCCAGCAGCCTGAGCAGCAGCCCACAGCCACGCGCTTACATGCTAATTAGCATGTGCCCGCTCTATTCCTCTCGATCTGCAGTAGTAATTACTGAACTATAGATACATCTCTGGCCCAGGTCAACACACCTTCCTCCTCCACTGGTCAGCACGGGTGCTGGCCTAGTTAGCAAGTCTGAGATCTGTGAGGACAGCTTTGTCTTTGCAGCTGTTTGTTGCTGAACTCTCACTTCAGCAGCATCAGCCAAGTGCATCAACGTCTTCCGCTCTGGGCTTTCTTCAAAGTTCTTGCAGCCAATACACTTGCAAATTGAAGAACACATGATCTTTGCCTACAAAGGGAGAGAAAAGGCAAGGAAAATATTCCATGCTGTACTGCAAAATCACACGCACGGGAGATTTGATAACAGTGTAGAATAATGTGTTTGCTACAGCACTCCAAGTGATTGCCTTTTTCAAAGCACAACTCCAGCCAGATAAATTTAACTGAACACAATGCTGCCATAATTACCTTTGTTTCAACCTGCCTGTGTATTATGCATTCAAATGCTCCTTATAGCAGAAAACAAAAGGCTTTCTTGGCAATGTCACTTCAATTATGGAATGGCCTTCCTAAAAAGGTCTATGTGATGCCTAGGTTACAATTGTTTCAGCACCAGCTAAAAACATTTGTGTTTCCCCACTGTTGCTTTTAGATTTAATTCTATGGCACAATCCTATAGTTAGAAAAAATGTCCATTATTCCAGCATGCTAGGCATGTAAGCTATGCCTCTTTGGACAAGGCGTTTTCTCTAGGATTGTGCTTTTAATATTCAACTGCAAATTTATTATTGTTATTTGTAAAATACCTAAAAATGAATACTGACCTGAAATCCAAAGAAAGAAGGGTGCTATATAGATTTTTTAATAAACAACAGAAGGTGATTTCTTCAGCAAAAACACTATAAGAATTTCCATCTCATATAGGCCCAAGGCCAGTTTCCTGTTTGCACTTGGGCCTTCTTTCATGGGAGTATGGGTATGCCTATGGCATTAACCTTAATTAACAATCAAGCCAGAGCCTGGAATATTTTTTCCCCTGAAGAACTGATGGTAGTTTTATTTAAGCAGGCTTTCAGTGACTAGAGACAACTTCAGACATGAGATAGGCACAGGTTAGTATCTGATGTGCATTTAAGGCATAAAAATAGTTTTTTTTATTGGCGTTTCTTTGGAGATGCTGCAAGACTGAACCGGAGAAAGCAATGAAAAAAAAAAAGCTGCCCAAAAGGAGAGAAGTACAACCAATTTCAACTCTTACCTCATAACATTCACAATAGTTTTTTAGGCACCCAGACCGCTTGCAATTACAACCTTTGCTGTGCCGTCTGTCTGACTCGCCTTCTTTTCCCTTCCCTATTTTGGGCTTGAAGGCCTCGGGGTTTCTGTCAAGGCAGGCCTAACAAACAGATGCAAACAGACAGATACATATCACTATATATAAAAAGTAAACAAGTGCTGGAGGCTGAAACCTAGGCTTTTTCAGGAAGAAATTACAGAGATTCTCATTCAATCCAGAAAGGTAAGATTCATATCCCTAGTTCCCAGGAAGGATACTAATTCAAGGAGGAAAATCCACTTTTAAGGATGTCAACAACACTAGTAAATAGAGTTCCTGAAGATTTGCCCATTTAAAGTACAAGGTTTTTTAAAAATGGAATTTTACCTTGATTGCTTTTTGTCTATCATTTTCATGGTCCAGGTTGTTATAACAATTTGTACAGTTGCAGTTGTTGCAGAATTCACCATTGGCAAAGCAATCACAATACCTGGAAAAGAAATCCCCAATGATGCTTGAATGAACTGGGGCAGATCCTGATCATAAGACATGTAATGAGGCTGGCAGAAACTGAAATTTTAGCCCCTCTTTCCAGTAGCCCCTGATGCAACTTCCATGAGGACGGGGAGCGGGGGGACCTACCAAATAGGATGGGCTGTGGCACAGAAGGGGAATTTACTGAATCAGGCGGAGCCAAATCCTGACCTTTGTCTGGGTCAAACACAAAGGGCATAATTCAACATGGCACTTACACCTGTGCTGACTGTCTTCCACAGGTGATTTGTCCCATCAATTCCATTGTTCCAGTGGGAGCCACTTATGCAAGGGAGATTTAAGGCTTCATAGGGAAAATGCCTATTTCTAACTGGAGGCAAGTCAGCAGGGCTCCCTTATGCTGATCTGCTTTCTCCCAAAAGTGGGCATTTCCATTTGTTTCAGGTTGTCCCCGAAGCGCCAAATCCACTATCATGCCAGTAGTGGGAGCAACGTGCGCAAGGGAATCAGCAGGGGTTTGAGTAGGCACAAGCATGAATAGATGGTTGTGGCCATTCCTCCAAGTGGAGTCCAAGGCAGGTGGAACAGCTTCTGAAGTGGGCTGAAAAGGAACTTTCAAAGTTTGTTGTCTCATGAAGTAAAAGTGTTGCAGCTTCCTTGCAAAAAAAAAAAAAAAAGGGGGGGGGAATCCTAAGACAGGAACCATGGAGTATCTGCAACTCCCAAGAGGGAGAGCAAACATCTGACAGCCCCCTTGCATGGAAGTATGTAATCTGCTGTAATTCGATCCTGAAGGAAGAGGGCAAGGCTTCTTCAGAAAGTAATTAGAGGCAGGCAGCTTGTGACCGCCTGACGAAAGTTGTGCACCTCCTTCACAGCCAACCAACCGCACATATGTTCTGCCTCCAAGACCATTCACACATCTTGTTCTCAAGCTACATATTGCACAAAGCGGCTCCATTCTATCATGATTATGGCACTTAGTGATAGTGTACAGGTTTAATCACCACCGACAACATTAGTGCAAAGAGATACCAGTATCTGTTTTCGTATAGCTGGAATCCCTGAGACATGTGGCCTGCATTTGTTTTCCCTCTAACACAGGCTTTGTTCAAATGTATGGACTCGATTGCTAATAGGAAAAAAGCAGGGCTTTTAATATTTGTCAATAGAAATTTGCAGGCATATACTTACAGCTTAAGACACAAAGATTTTGTACAGTTGCATGGCTTTCTGGGACGATTTGCTGATTCGGAGGGAATTATTCTAAAAAACAATTATAATAGCTTTAGGCCTCTTTGCTCAGTGGGCGAAAAAGTCAGATAATCAACCTCCCACAAAGCAGCCTTTGCAATCCAGACCACCCTATCTCACACAGAACAGGAGCAGGATCCTCCATCACAAGGGGCTGTACCGATTGTTCTTGACATAAACCAAGCTAAATCTGTAAACCCACTTCACTTAAACACAAGCAACTACCTACTGCTTCTCTGAATAAGTCCTTGCTTAGACCTTGTCTCCTTTTGGTCAACTTCTGTCAGGAATAAATAATTCTGCTTTGCACGCGCAGTTGGTGTAACTGGATCCTTCAGCCACTTGAAAACCACAAATGCAGCAGAATTATCTGTCGTCAGAAGGCACTTCCCTGTTGGATTTCTCACAAGTTCTCCCTTTAGGCTTCCCTTCTTCCAGTTAACAGGCATGCCGAAGTCACAGACTCATCCAGAAAACAAAGTTGGGGTGGGCTGAAGGTGGCGGGCTGGTGGGCTCTTCCTCTTACACACTCTAAACCAGGGGTACAGAACTTCCGGCCCATGAGCAAAACCTAGGAATCTCAATCTGGCCCTCCAGGTGGCCCTGCCCCTCTCCTCAAAACACTGATCATTTCATCATTTCCTGACTTTTGTGCAGCTTTTTCCCATTCCAAAAGAAAATCCTCACTTAAACTTCCATTGTTCACAGTAAGAGCTTTAAGCTAAAACATGCTAGTTTTAAAAATACACGCTGTCTGCCCCTTTTGCCTCTGACCCCACTCACCCTGAAATATGGCCCCCTAAGAGCCTCTCCAAAATGCACTCAGGCTGAAAGAGGTTCTGCACCTTTGATCTAAACAGAAAGCTTTTCAGGTATTAACTACAGACTGTGCTATTTATCAAAAAACTTGGGACTATACAGCATCTGAAAAGCCACTTTCACCTAAACATATCACCACTGGTAAAACTGACCAAAAAATACTGTCTTTATATCAGTAGGACCAACAACGTATTGAGCGAAGTTCCTTGCAGGGTTCCTCTCCCTGAAGATTTTACCAAAGTCCAAGTCTATCTTGTGGAAATTGATTAGGACTTCTTCAATATCCTTTAGGCAGATGGTGGTCCAAAATACTGAGTTTTAATATTTGTAAGCATTTTACCTGTTTTACTATAAATATTTATCTGCCTGAAACAAGGTAAGCTACTAATCAATATACTAACAGGACTGTAGAATCATGCTGTGAAACAAAATTGTTTTATGACTCCAAACAGCATCCTGGGATCACAGCAGTTCCTAAATAGGTGAACATCCAACATCAAATAGGTGAACATCCAGTACTTTCTCCTATCTCTTCTTGCATGTGATTGAAACATCGTGCAGAATACATACTTTTAAACATTCATCTATACAATACACACCCATTGAATGGCAGTCGAGCCTGTGTCTGGATACTAGATGTCCCAGTAAGATTGGTGTTGCTTGCTATGGATACGTAGGAGGACTGTTGCAGCTAAAAATAGGCATATATACAGAGTTAATACATGGAATTTTTATTTTTTTGCAGATCAGTACTTTCATAAATAGCTACATTTATGCTTAAATTCGAAAGATGTAGTCTGCTAGCAGTTTAGGCAGGAGGACTTTATCGTCTCTCAGTTATTCAGGATAGCAATCATTTTCTTGCACCCACACGTTTTATTTACACTACTGTTATGTCGCTCCTCAGACAAACAGGCTCCCAGAGTGGATTGCTCAAAATCAGTAGAACAAGACAGTTCCTGCCTGCAGGCTTGCAATCTTAAAAGGGACGACATATTAAAAAGTGAGGTATAAAGGGGGAAAATAGTAATGTATGATAGTATAGTGATTCTGTTTGCTCATGACTAGATAAAAGCTTGTCTTTAATCATAAAATGTTTACGTACCACTATCCTTTTTTAATGCCTGTGGCAGATGAATTTAGCAGCAATCATCATGTACAACAACCCACTGCTCCGCTAAAATCCTGTAAAGACGCCATTAGAACACCACAGCTGATACTATATGTAGTTTTGCTGGGCGAGCACTCTTACTTTATTACTTCTGATTTCTATGGCCAAATAAAAATGGCAAAAAATACCAAAGAATCTAATTTATACTGTCTTTTCTGGGGAATGTACAGGAAAGTTTTTCATTTAAGTCCTCTACTTAAATTCCTCCACAGCTGTACTATTCATTCGGGTCCTTCTGTGGTTGCTGCTGCTATTAAACCATTAGCAGATTTCCACGTACCTGGACCAGGTTTCCTTACAGGGGCCCATCAAATTCACTTTGTGAGGCTAAAAATAAATCTCAAACAAGGAATCATCTATGGACTAAGGATTTTTTTTTAACCCAGAAAAAACACAGCTACCAAATCCCAGCCCATGTTGATTCAAAACATATGGTAATGAACTTAAAAAAACCTGGAGCAAGGAAATCTATAATCCAAAGCAAAATCAGAGGAAGATGGCTTTCCCTTCTCCCACCCTCTCTTTCTATATCAGGCTTCTATTTTTTCCCATTTCTTTTTACAATGAAAAAATAATACGCTTTTTTTGCTTTTGAAAAAACATCCCGTTGTGCAATCAGCTTTCCAACTTCCCTTCTGATGCATTCTCATCTTTACAAAGAGTTGCTGCTGAGCTTCTTTTGGGACTACAGAAAAGGGGTCCATTGTGTTTCCCAATTCTTCATACGTTCTTTAGAATAAAATACATCTTCAGAGGAGACGTCTAATAACTCCAATGTTCTTACCCTTTTGCTACCCTAATTTCTATTGGCTTTTCTATTCTACTGATGTTGAGTCAACTTCTACTGCCTTTTGTGGTTTTTTTTTTAAATTTCTCTTTTAAGGAGATCGTTCCGGTTCTCATATTCAGAATCTTGCCTTCATTACATCAGAAAGTCAGAAGCAAATGACTTTCTTTTTGTATTATAAAATTGCCACCCCACAACTTTGTGTGCAGTCCACCATCTCTCATTATCTACTTCTCAGAATGCACTTAATGAAACACTCCAGGCCATATTTGTTTCCCTTCTCTCAGTCATCCAGCAGAGATATTCCCACTTTCCATTTGGGAGCAGAAGTGGGACTTACATTCTTTAAAACTGACAGAAATGATATTCCCACATGAGCATCAGCTAACAGATAATTTGGGCAACAATCTTTTCTTAGCTGTCGCGATGGCTAGTAGTGGTTCTTCATGTCTTTGTACTTGTTTTAAAATGTTTACTGAAGAGTCTTTTGTTCCTGTCTGTTTTGTCCATTAACTGCTGGTGGGTTGAATTCTTCCCAATCACCTTTCCTGGCAGAAGATATATCATCTGCTTGAGCACTGCATCAAATAAATTCCAACTGGCCCTCTACCTCAAGTTACATCATACTATAACTCTTATTTCTTGTGGATGTGCTCCTTAATTTTCTGGCTATAAAAGAGTGGGAATGTCATAGTTCTGCCAAGAGTGCTACTTGCAATGATTTGCAATCCATTAATGTATCCAAACCTTTGAAGAGAAAGAAAACAGCAATCCACATATATTCCCCAGTTTGTGTACAGGTTTGTCCAGGCATTAGGCCAATGTTTTTTTAAATTCTGTCTTAGAACATACTACTGTGCCCTGAAAAATTAAGTCTCCATGTTAGATACAACCTGTATTCTTTATTCACTAGAATGGGAAGATCCTATGTAGCGTTAATCTTCTCCCCTTATTCCACTAACGTATTAGTAGTAAGGATTTCCTGAAATATTTACATATATTTACATAGTAATATATTAAAAAATGACAACAATGTAGGCTGTAGCAGAGCAGAAAGGGTGAGAAAATTCCAAAAGTTTCATAATAGGAGACTGAAAATGCTCATGTATAATACAAGTAATTGGACTTCTAGTATTTATCTACAAAGAAGAAAGCCTTATGTTTAAGCTACTAAAATTTGGGAAACTGGGATTGCTCCAGCAAGAAAATGTAACATGAGAAAATTTTCTCTCCAACTCCAAAGTGCTTACTCCTTGTTAAAAACTAGTAACAAACAGATGCAGTATGCAAAAAGATATACCAGGGCATTTGAACCCATGTTTCTCAAACAGCCATGAACACAAACCTTCCAGCCTCACAAGAGTATGAATTATAAGCACCACACATTATTATTAATAGTTTCAGTCAATTTCAACTCCACACCGACACCGTACCTGTGTGACATATTGAGCTGGGAGAACAGCATATCCCACATTTCCTGCGCCAGGGGCTGGGGCCAGCACAGTGCCTGGGGGAAGGTTAGTGAGGTTTGGCTGAATCTGTGGCAGTGGGGTGGCAGGCATAATAAGTCTTTGCTGTGGCTGGCTCGTGGTAACAATCTGTGAAGCTGAGTTAATTGGTTTGGGTGCAACCTGTAATGAAGGAAATATTCATGGTATCTCCAATGCATGAAAGAGCTTAATCATCTCCAGCAAGATGTTTTGCAAAGGCATTAGCTGGAACCACTGAAGACGTCTATGAAAAACTAGAGGTTCGTATTAAGTAAATGAACACAACTCACTTGTTTGACAGTCTGCGCTGCTGGAACAATTGGGACAGACATCCGCACAGGAGTTGCATTCACCACCATTGGCTTAGCTGTTCAAAAGAAACTGCATCAGGCACTATATGCAACTTTCTACACAACAACATTAAGGTGACGGTGAGCAACTTCCTTGGTTCGTCGGCCTGCTTTATTATTAATATTTACACATACTATAAAGGAACCAGAGGCCCCTGCCTTAACTGATGCCACTCCCAGCAAAAAATGCTGTCCTTTGGGTGCACCCCGGCAGAATGTTGGAAAGAGGCATTGTTTCTGAACACAGCAACATAAAAATGGCATGAACTCCAAAAACAGGCGGTATACTGGGCGTTATTGTTGCAAGCCGCATTTCCTCCTTTGAACAAACACCAGCCACAGGCCGTATCTCTTGCAAAACACTCTTTGTTGTTTCCAAATGCAAATCACCGAAATGGATCTGTGCATACACTAAGCGGTTTGTTCAAGCCAATCTAGTGATTTCCTTTCAAAACTCTCCTTATGTGTCCCATCATTTCGGGAGAGCCCCTCTGTAAGCTAGCATGCCCCCCCCCGCCCGCTTGCTGCTCATCTAAATGGGCCTTTTGCCTCTGCTGGTGCCTTGCCATGGGGTCCAGCTCCAAGGAGAGGAAGGGGCTGAGCCACATCTGGGAGTTTCTCATTCCCTGCAACCCACCCCCCAGCTGCCCACTCAGGCCACTCTCAAGAGTGGGCCGATGCAGCCCTGGGACACTCGTCCTCTCCTCCTCCTCCTGTTGCACCCCAGGACCTCGAGCCGAGCCGAGCCAAGCCAAGCCCAAGCTGAATGAGCATCTCTGAAGCAGCCAGTGTCCCATGGGAATGCTTTCCCAGGTCCGCCATGCCCTTGCTCCTGTCAATTAGTATGCTATTCTGGGCCTCATGTCAGAAAGGCAAAATTGAAAGGCTATGATGGCCATCTATATTCTGAAGCGCCAATATAATTTCAACTGGCATAAATGAATTCAGATTATTTTGGGTACCATATACCATGGCAGATCAAATCAGCATTAGGTTAATTTCATCACAATCTTTTCTAATTCTGATTTAATTCTCTGAGTGCTGTTTGTGAAGCCAGCATTTCAACTACCATGCCCATACCCAAGAAGAATATATCAGCAGACTTGGGAGAATCTGAGGGTTGCAGAAGTATTAAAAAAAAAAGGAAAAAAAACCCTGCATGATATAGCAACAGCCCAATAAGACTGTTGGCTATGATCGAGGCTGACAGAAACAAAAAACAGAACACAAAAGGGATTAGAGAACAGGGGGAATGGAAAGGAATGGACTCCACACTGCAACTCTGTTGCTAATCCCGTTTGTGTCATCATTTTCCTATGCTTAGGCCTAAGTGCTGTTGCCTCCATAGCCAAAATGGGAGCATTCAAAGGAGGGAATTATCAGCAGGCCCGAGAAACCTCATGGTATACAGGACTACAAGAAGTCTTAGGAAAAAATCTGGGGTGGGGAGGGAAACCCGAAGTAGCACAATAAGGACTAAGTACACTCAGGGGCTACAAAATGCTGGATGATGAAACGAGACTGGAAAACTGGCTGGCTGAACAGTGACTATGAGCCCGCCAGATGGCCACATTCTGTTGCAGAAGCCATTTATGAATGGATTTGCTAATTCATAATGAAATAATGAAGCAGAATGATAAGCCTCAGCTCTGTTGTTGTTTTAATCAACAAATCGCTTAATATGTTTTACTCAATTGTTTTATTTTTTTGAAGAAGCTTTTTAGGAAAAAACATGCATCATACCCATGTTTCCTAAATAGCTGGTCTATGTCTAGACACATTACTATTACGTTACATTTCTATACTGGCCATAGCTGAAGCTCCCCGGGCAGCTCACAACATTTAAGTCACTCAACCAGATTTCGACCAGGCCCAACCCTGTTTATTTCCCAAATGAGGCAGGATCAAACACTTAAGGCTATACAGAAACTATTATGACAAAGGAATGCAACACAAAAGACTTTATTTCTAAAGCACTTCATAGACAAAATTCACAGTGTTCTGCAATATTGATCTATGCTCTAGTAATCTCTAAGCTAGATTACAGCAAATGAAATCTATGTGGGGCTGCCCGTGAAGACTGTTTGGAAGCTATAGCTTGTGCAAAATGCAGTAGTCAGACTAATAACAGGGATCAGACAGTCTGATCACATAACACCAATTCTGTGCACTTCCACTGGCTGCCTATATGCTTCTGAGTCCAATTCAAGGTGCTGGTTTTAAACTATAAAGCCTTACACTGCCTGGGACCAAGTCACCTGACAGAATGCCTCTCCTGACCTTCATCTACCCAGCCACTATAAGCAAGTTCTGGGGCCTACCTCTGACTGCCACACAAGCAAGGCCTGGATGGTGGCAACAAGAAGGGCCTTTTTCAGTGGTAGCCCCCAACTTATGGAATGAACTCCCCACTGTGGCCTACCTGGTGCCAACTCTACTATCGTTTCAGTGCCACACAAAGACTGCCCTTTACTAGAGACAGTCAATTAGTCTACTAGGGCGTATCTGATTTACTTCAAGTTATAATGTGTGTGTATGTATTAATCCATTTCAAATTTGGTTTCAAATTTTTGTATTGTAAACTTTTAAATATGTTTTAAAATGGTGTATTTTAATTGTAGTTTTAATGTACTGCTCTGAACTGCCCAGAGAGCTTTGGCTGTTGGGCTGCACAGAAATAAAATAAATAAAATTAAGGTTAGAGGCAAGCAAGTCACAATTTGATCATTTAATTGACTAAGGAACAAAGAATATAAAATGATGTGGCACAAGTCACACGGCACTCTCTCTTTGAGAAGAGAACTGCAGACCACATGACACGAAGGCAAAGATCAGTAACAAAATAGTCTTGATTAAACCATTCCTCCAAGTACTATTAGAAAATAAGGAACCTTCTCTAATTTCATGGTCGGCATTCAAACTGCACAGAGCAACTGGGCTAAATATGCAATATTAGTCAATGCTTACCTAATCCCATTTGTAGCTATAGTTCTTTTAAATACATTCAAACTTACCATAAACTCATCATACTACAGGTACTACTAACCTTGTTGAAGGGGTGCGGTGCTGGTACTGGGGTTCTGAGTGGCTGGCTGTGATGAATTGTTGGCTGTTGTGGCAGTTACAAGCCGGACGTAATGGAATTTGCTTCCAGGTACCTGAATTTGCTGAACATTGGGTGCTGTTGCCAAGGGAATTATGGTCTTGAACTGAGATGTACTCATTCCTCCCACAGTGAGGGTCTGGACTGCAGATTTCACAGCCTGTTGAACAATGATAAAGTTACTTTTGTGGTTTTGATTATCAACAGCTTTTTTGTTATTGACAAACATATAACCATTTCTGGTAAGAATCTGCATTATCTCTCCTGGCATTTCAGATTAAAGCACAGATACAGAAACATGCTATTTGCTGTAAACCACTGCTTATTTACAAGGGTATTTTAGGCAATTTTTAGCTTACCAAAACCAAAGCAAAGATAGCTTGGATAAACAGTCAAGAGTGTCTGAAACTATGGAATCCTACAAATCACAATCTGAAGGAGAGGCTCTGTCAGAACAAGTTAGTGCCTACCTGAGCAGTTGTATTGTTAGCTACTGCCTTTCCTGGGGAAGAGGGAGCTGAATGCTGCACTGTGAGAATCTGTTGCCCCAACGCTACATTTAAAGGAACACCAACTGTTTTCTGAGGGGAACTTGGAGGCTGTGAGGCGACCGACACCACTGTTAGCTGCTTGACAAATTGAAGACATCAGTTAAAACAGTTGGTAATGGAAGCATAGACCCAAATTTTTCAGCTTCAAAATCTGTACACTATTAAAATGTGCAAGAGGGCAAAACTTTTCATGCTTTGATGGAGCCAGGGCAGGACTTTTGAGGAGAAAGAGCAGAAGGCAGACTTAGATAATGGGGCCAGCTTACTACATTTTGAAAAAGACACCCAGCCATTTGAACCGAGGAGCTCCTACAAGACTATTAGATCCAGAATCGCTGGTTATTTAACAACATTACTGTGTTGGTATGTCAGCATTTTCCATATGAAAGCATATAATATAGCCCTGTGAGATGCATTTTATTTAGAAAATATCTGACTTTTCAGGGTCATCGAGAGAGGTAAATTTGCAATAACAAACCTGGACATACAGAATCACCACTAAGAACAGGCAATGACATGATAGCTAAAGGCAGCAAGAATTTATTTAAAAGCCTACAAGTTTGTAAACACATTTGGATCATTGTAGCATAGGAAATACATATAAAACTTAAAATTCTAACTAATAGAAATGAAGACAGACTGACATGTTCATTACTCCTAAAAAGAAAGAGAGGAGGAAAGGACATATTTACAGTTGAGAACATGCATCCAATATTATTTTTATATCTGCTTACAGGTATAGTTTGAAAACATATGTCAAGCTTGTACTTAACTACTCATTTAGTAGCTAGAGGTGATAAAAAGTAGCCCTCTGTGACCAAGTAGGATGGTTTTAATTAACTGCTGAACTAGACTGAGCTACACACATCAGCATGCCGGCTGACTCATCATAGCTCCAGATTTTTAAAAAGTCCTCTGTGTTACCAAGTGTGTTACGTTGTATGATAAGCAAGATGTGTACTGTGGGGCTAATACCAATTTCTGCAATTTAGAAAGGTTTGTAAACTTACACGCACAACTGAAGTTCACTGCAGGTAGCTGCTTCCGGCAGATAAAAACTAAAAGACAGTCTTGTTTCATTCATATATATGGAACACGCATTTTCTCTTTGGAAAGTATTATGATCCTCTTGACCATGTGTACTATGCTTAAGATTAAAGGACTTACACTGAAATCTCACTTATAAACTATGAAGGGCACAGAGCAGGATAGCCAGATTTGCTCAATGGAAGAGCCACATATGGTAAATGTCAGATGTTTGAGAGCTGTAATCAGGTGCCCATGGGCAGTGGCAACAGGTGGTGAATAGCAAGTGGGCACCTACAGTGGCAAAAGGCGAGACACAAAATAAACTCAAAGAACCGCATGTGGCTCCTAAGGCTCAGTTTGGTCATTCCTGGCATACGGTATATGCCTTATCATCATCTTAGTGGATGGTCAGCACCTTAATTCTAAAAGCCACTTAAGAGTTTGCCACGAAAGCAATGAATGTGGCAACTGCAAGCACCATCCAAATATACTAGGCAAAATTACCTGGTTCATAGGTAAAGGCAACCTACCTGATGAAAAACAATGGGGTGTTGTGCATTCGTAGGAGAAAATATGCATGCTGCTTGCAGCATTCCCATCTCTTTCACTTTTACTCTTACACTTTTAGTGTTGGCTTCAGTTGTGCAAGGTAGTGAAGCGTAGACTGCTGGGTTTGTTTACTCACGGTTTGTTGGTGAGTTAACCCATTGGGTTCTTTAGTCCATGAACAACCCAGCACTCTGGGTTCTAATATTATGTTCAGCAGGGGCCTATCATGGGTTGCTGATCAAAGGCAAAGGAGGCACTCTCTCCTAACAATCAATCAATTTTTAAACCAAAGGGTTTTCATTATACGTAAGCAATCCCAATGAGTTACTAGCGTAGGAGAACCTCCTTGCTCTTGTCAATGCCTGATAAGAAAAAGGCATCAGTGTGAAGCTGCATAAAAGTTACAGCACTCTGGGCGACAAGGGCTGCTGCCAAAGTGAAAAGGCTCACTGAAGAATTCTGTTCAGGCGGTGCACATTGGGCAATAATCACATTTCATCAAAAAAGCTGTAAACATTAAGCTTCCAAGTAGGCCTCAAAGTTGCTGATAAACTGAAAGTGTGATTAAAAGAAATGGCAGCTAGAAGATTAGGTTAATCAGTCTACAAATCTTGTGGAGTGTGAGTCAACATTGATTTTAAGGGGTTAACTTTCAGATAAACACTTAACATTTTTTTATTCTTTCATGCAAATGGCAGAATGGCCATGCAACACTTATTAGCATCATGATTCACAGTGACTTTAGGAGCTATACATGCAATACAAAGTTACCTAATAGTCTGTTTACCTTGTTAGGGGACTTCAAGGGTGAGATGGCTATTTTATTTGGTGTCTGTTGGATAGTAGAACTTAAAGAAGTTCCAATAACTCCACTTTCTGATATAGTTACAGTCTTCGGAGGTGTTCCTGGAGTAGTCTGTGAGAGAACTCTACCTATAAAAAAAAGAGCACAGAGACAATCTTATAATTTAAGCAGCTACAGTCTTTCCACCCTTGGCTACATGTCATGGCTGTTAAATAGTCTCTCATTTCATGGTTCTGCCTTTGAGTATGAGATGCTGCCTTAATCACATTCTTCTGCCCATGTAGCACAGTAAATGCATTAGATTTTCTTTTTTAAACAAACTGATGCAACTGAAGATACCCCCCAAATGAAAACTGAAAATAGACAGAAAATAGAGTTGGCTAGATACCAGTTCACTGTCCAACTGAAAGTCAAAGCTTCCATTTTAAAAGCCTGATAATTTTTTCTGTCATGTTAGCAACTTCCAGATTTTTTTTAAAAAACAGAAATAAAGTTAATGTGATTAATGTGCCTTCTCCCTCTGTATGCTTAACCAAAAAAAAGAAAGAAAGAAAAGAAAAAGAAAGAAAGAAATTCCTGTTATGAATTAAAACCAAAAAAATAAATCTGCTAACCGCTAATCCTCTGAAGAGACAAGTTCCACAAAGTCCCACTTAGGCTCTGGATGCACATGTCCTAGAACTTCTGTCACCAAAAAAGCACTGGAATGGAAACTACAAGGGTTTATTTACATCCTTAGGCAAGGCTGTGTAAGGGTCAGCCCTGCTTGCACCACCTTTATTTCCTTTCGGGCTTCAGCTTGAAATCATTACAGATTCAACTAGAAATCAGAGACAGGGTGGAAGGAAAATGGCGCATTCCTGTAAAGATGCATCTTGCCGAACACTGGCTGTACAGGTAAACCCTGCCTCTTTAAGTGCCCCTTTCTTTTCCTACTTGCTAGACAAGGAAGCTTAATTATCTGTGATTACTGGTCCTACAGAATATAGTATTCTGCAGCATTATAATCATACCACACAGATTTCAATGTATATCTTCTAAAATGGCATAAGCAGTTTATACAGAACCCAAGGGTTCCCCCTCTAGAGCAGATCTGGGGCTGGCACGGTATGTGCGCTTGCACAGGCAGCATTTGTATTGCTGAACTTGAAGTATAAATGGAAATTAACTTGATGATCACTGAAACAACAGCAGCATTTCCTTTTCTAATAATGTAAGAAGTTAAAATGTTAACACAATAATAGGGCTATAGATTTAACAGATGAAGTTTGATAAAGGTCGTTCATATTATGTAAAACTAAAATCTTCAGTTAGGTAAGACTGCCAGCTTATAGCATGTCTTTGAAGTGGCAGTTGATGCTAATGAATGTATCCTATTAACAACAGAACCAGTAAGGAACTGTGGGGGGAGCAACAGCTCTAAAAGAATAGTTTGAAGACAGCACAATGACTGCACTTGAGTTGATATTTATAAAGCAGGCACACTTCCCCATATTAACCACATGGTAAGTTGGCTGAATGTATTCACCAAGAGTCAACTTATATCTGAGGCAGAGGTAACTCAAAATTTCTGGTATGTTTGGCAAGCATTTTGGATGACCTGAGTAATCTCTATGTTCTTTAAGACTCTGAATTTTGACACAATTTTCATCTGCACTGACAACAGTATGAGAAGCAGAGTGGCATGATTCACTCTGTGGCTGGGATCCAAAGATGATGATGATGATGATGATGATTATAACATTATGCTCAGAAAATTATTCTGTGAACATGCAGGAGCATAGTTAATGATTTCTTCTTCTCACACTGAATTTCACACTGGAGGAACCCCTGGGCTGCAGGAAGGCTTTCTTTAGGGATACTGGTAAAGCAGAGGTGAGCAGGAAGCATAAAAAGCCCCTATAAATAGGCAATCTATTAGATCCCAGCCCCTGTCTATGACTTCTTTTACTTTTTACACCCTTGAAAAATAGCATTTAATAATGAACCAAATATATATTTTATATATATATATATATAACCTGCAATGACTGGTGATACTTGAGTAGTCTGCCCTGTAACTGCTTTACTGTTGATTGGTTTTGTGAAGATCAACTTTGTGATCACTGGGGCTGAGGTTGGTGTCCTGTTTTTCTTAGCAATCTGAAAAACAAGAGAAATCCAATAGCTAATGTAGAAGTTATTCTTTCTTGTTAACATTGAAGCTCTCTTTCAACTAGAAATAATCTGGACTCTTGGACATTTGCTAGCCAACCTGGCTTGAAGGAAGGGGGTGACCTCCACCCACAAATGAAAAACCCAAAAGGCAAGAAGTGATAGAGGGTCACTCCAATCACAAAGGGGCACACAGAGTTTTACAGACCAATCTAAGTACTTGGCCCAAGGTAGACACAATATAAATAGAGAGTGTAGGTGTGTACAGGTTGTGTATGTCTGTGACAAGAGAGCAATGGGAAGAGAGATGAGGATAAAGGAATCATTGCGACAAGTGCTTTATTTATTCACTTGCAATATTCCTAGATCATCTATAATGACACAAAGCCCTCCCAAGGCAACTTCAGAATAAAATAACTTACCAAACTCCCATAACAATGTTAAAACAGCCAAAATTCATAAAAATCAATAAACAAGCAATTCATGAAAACAATACAGCAATAAAACATCTAGCCCAGAAGAATTTAAAACACAACTGCAGCTAGAAGAACAGATCAAGAGTAAATAAAGCAAAGATGATCCACTGTGGAAAGGGCCCCCTCTCATGTAACTGCATACTTGACTGCGATCGTAACGGGCCTCTGCTGCCGATCTTAAAAAGTACAGAAAGGCTGATACTAGTGAAGGTGGTCCCTCAAGTAACTTGATTCCAAGCAATTTACCTTTTTCAAAGTCAAAACAACACTTTGCATAGAGCTTTCTTTTCAAAGGCAGCCCCACATCCATCCTGGGTATCACTAGGGCATGAGCAAGTTAGGCAAGGCCTGCCCTTTCCTCCCAAGATAAACTGGTACACCAGTTCTTTCCATCTCTCCTCACAGAGCTTTGGTTCCAGCCCCCTGATCATTTGTGTTGCCTTCCTCTGAACCTTTTCCAGTTTGTATCTTTCTTAAACCGTGTAGCCCAGAACTGGACCCAGTACTGAAAAGAGGGGAACCATTGCCTCACATGATTTGGAAGTGATAATTCTGTTAATGCAGCGCAAAACAGTATTTGGGGTTTTTTTGCAGCCACATCACATTATTGGATACATTCAGTTTGTGATCGTCAACAATTCCAAGATCCTTCTTTTAGTACTGTTGGGCCTAGCATCCCCAAGCACCTTATTATACTAGGTGTAGAACCTGGAATTTATTCCTGCTAAACTTCATTTTGTTGCTTAACCCAACACTCGAACCTCTCAAGATCACTTTGAATGTTGTTTCTATCTTCCAGCATATTAGCTCAATTTTGTGTCATCTGCAAATTTGATCAGCATACACTGCACCTCTTCAAGTCATTAATAAAATACTGATGAGCACTGCACCCAGAACTGAGCCCTGTAGAACTCTGCTTGTTACCTCTCTCCAGTTTAAGAAAGTATAATTGAAACGCGCTCTTTGAATCTGATTTTGTAGTCAACTGTGGTTCCATCTAACAGTTGTTTCATCTAGCCCATGTTTAGCTAGTTAGCTGATCAGATCATCATGGGTCAGTTTGCCAAAAGCTCTACTAAAGGCAAAATATGAGTGACTTTATTCATGCGAATTGATCATATAGGGCTTGAGAGTCTAAGCCCTGGATATTCTACAACCTACATCCAAGAGGCTTTTAACCATCTAAAAAATTCCACTAAATGACACTGCAACAGTGACCAATAATCAAGATTTCTTCACGGTCATACAATAAAATCACAAACTGATTCAATCATATACATTAAAAGATATTGTCATTTGTTCACTAATCACTGACTCTGCCATTTCATTGCATCGGCTCTCCAAAATACCAAGAAGCTGACATAATTCTGTGCCTGGGTCAAGGGCATTTGAGCGCAGTCATATCAATGGCCTGGGTCTTTCCATCATTCTAAATGGAGACCAGGGCCTCAGCAGGTCTGCCAACTAAATATGCAGAGAATTGCCCAGGAGACCTCAGAAAACCACCTGCATTTATTATCGTATAGGAGCAGACCATCCAACCTGGTCCTTCACCCCGTAGAGGTTACAGGTAACAATAGAGTCACCACAGGCACAGATTAATTTTTTTCCAACACAAACCTTAAATGTACCTTCCCACAAGTGTTGAGCCTGATATTATTTGAGGCAGACTTATGGTTGACAAAATGGCCATGGAATCCTGAGCGGCTCTTGGTAAGGTACCTTTTGTATGAATATTAAAGTCCCCCCAAGACCTGGGGTTCTCAAGATTAGCTCAGACAGGGAAATTGTTAGGCAAACGGGTGGGCAGTACACCAAATTCTAATCCTGTCCCTGCCACATGACACCAGATACTCTCTCTCAAAACTGGCTGATTGTTGGACGGGGTACCTGACCAGGAGATGAAGTTCTTACAGACCAAGACTATGCCCTACCCATCTCTCTAGTTGGGCTTGGTGCTACATAAGAAGCCCTGATGGGAGCAGTTAATTCCTCTCTCCCTTCATCCACCCCCTCCAACAGGATACTTTTCTTGCGATAAGCTATATTTTCTGTTACAGAAAAAAAAAAAACATGTCCAAGAGAATACTTCTGTCAACCTAGGTGTGGGAATAAAGGGCTGCAGATACTTGCTAGGAGGCTGAGGAATGGCTATATCCATGAAAATTAATCTTCATTACTTGCATGTGCTTGTATACATGCACACCCAACCCCATCATTCCCACTTTCTCTTTACATAAAGCCTTTACTCTCATTCCCAGGAAGCATGTTCCAACTCATTCCTTGCTGCAACACATCCACTTCTATAGGTACTAAACATTCTATAGGTAGTCATTCTATAGGTAGTAAGTTTCACATACTTTGCTGCCAACCAAAGGGAATCCACAGTGTGAGCATAGTATAATTAGCAGCACCCTTTCTTACCTGCACTGCTTTTAATTGCTGGGTCTGCAATACAGAGGACTGAGTGGCAGTATTTACCAGCTGGTTCCCTGGAGTCAAGGCTGACACACCAATGACAGGTTTCACCTCTGGCCTTCCTCCAATAGTTACCACTTTGAACTGCTGTGTTGACACCTTGGAGTCGCTTACTTGCACTTGTGATGTGGCCTTCGGAGATTGTGATAGCTGGTTGTGGGGTAGTGCTAAGACAATTGGCTGCCCAGGCTTCCCCAGAGTTGTTACAATGAGCTTTTGCCCCTCCTGTTTTATAGTCTGTTTACCAAGTTTCAAGTCTGTTGCCTTGTTTAGAATGATCTGATTGGCTGATATAGTGACAGGAGTCTGAGTACCCAGGTTTTGGAGGCCACTTTGAAAGGAAGATTGTACAGCTGCACCAGTGTCCGCTTTTGCAGTGGCAGTGTTGCCTGTGACATGGCTTACACAATTGCTGGGCACTGTGACAGTCTCTGTGGCAATTGACAGTGCTGCAGTAGTTGTAGACTCTCCAACTGAGCTTACATTAGCCATCCCTTCCAGTTCTGTTTCCATAGGAATAGTGTCGCCTACAATTACAGCCTCAATGGTCTCATCTTCCTCCAGTGTTATACCTGTGTCCATTATCTCTTCAGGGAGCAAACTGTTCACTTCTGCCGACACCACCTCCATATTGCAAAACTTGATGGTAGGTCAAAGAAAGAGGCACTGCAGTGATAGTTCAAAGGAAATTTGGTTTTGTCAGCTGTGGAACAATATGTTAGTTGGAGTATCATATATATTATTGTAGGACATCACACATAAGTGTAGAACTAACATCTACACGGTAACAGCTGCGGCTAAAAATTGACCCTCAAAAGCAAACATGGCCACAAAAATATCTACCAGCTACAATGAGAGCTGTGAAACTGGCCTGTGAATCAGGAATTCCCTGGTTCAAATTTCATGTCTGCCATGAACTCCCTAGGGTACCTTAGGCAAATCATTCTCTTTCAGCCTCAGCCACCCACATCTGCAATATGGGGGACAATACTACTGACCTGCCTTAGTGGACTGCTGTAACGATTACATCGAATTCATGCCAAGTGGGGTTAAGAAAGTGTTGCAGCAGGGATGGAAACCCCCCTCCCTTTTCGGCTTGAAACCTTCCCTGTGCTGTCTCTCTTCTTACACACAAACATATTCCTGTATCTCATTGTCTGTCTTGCTCCCTTTTATTCCTTCTCTTCCCAATTCTCATTTCCTTTTCTTCCCACCTGCCTTCACTCTTGCCCCGGGACAGCAACTGTTCTTTTTAAAAGCCTCAAACAGCACCAGAGGAGGTTTTCAAAATTAAAATAAATCACCAGTGGAGGTGGGATAAGGTTGCAGCACCACCACACTATGGTAATTAGGCTTTAAAAATGTCTCCACTAACACTAGCGGAGGCTTTGAAAAAGCCCAATTGCTGCATGGGGCATGTGCGTGTATGCAGAAGGCTGCATTGTAGCCAGGGAGTTCTCTATCCTTGCACAATGAGTATTATTTTTATTTATGCCTTTAAATTATTACTGGAATATTATTGGAAGCATAAAAGTTAAGAACTGCAGAACGGCTGAAAGAAATGTTAGCGATACCTATTTTCTCTTACAAACTACTAGGAAAAGCACGTGCTATGAATGGATCGTTCTGCATTTTCTCAACCATGAGGGAGCGTGTAAAGAAATATCTGACACTGGCAGCTCTTTAGAGTGGATATTGACAGGCCTTATGCAGACATTATACTGACACCATGAAATAACAAAATATAGAAAAAAAACCAATTCTCTTTAAAACAATTACCTGAATTTCTTTTAAATTCTGCTTACATCAAACCAACTCCAGAAACATAATGCAGCACCAACTGTTGAGGCAAAAGAAGATGCAGTTTCAGAAGTTACAGAAAACTGTTCTTTAGTTCTGAGCTGATAGTGCTATAACTTAACAATACACCCTTCTCATCATAAGCTTTCTAGCACGTGTGGAAAACCCTTTCACAAGTTAAAGACCTTTATTGAAATACATTTAAAAGAACAGTCTAACAAATAAATTACTGCCAGTGTAAATTGCAGATAAGAACAAGTTTTTCCAAGAACATTGTACAGAAGTACAAATTTCATTGACCACTGAACTCAGAAGATTACAGATATCCAATCAAACAGAAGGGATTGCCTCTGTGCCTCTCCCACTCTGCAAAAGACACAGACAGCTGATTTTGACTATCTGCATCTTTTGCCCCTGCTTGCAAGGAGGAGGTGCTGAAGCCTCATGTACTGGGATGCCTCATATCACAGCAAAGCCTCAATCCTTCCCACACCCACAGAAATGCCCCCCCCCCCCCACGGTGCTGGCTCCTAAGTCACACGTGTAACTTTGGAGCAGCAGCCAGTGCAGAAAGAACCATGCCAGCTGTGAGGGTAGAGGAAATGTTTCCTGAAATCAGACCTAGGACGACTTTAACCTAGACTATGGCTGCCTGGACAGTATCTAAGTAACCACAAGAGTAACCCTCTTAATTAATATTTTTAAAAAGCTATTTAAGATCATAATTTTGAAACAAATTACATTTTTCTTTAAAATAGTACAAAGAAAGTAGTTTAATATGATTTATTAAAAATGCCAGTGAAATTTTTGTACCCACAACATTCAGCTTCACTTAGATTCAGTATGGTAACAGAGTATTTTCATGGAAAATACTCTTGCACATAGAATAGCCTCCATATAAAGAATGTTTTGTATTTGAAGTGACCCTACAACAGGGAGGAAATAAACCTCAAGATTTAAGGTATCCATTAGGCTCAAATGTGTTAAATGGAGGAAGAGAGAAATATAGCAGGTTATCTTGCACAAAATTTAGGAACACCCAAGGCACACCTTTTTTCTTCTGAGTTCAAACTGGATGCAGTTTACTCTTATGCCTAAAAGGGTTTACTTTTATAATATATGAATATTGCCCATTTACTGAAAAGCTTTCCTCCTATATTTCTATATGAGTCCAGACCCAGGTGTGTCTGATGGTTGGAGGGAGGAAAGCCGAGAACAGAGAATCACACAGAGATGCAACTGGCGGCCTTTACCTGGAAAGGGAAATTCTGTTGCAATCCTACTCAGTGCAGATGTGCAGCAGAATTATCTGCCTCCTGTGGAAGCTGATTAGAAAGAGGTCAGAGGAGCAAATCACACAGAGAGGTCACAGATAGCTTCTTTTAGGAGCACACCTTTCTAATGATGCATTGGAAGTTCTCTTGGAGCACAATAGGGTGCCCTAGTACACAGTCTAAGAATTACTGGCCTAAAGAAAACAATCTGATAGACTCAAAGCAGTCTATAAAAACAGAACAATATTATCACTTGTAAATCTTTTTCAACACTAGAAAACGCAATTTAGTGTCCATCAACAGGAGTTGAGATTATGAGCCAAAAGCAGATTTTCATAGGTAGGAGTACCTCTGTATGTTCCTAAAATACACAACACTAATGCAGCAACATTGGCATAGCTTCCCAAAAAAGAAACTTTAGTACCTGAGTGGGCCAAAGCAAAACCATTCATATAATAACCATTTAAACCTATGCATTATCAAAAGATTAGCATTTTAAAAGTTATTTTAATGCATTAATGAAATACTAATGGCTCTGTTCATTGATTACAAATCTGCTTCGTGGCTCAATTTCTATCATTTGATTACTAACAGCCAAAACAGACCAGAGAATAAGTAGGCTTATTCATCCATGTCACACAAAAAATATTTTTTCTATAGATTATACCCAGATGAGCTGAAAGAACTAATCTTCTCTCTTGGGTTCAGGGAAAAAACTGGTTGTTGTTTTTTTAAAGCAGTGGTAAGTATAGTTCAGATGGCCCAGGTTTTGTAACTATTAAACTCCAACTACCTGAGATAGCACATTTGTGTGCAAAAGGAAGGCAATTCACATTCAAGGAAGTAATGGAAGTTGCATGGACATCATACAGGAGGGAGAACAGAGGGAAGACTGCTCAAGAAACATGGAGCAAAAGGTGACAAAGCAACCACCAAAGAGGTAAAGAGGAAAAAGTCTTGGCTGCTGAAGAGTTATGAATAGCACAGGAACCGAGAGGGTGATCAGGCTCAGAAAGGCATAAAGACAAGTCCAGGGCAGAGAGAAAAAAAAGTATGTAACAGCTGTTAAGACCTGGGGACAGGCGAAAAGTCAGTTAGCTTTGTCTTCTTTGGGGTCCCAGGGCCATGTGGAGAATTTTCCACATATACAGAACACTTACTTAATTATGTTTAAAAGTTGTAATAAATTATGATGTTCTGTGATGTTTCAAGCAACATAATTATTGTTCTAATAAAGTAAATATTTCAATACCCAACTATGGCCAGCTAACATTCAGCCAGCATGCCAAATCTTTTTTTGACTCCAGATGTCCAATTATAATTTGAACTATACTGAACAGGAGCCAAACAAAAGACTTGAGGAATTATTCTAAGAAAACTGGGCTAACTACTTATTGTAGAAAAAATATGCTTAAAAAGGCATTGTGAAATGTTATATACATGCAGAATGTGATACAAGACTTAATTCCAGAACAATGTTTGGCAATGTTGCTGCATTTTAAAACAGTGAAAATCCGATTTAATAAAAACTGTTGATCAAGCAGTTTTACACATCCCAAAGACAAGTGGTTGATTTTAATTGTTGGGTCATATTAAACAGTGCTTAAAGTAGCTACAGAAAAATATACAGTAATCTTTCAACATAATCCCTGAAATTACTAAACATTTCTTGTACCCAGAAGAGCTAGTGCTGTTCAATTTCAACTGGCATAGGGCTTTGCCAGGGACAACAGCTGGTGCAGCCTTAGTGCTCATAAAACAGTATTTCAATTTAGCATGGAAGTTCTACACAAAAGCACTATTTATAACTGCCCGAGCAAATGAAAATGATACTGATGCATTAAGCATAGAGCCAAAGTAACCCTTCAGAAATATGGACTCAAGTCTTAGATAGGACACAACAGCAGTACTTCTCTATGAGCCACAGGTTAAAACTTACTCCACCCTATCCATGTTCAAGAAGTTCACAGGTCTTCTTCATATTATGAACAATGGGCCAAGTACACATTTAGAAGTGAAAACTGCACCTGGAGCTTTTCACAAGCAAGAATGTTTGGAAGGGCGTAAAAACATTGAAGATCACAGCTCCGAGGAAGAATAATCACCTAATACTTAGTCTTTCTAGTTAATTATGGCATGTCACCAAGAAATAATTTTGCTCCAGTACAGGTATAATGCCGCCTTGTCTCATAATCACGATTAGGAAATCAGGAGTCCCTTGAAATGCTTTCTACTAATGAAAGTTTGCTTAAACATTTGAAAAAAGTACCTGTGATGGCTAAAATCCTATACTCGTATATCTGGGCTTAAGCCTTGTTGACATCACAGGTACTTTTTTCAAATGTTTTAGATTTCAACTCCTATCAGCCCAGAAAGCATAGCCAATTATCAGGAATGTTAAATGCTGCTGTACAAAACCTATTGAGCACCCAGTTGAATAAGACTGGTCTAAACTTTTTAAGTGAAACATTACTTGATTACTCCCAGAATACTCTACAGAAATACATCGGTATATATTTCACTTCAACAAAGACCTGATCACAAATATTTATTCAGCATGTGTTGAGTAACACCTAATGCAGTCCTTGCAAATTCTAGCTCAGTAAGTTACCAGATCAAATGAGGAGGACTGAAAGTCACTGGCGGAAGATAAAATGCTCTTAGGATCACACAAGTTGATACCATAAGAAATCAAAATTTTGTTGGGCCCATCATTTGATTAAATGTGTGCTCAGAGAGGATGTTTCCCAAGGGATTCCTTTGCAACATGAATCTTACAGCTTCAAATGATTCCATTGCTATTTATCTTGGTAGGTGCACAATATGGAATGAATACAAAAGAATCTCTGTTTCTACACAACTATTTTTCTTAAGTTGTTTCTTCCAAAGCTGAGGAGAGTTCTCACTGGCATTCAACAAATGAAAGATGCTGCAAATGCTGGGATGTTCTTGTCAGCAAGTAGTAATTCAATTAGCTTTAAGGATAACAATACTTTATCGAGGTTCCAGCTAGGTAGGCTGCCTGGCCACACAAATGGGCCTCTGTTTAAAAATAAAACTGCAAACAAAAAACAAAAACCTTCAAAACTGAAAGTCCCAGAGATTAAATATGAAGACCCATGACTTTCATGAAGGCAGTATAAACTGTTTGCAGATTAATTGTGATGGAGTCAAGTTATGGACTACCAAAAGGACTATATTCAAGTTCCCTGCAAGCTGTCAATTCATTCTACTTGAAACAAATATGTTTCTCCATATTTATGTAAAGTATCTAAGGATAAAGATAAGGATATAGCTAATTGAATTAATATTTGCTAACTGATCACAAGAACATCCAAAATATATTTTTAAAAATACCCTAATGTATTGAATCTTCATAGAAGGAATATTCCCCTTCTCTAAACTTGTGTGCACAATTTGTGATAGTTTACTGTCCTGAAAGTTCAGGGTAAACATGCTAAAACTGTGATATATCTATAACAAATGAAATAGCAAATGAACAATCTATACTAAATTTTATAATGATCTAGTTATTTCTTACTTAACTACAAAGCTAACTGTTATGACAGGTGTACGCTTCAGTGTGGAGCACAGAAAAAAATGCAGGAGAAATAAAGCCAGAAGGCTAAGCCTTTTATATCCCCATTACACGTCAAGGTCTGCACAAACTTTGTAACGGCAAACTATGGCTGCTGGAAGTTGGCACTCACCCTATAATATCATACAAAGAAATATGAATAGCTGAATATGAAATATGAATACCTGAAATATCACAATCTGTTTTAGAAAACTGGAAAGGGATTACAATAGTGTTTGAATTGGACTCAAAAAGTCATATGCAACGTTGAACCAACTTATGACTAAATTAAGTACCATTTATTTTAATGGGTCTAAGACAAGAATGACAGTAAATTTCTGAGACTTTATTTATATGATTTGTTGCCCTACTCATGGTTTGTTGGGAGGACAATAAAACACATTTTCCCCTCAAATCCTATGCCTGCTGCCTTCCTATATCCCAAATGCCTTTACTATGCTGTAGTATTTGGTGTGTAGAGCAGCTGGTTATCCTGATCCCACTTTCCCACTATCTCTGTAGCCTGGTGAAACAACCCACAAACAACCCCCATGATTCGGAGTTCACCCTTAACAAAGGCCCAGAATTCTGCAACCTATGGTTTAAACAACAATGTGTTAGTGTGTATAAAGCAGCTCATATAAGCTTATATCAGGAGGTGGTTGTTGTTGTTGTTATGTGCCATCAACTTACAGTGACCCTATCTGTGAATGCCCTCCAAAAGGTATTGTCCTCTAAAGCCCTGCTCAACTCTTGTAAATACAGGGTTGTGGCTTCTTTTATGGAGCTGTTCCATTTCATATTTGGGTCGTAAGAGATAGATTATTGCAAATCCTAAGAGATAGTCAACTTCTAAAATTCTATGACTATAGCTTGGTTTAATTAAAATTTAAATATACAAATTTTGCTTTATTTAAAAGTGAAGTAGAAATATAAAACACACCAAGAGTCTGAAGTATTGCACAAATAGAACCAAAACCTCCATGAAACTTGCAAAATCTGTTGGCTTGTACTTTATAAGTTCCATAATGACATATAGAGAATTCTTTCCTCTCAAATTACAATTGTACCTCAAAAATCCCCAGAAAACGTTGTTTACAACTAAACTTGGAGTGCCCAGAATTCAAAAATCAAGCTCAATTTCTTCATAGACAGTGGCATCATATTTCTTTTTAACTGCATTTTAGGAATGCATATTGTTTTGTTGTGAAGTCCTTTGCTACAGCAGACAAATGAAAAATATATACAAATCTTTGCTCTATATTTCAGCCAAACATATGCCATTTATCCAATTATTATTTGATCAAAACCACCCAACAGTTAAGGTAGTTATCAGTCTATATGTCCTTCATTTCGGTTCCCTCTGATGTCACTGTTTACATTTCCCCCTCCCAAGCATGTGTATCGACATCTGTCAAACTGAGATTAACAATTTGAACAGATTCCACACAATCCTATGCCATAATAAATATATTACTCCTTAAGTTATCATAAAACTTTGTTAAAATTTATTGAAAATTTATTTACATGCAGCATGTTCCACTAAAAATTATATTCTCTCAAGTTACAAGCACACCTAGCAATATGGCAGTATATTTAAGAGATGAAGTACATATTGCACGGCCAATAAATTTGGGTGCAAGAATTTTAATTATTTATCTAATACATTTATATACTACTTTAATATATTTATATCCTATTTTTCTAACAAAAATATTGGCAAGATGGCTCCCAAGTTCATAGATAAGGTCAGTGAACAAGAGAATCAACACCACCATATTTCTGTACCTCTTAGATATGAACCCAAGGTTGAATGTTCAAAGCAAAAGTGTCCTATTATTTGGGGCATTTTAGGGTCCTGAGTAGAAAATCTTAAGATTTTATCTTTTGTATCTTTTCAGAGAAGCTACATGAAAGCAGAATTTATTTGATTTTTAAAGAAATTTCAGGAGCACAAATGACAATCAGTTTGCACACCTAAATTTCCCTTAGATATTTCTTTACATTGCCTTGACAAAATATCTACTGCTTTTTCTAGAACTCTTTTCTCTTTAGTATCATCGCTGCTGCATTAACCTTTCCCACAGCTTTCAAAGGTTAAACAGGATACATTTATAAACTCCCATTTATTTACAGGTATGATGACTAAACATGCCATAAAGCAAATACCTATTCATCACAACACTGCGAATACTAATTATTTTTTTAAAGGGTTAACACACCCATGAGGAACGTGAAGAGTTAGCACACCCACGGCATGACTAATCTTCAGTACAGCTAATTAGTTTTAAAAATCATTAGGATCCTGCAGCAATTCTACATACCAATACTCCTCACTGCACTGTATGCTTATAATAAGCAGAAACAATTAGTTCAATAATTTGTTCCGTGGAGATTTCTCTAACTTCTGTAGGAACCCCATTAGTACTACATAAACCCTCAAACAATTAACAACTGGACTAGACAGAGATGGCACATCTCAACAACCGTCTGAAAATCACACCTTGGAAAATGAGTTAGGCCTTAACAGTTCCCAAACTCTCTCCGTTGCGACCAGATTAACTACTCCTCAGACTTCAAAACACCTGCATCTAGGGCAGGGCACTCCTTTCCAGGATACAAGCCCCACTCATTCGCCATGTCCTTCCGTCCAGGCCTTGAAGCGTCTCTCACCCTCTTTCGGGCGCAGCCATCGAGTCCTTCCCCGCGGTTAAGTCCCAGCCCGAAGGAGGGAGGGGGCTTCGCCCTGAAGTGTCTGAATAGCTGGACAAGCGGCTGCTCAGGAGCTGGAGGAAGAGGCGAGGAGAGGGAGAACTGCTGGCAGCAGCGGGCAAAGGAGGGGGAGCCTCTTAAGGCTGTTCTGCTACTGTCTCTGGTATGTCAGGGGCCGGGATAGTATTTCGAAAGATCCGCCATTTTCACTTCGTCATCACCATCACATCCCAGCTCAGCAACAACCTCAAGCCTCCTCCCTCCTCGCTTACCTCCGCCCGATCCGGGCCGGAGCCACTCCCGGCAGAGGAAAGTCCTCCCCCGTCTCTGCTATGCTCGCTACCAAGAAAAGGAACGACAGCGCTGCTACAGCTGACCTACAAGGAGATAACGCGTCTTTCTCGCGGACGACGACGACGACAGAACAGGCAAGCCAGCACACACTCGCAGCTCTGCGCCTCTTCCCCGGGAAAAGGAGTTTCCAAGCTTCAAAGCGACACGGCAGAATTAATTCTAGAAGGGTAGCCGGAATAATCAGCCGCAGCAAACGCAATCAAAACCCTCATCCTCTACGGCACTTTAAGAACTAAATGGTTTGCCGTGGAATGCGATTAAAGCAGCACAAAACGGTGGCGGGTATTTATTTATTTATTCAACTTATATTTCGCAGTTAATTCGTCCCAAGGACTTTCTAAGCGGATTGCAAAAATACTAATAAAAACATCTCATAATAATACATATAAACATGTAACAGTATGCAATATGCAGCAGAGGGGTCAGATTAAAATAGTATATTAATCTAAAGAGCAATATAAAATACCATTAAAATGGAACAATATAAAATCAATTATTAAAATCAATTATTAAAATGTCTGGAGGATAGGATAGTTTTTGTCTGGTGACAAAAAGATTGTAACGATGGCACCAGGCGAACTGCTCTCCGAAGACGAAGACTGTTCCAAGGATGGGGTGCAACCACTGAGAAGGATCCTCTTCTTCTTTGCCATACTGCTTACTTCCTTGGAGGATGGCTCTCCAGAAGGGCCTCCTTTTCTATGGGATGGTATATATGGGATGATTGAGAAATTATAGCTAATTCTGTACTTACAGATTGGCAAGAATTTTCATTGAATAAAAGCTCTTGCATCTTCTCATCATTTAGCACCAGTGAATTCTGGCCACCAACAATTACATGGACAGTGTTTTGGGAAGGGGGCATTTCAACAATTCTCACTATGGTAAGCAAAAATAAAAAATAAAGCTGTCCTCCATCATGCTCAATGGAGAAATATTTAAAAGAATTTAAAGTAGTATACAGAACTGATGGAAAAGGTTTTTCCACCTCAGATCATGTATATTTCTTTTGCCCCCTCACAAAAGTACATGGGATTATATTGAGATGAAATGAGTTGCAGTTAGTTCCCATTAAAAACAGTGGAACCTAATGGCTATTTTTTCTATTGATTGTAGTGAGACATAAGTTCAACTAACTTCATCTGGATCCAACTCAGTAATTTAACAACATACTTGCATGGAAAGACTTCCAAGAAAGACTGACAAGCAAAACTGCACTGTAGGATTCCCACCTCAAGGGGTCTTCATCGTATATATTCTGCACAATTTCTAATCACAAGATCTCCAAAATAGGTTTACTACAACCACTAAAACATGGCAGTGTTAATGACAGATAAGACTGCACAAGTATAAACCCTGTTATTAATGTTTCTGGTCTGCAGCTCTCAGGTCACTGGCAAAACTCACTAGCCAATATACTCTTTTATTATGCTTCGCTGAATATAGCATAACAAAATATTTTAAAATGGGTGGAGAATGTGTGGCCTACCAGCTAATGATGACCTGCAATTACCATAAGCTCCATAGCCAATGGTAAGGGATGAAGGAAGTTGCAGTAAAAGAACATTTGTAGGATTTTATATTTCTTTCTCCTTGTTACAGATGCTACAGAATTCATGTCTTGGGATTTCACCATTAACAAAGTAGAACCAGTCACCTCTTCCTCCTGATAAGGTTCTTGGTGATTTGCCCAGAAGCAACATAACTGGAAGACAATGCTATAGGATTAGGGCATTAATAATGTTGAAATACATCTTCCATTTTTATACATTCCTCACATAAAGACATCTTTCTACTGGTTCATTTGCCATGTGTAGGAAAATTAGCTTAATTAACAGTACCCATCTGAGGGTAGTATTGTTACTTCCACTAACATCAAAGTTAATATGAATATATAAATACTTGTATAGTTGTGAGCCGCCCTGAGGCTTCGGCGAATGGGGCGGCATAGAAATTTTCTAACTAACTAACTAAAAAAAATAAAATTAGAGTCCTAAGGTTATCTGCACAGGAGGACTTCATTTTAATTACCCTTTTACAAAATATGAAGACCTACTTAACAACTACCCAATTAAAGAAGAATCAAAGGAACTGGCTTTAGTTTTCCTAGATATACTTTTATCACAGGCAAGATAAATAGAATTTGTATTTTATCAATTTCTCTTAAGTAGTCTATATTATTTTTTAAAAAGCCAAAATACTGAATTTCCTACAAGATGAAAAGCCAGTGTGCTGTTCACAGTGCTGGACTGGGGACCTGGGAGATCCAGGTTTTTGTCCATGTTCAGCCATGAAGCTCACTGGGTGACAGCCATTCACTCTCAGGCGAACTTATCTCACAGGGTTATTGTTATGAGGATAAAATGAAGCTATGTAAGCCATCTGGGCCCCTCACAAGAGGGGGAAAAAGTAGGTTATAACTACAGTGCAATAATAGCTCTTTAGATAGGAGTGAAACAAAATAAGTAGACAAATATGTAGAAATAATCTATTTTCCTACAGTATTGACAGCAGAATCCTGCCTTAAGAAGATAGAGTTCTGAGACCGCCCCCAGGCTAATGAATGGTATATAAAAGCCTAAATGAATAAATCTGCAAGGTATACCACAGCAATATGTTAATTCACCAATAACAATTTGATAATTGCACCACTGAACCCCTGTCAAATGTCTTTCTGTATATTCAATTTCTGTTCCATTACGTTCTATCTGCATCCGATTTCAGAGAAATTAATAACTGCAACATGGGATGGTAAGTATGTTAAGGTTTTTACACACTCCACAAAAGAAAATCTACCCAAGTATCCATCATAAGGTTGAAGAATAAGATCAAACTTAATTCCCTCAAGACATTTGGAAATGCGACTTCAGCTGTGGAATTCACTTCCACAAGGTAAAGTGATGGACACCAATTTGGAAGGTGAGGATTTGAGAAAGCTGTCAGTTCATGGGATAGGGTGTGCCTCAGCACTTGATTTTCCTGATGCATAACCTGTATCATGAAGAAGAACTTACATTTAGGTCAGAATACGGAGAAACTGTATGGTTTCCCATGAGCATCCTTGACAGGCAATGATGTATATGTTCAATCTGTACACAAAATATCATAAGGAAAGCTGGATTACAATCAGAGGAAGAAGTGAAATTGGTGGAAAAAACACCACTAATGATAGCATACTAATGACAGAAAGCATCAATGACTTCAAACAAATCCTGTTAAAGTGACAGAAGAAAGTACAAAAGCAGGACTGCAGCTGAATATTAAGAAACAAAAATCATGTCCACAGAAGAAGTATAGAACTGTACTGTTAACAATGAAAAAACTGAAATTGTGAAAGATTTCACATACCTCAGCATAATTCAATACCTCAATTCAAATGGAGACTGCAGCCAAGAAATTGAAGAAGCCTGAGACTTGGAAAGGCAGCAATGAAGCAACTAGGGAATGCCAGCAAGTGTAAGGATGTTTCACTAGAGATCAAGGTCAAGATCATACAAATGTTTGTGTTCCCAAACACAATGTATAGGATTGGAAACTGGACAGTGTAGAAAGCTGACTGGAAGAAAACTGACATGTTAGAAACATGGTGCTGGAGGAGAGTTTTGAGAGTACCCTGGACTGACAAATGGGTCCTATAGCCAGAACTTCCCTAGAAGCAAAACTGACAAAACTGACTCTGTGTAGCTCAGACATATCATGAAAATGCAAGACTCCCTGGGGAAGACAATCATGTTAGGGAACGTTGAAGGCAGAAGACAAAAGGAAGACCAAACATGAACTGGATTGAATCCATAAAGGAAGTCACAGCTTTGAACTTAACTGAATGAAGCTGTGATTGACAGGGCATTTTGGATGGCTTTCATTCATAGGATCACCATAGATCAAAGATAACTTGATGGCCAACAACAACATCAGTTCATGGAGGAGAAAGCCATCAGCGGCTACTAGTCCTGATAGGTACTTATATGCTATAGTATCAGAAGCAATATGCCAGTGTACATAGTTGCCGAGTAACACAGGCAGAAAGGTGCTGTTGCCCGCAGGTCCTTCTTCAGGGTTTCCCATGGACCAGCTGACCAGAATGCTTCACTCAGTGTTCTGACCCAACAATGCTGTTCTTATCAATCCTCCTTCTCCCCACAAGATACCCAAATCCTTGCATCATTTCTGCTTACCGCACGCCAATTCTCAGGAATACATCTTTGCAAGGAACAGAAGAATTAAAAACAGATTTCTTCTTTTCTAATCAGTATTTGCACAATTAATTGCTATAACTCCTCTGAAGCAGTGACGGGAGTCTCCACTCTTTGTCAGCAGGACTGGCGCTGGACACCCCCGCCCCGCGACCAGCGCAGCCCTACACCTGGCCCGCCTAAGTGCCGGCGTCTCGCCTGGGTTTTTGCGTTGCCACTGCAACAACAACAACGAGCTGACACTGCACTAGGCTCCGACAGCAGCAGCTCGTCATAAAGCCGGGAGGAAGAAGAAGATGCAGAATAGGACTGAGAAGGGCGGAAACAACGGCGGACAGCCAAGAGACGGCCTCTCCCCTGCCTCCTCCCACAGCCGCCCACCCCGTCCTTCCCCTGCCCACACGCCAGCCAGACGGGATCTGTCAAAGGAGAAGAAGGGGACGCGCCCGGCGGCTCCCTCCTCCGTTCTCCCCGCTGAGCAGGACTGGCCGGGTGACGCCTCCGCTTGTCCTCCTCCTCCTCTCTCGTCCGCACTCAAACTCGCCCGCTTCGCCCCTCGTCGGCAGCTGTGCACTCCCCTCAGCCCGCCTCGCACTCACCTGTGGCGGCCTCGCGGCCACAGCCGGGCACTTTCACTCCGCTCTGCCTGTCCGCCGCTCTCGGCTCTCCTCCCCAGCAATGACATGCACAGCCCACCGGCACCCTCCTCTTCCTCGGCCGCGGCCTCGGCTGGGCCCGTTCCCGCGCGACGCCGGCTCGACGCTCCGGCTCGAGGAGCCGCCGCCGCGACAGATTCCGTGTTTGTTCAAAATCACGCGCCTAGCGCCATTCCGCCGCCGCCGCATCCCATAATACTCGACAGCGGCGCCCTGGCAACCGGCGTCGCGTCACCCTCCAAGCCTCATTCCCTGCGCTCCATTCTCCCGCCTTCCCTCCTCAAAGCCGCCTCGACTTCCCGCCCGCCCGTCAGCGAGCGTCAACATCCTCCGCAGGCGCTTCCGGGTGGTGAGCGTCATGACGCACGCGTGGGCGCTCTGGCAGGCGCCGCTCTATGGGCACGCACTGGCGTGGGCGGCCCGGTTGTCTCCCGCGGGCCCGTCTCTCGGCTCGCGCCTGAGGCGGCGGAAGGGACGGGGCTGGCTTCCCCTCGGGGAGGGGTTAGAGGCGCAGGCATGGCGGCTACCGTGAGGCAGGAGCTGACCCAGCTCATGAGCTCCAGCGGCTCCCACAAGGACCTGGCGGGGAAGTGAGTGACTCCTTGCCTCCCCTTTCCTCGGTTGCCACGAGTGACAAGCGTCGGGCGGCGCAGCCCGAGCAGGAGCGCGTCCTAGCCTGGAGGAAGGCGTAAGTCAGTCTTCCCGCACCGGTGCGCTCCAGATGTGTTGGGCGACGACTCCCTTTTTTGCTGAGCATTGGCCATACTGCCTGAGAATTATGGAAGTTGTAGCCCGACACATCTGGAAGGCACCATGTTGGAAAAGCGTGGCCTAGGTGGTGCCTCTTGCCAGGGAAAAGTACTTGGCCTGGTCTTCAGCCATCGTTATAATTACAGTGCATTTACATTCTGCCGTTTTTCTCTAGAATCGCTTTGATTTGGTCTTTCGAGAACCAGATCTGTTGATTAGTAGAGACTTTAGAAACCAGTGAGGACGCACTTAAACATGAGCACCTGTCACTTGCTGATGATCAAGCTGCAAGCTCAGTTGGCGTCTTCAAAAGAAGCTGAAGCATACTTTACCGAGCACAACAGGCTAAAGCCCTGTTCCAAGGAGCTTACACTCTAAAATTCAGTCGTGGTAGACAATAAAGGAATAAAGTGGAATCGTGTATTAAATAGCATAGACATTATACGTAAGGGAGACCTTTCCGACTCTGAACCATTCTCGATGTGTTGGGCTACAATTCCCAACATCTCTACTCAGAGTAACTCTGCTGCAGGGCAATAATGTTGAGCAAGTAATTGTCTGTCCTGAAAGCTTATCTCTTGATCCCTTTGCTAACTTCTGGCTAAACAGCATGCCTGATACCAAAGTGTAATTCCAAACTGTTCTGCATGTTTTGACTATTGGCCAGAGTTCATATTTTATGCCAGAGTTCAGTACTTCGGCATAAAATATGAAGAGATTTGCCATATTTGCTGATAACCAGTTTGATATATTCTGCCCTTGGAAACAATATGAACCAGGAGCAAAGTGCTAGAGTACTGAGATACTAAAAGGGTGTGTATGACTTTGGCCTTCAGGAGGACAGTTGAGCTTTTGAAAACTCCTGTGTGTGAATATAGCATACGCTGTGTATAATCAGAGATAATGTATGAAAGGGAAAGTGTGTGTGAGCTTCCTACAAAGAGAATAACTAGTTCACTACAGAGGGAAAACATCCATTCTATAAGGTCTCAGAATGAATGAAATGTGTGGTATTTATATATTCTAGAACAGTTTTGAGAAAAATGACATTTTAAATTACTTTCTTTGTTTTGAAAGCTCTGTGCATCAAGTAGTGCTGTCATTATGTTTGTGGGAAAACTGATTTTAAAGATACAAATACCCACTATAAAGATTTAACTGATTTATTTATTTTAAAAACTTTTTGGCAGGTATCGGCAGATACTAGAAAAAGCTGTTCAGCTCTCAGGAGTAGACCAACTAGAGGCCTTAAAAGCCTTTGTAGAAGCAAGTGAGTTTAAATAGCATTTTTCAGAAGTTCTTGAATGACTGCTATAGATGTTGAATTGCAATCAGAAAAAAGGAAAGTGTGTGAATGACCTCATAACAATTGTATGTTGAAACATAAATATACTTCAGGAAATATTTCAATGCAGTGACTATATATATACTGGGGAAATAAATGTTATCAAAATTAGTGAAACAATGTTGAACGGAAACTGTAATAGCATTATTAGATGAAGAAGAAAATGTATGAAGATTGGTGACTGTAAAAGTCACATCTAATTAAACCATGTTTATCTTTATAACAGTTGCTAGTTAATAATGCAGCCCACTGCTAAACACATTTATTTGCAGTAGGCTCCATTGAATTCAATGGGATATGCCATGTCCTAAGAATGCTTAGCATTACAGCTGGCACTTTTTTGCCATGTACTTGGTTTATGGTAACATGCAATATAGCAGTCTTGATTCTTAACAAATAAATCAGATAATTTACTTCCATGAATTCCATGGAGCTTCTGGAGAAATACAAAATAAAACCCAGTTGTTCACAGGCAAGTGTGAGATTTTCCCAAATTCCATGTTTTTTGATGGACACTTCTCTGGAATATGAGTACAGTCATAGCAGTAGCTCCATGCTACAGATGCTTGGAAGTGAGTCCTGTTCCAAATAGAAAATGTTTGGGATTCTTTGACAGTGCACAGAGAAAGCAGATGCAATTAGAAACACTAGTGAAAGCATTGTAACTGGTTAGGGTCCTAAATGTTTTCTCAGTCATTTTTGAATCAACAGTAGATATGAGAAGTCATAACTCCAAAGGTAGGAAACACTGGTATCCGTATTAATATTTAGGCATCGAGTCCTAAAACTCTGTCACCATAGTGTATTGAGTGTCATGTGCAAATGTGGGGTGGCATATAAATGTAATAAATGATGATGATACGGTCGTTTCTTACCTGCTTCTTTCTCTGTCATGCAACTGCTAGTGCAGTGTGACTTCTTGAGACATTTAATGAGGATAGAGCAACAACACAGCTGCAATCTTACTATGTCTTTTTTAAAAAGTATTATGCACAAGTTTTATTAGCTGGTTCAGCTTTCTGAAACTTGGAGCTGGGAAGTAGAGGCTTAATAATTTTGGGGCTTAATAATATTAATTTTGTGCTGAATATTGACTAAAATGACACACCCTAATGTAAGTCTAGAGTTTGACTTTCTTTCTCCCTCATGTCTCTTAAACCAGTGGTGAATGAAAATGTCAGTTTAGTGATTTCACGCCAGTTGCTGACTGACTTCTGTACCCATCTTCCAAGCCTTCCTGATAGCACAGCCAAAGAAATCTATCACTTCACCTTAGAAAAGATCCAGCCCCGTGTAATTTCATTTGAGGAGCAGGTAAGAGCAAGACACTGGGTGGGTTCACATGACATGCCAAGCCGCAGTGGCTCCTTTTACCGTTGTTGGCCTGTTGTGTCATCCAAACCCAACTGTATTTCAGTGTGGTGCATTTGATTTTTAGAAGTCATAAACAAACAATGGTTTGTTCTATGGTTTCTTGGTACCATGATTATAGCGCAGAGGCCCTTTGCCATTCCTGTTAAGCAGCCCAAGAGAGAACACCACTGACAGGTGCCATTTGGCGCAGCTGTTGGAGGTGTCCTGACTCTGCCCCCCTTCCTGTGCTAAAGAGCTTCCTTGGTACAGGCATTGGCAGTAAGCTGTTTGGCACTAGGAAAGGAGCGGCATAGCTCAGTTAATTTTCCCACTGCCCTATCCTGCATGCACCTGATGTACGCTCCTCACATGCTTGAGCCAGAAGGTTAAGAATCAGCTGGACTGAAGTGTCCAGTTGTGGGCTGTGGCACTCAGCTGATTCCCTGTATGTGCCAGAGGGAGGCCCCTTCTGTGAACTGGAGGGGCAAGAATCAGCTGGAGGCTTAGTTGGAAATGCCTTTCTGACCAGCAGAAGCAAGAAACAGGGATGAGCAGGAGGATTGGCTGAGTGTTGCTGCTGCCAGCTGGGCACTGTTGCTCACTTTATTCTTTCTCCTTTTGCCCACAAGAGTGAGGGGTTCCCTCTTGTGTGGGCAGGGCAGTAGGGAATGAGCTGAGCAGTGCAGCCAGCCACCCGGCACTATAACCTAGCGGAGTCTTGCTGCTTCATGTGTGGAGCAGGTGACAGGGAATCGGCTGAATAGTCCAGCCCCTGGTCAGACACTGCTGCCCAGCTGATCCTTGCTGCTTATACACATGGATGGCTTCTCTCAGGCCTGTGCAGAGAGGGAATCAGTTGAGTAGTGCTGCTCCTTGCCATAGTCCTCCCCAGCTGATTTCCAACACTCTGCCCTAACCGTGGATCAGGCACTCCCACTTCCTGCTCCAGTGGTTCCTTCTGGAAAGGAGCCTCATCCATTCCCCTGGTTTTTCCTGCGATATAACCTGAGGACTAAGAGGGAAGGAAATGGCAGAAGTGGGAAGAGTGACCACCATGAACCTGATCATTTGCCAGGTGCATCCAGTTAAAGAAACATGGAACCTTGGTAACCATGCAGGGTTCCATTTCATTTTGTATGAACTTAGCAGCTTTGTCTTCAAACTTTTTGTTGCCTTCTTCTGGGTTTATGTGAATATCAGTTGGTATTGTATTTTAGTATTGGACACATGAAACAATCACCTACCTCGTGATGCATTTATTTATTTATTTATTTATTTATTTTATTCCATTTCTATGCCGTCCCATCACCTGAAGGTTCCCTGGGTGGCTTACAATGCTAAAACAAAATAAAAATATATGTACAATACAATAAAATAATTGATAATCTAATAAAATTGATAAAATAATAATGTAATAAATAATATCACATAATAAAATATTCACACACCCCAATAAGCATAACCAGTAAATTAACCAAATTAAATTAAATAATCTATAACATTTGCATTTATTTCTACTTTGATCTTTTAAATTAAGTTTGTTTATAGGAATGCTTATGTTAGTCTGGTGTTTACAAATGACAAATCCTCTCACATTTAACAAATGCCTCCGGTACCTGCTGCTTCCTTTCTTGAATTGTTCAAACGTGTTCTAATTTGATGCGAAGACTGACTCCTTAAGCCTTAAAAAAGAATTGTGGCAAAATCCTCATGTATTTGAGGCACCCTGGCAATTGAATTCATTGTGTATCCCATGTTGGAGCATTCATGTGTATATACAGCTATCATTCATGTGTATATGCAGCTATCATTTATCTGATAATTTAAGTGTTTTATTGTCACACAAGCCATTCATACTTAAAGGTACTGGGTCCTGGTTTAACAGTGTATAAAGATGTCATTTGCAAAGAGTAGAGAACAAAAATGGCTATTTCTTGCAAATCTTACCTCCCTAAATTTGTAAGGTTTTCTGACTGGTCAATATACATAAGTATGCCATACTGTGATGTGTAAAATTAGGGAAATAGTGGTTAGATGAGCAAAAGACAGCTAAGGGGGAAAAGAAGAAAGCAAGGGAAAGAAAAAGGTATTGGAGATTGAATCTCTTTTATAATTAAAATGATTGTATGATTTTCTGTCTCTTCCCTGCACCCCCAGGTTGCTTCTATAAGGCAGCATCTTGCATCAATTTATGAGAAAGAAGAAGACTGGCGGAATGCAGCACAAGTTTTGGTGGGGATTCCTTTGGAAACGGGACAAAAGTAAATCTATTCATTAGAAAAACTGCTTTTTTTCTTGTGGAAATTGTTAAAATTGGTGTATTCTGGGTGTGCATTCTTGGACATTGAGTAGTCTTGCTCCTCATTTTATTCTGCAGCAATCACACAGAGAGTCCTACTCTGTCAAATTACTGCATGGAAATGTCTCCTGCATGAATCTTTAAGAGTACTTTTTAATGCTATTCTTATAAGAATTATATTTGAAGCAAAGTACTTTTTCTAACTAAGGTTTTTCGGACACCAGCTGGGAACTTTGTGTTAGATCTAGGTCTCTCTGTTTGCTCCGTAGCATTGTATGGAGTTGGGCTATTTAGTACAGTAATGTTCTTGTGTGCTTGAATCACAAAAGGGTAAGATATATCTTGTCACTAACATCCTTTGAATAGTACAATTCATATTTTATTATGAATGTACCTTTCAAAATTATTTTGGCTCTTCGTAAAATCTATGCCCTGCTGCACCATAAAAGCCATAGAGTCTAGAGATTTTCATTGCAAAACTGCTTCAGGTATTTCTACTTCTTGCTTTGTTACACATTTTCATCAGGTTGTAAAGTCCAGTTCCACATTCCTCAGATATTGAAAGAGAAAGTATGGACTTTGAACCACACTAGAGAGTATATTCTGTACTCAGAATTAACGTGGAAGGGAATGGATGTTCAGTCATGCAGGAAAGAACAGCACTCCTCCACCTGTTGGCTTTCTCCAGCAGCTCATGGCTGGTCTGTTCATAAGGATTGGAAAAGAGAGCGAGAGTGGCAGGTTTCTTGCCGGTGGCTTCATACTTAATATCCTTGTCCTGATACCGTTTTTGTATGGCTTCCTTGGAGTACATTTGGTGTCAAAACTTGGTTTGACAGGCTGTTTCTCCACTGATGGAGAGTTATAGCATTGTTCTGCGTACCTACCGCTGTGATAAACCAGAGCCAAAGTGTAAAACATCAACTTTCTCCTTAATTTTTCTGGGAGACATGCTGCTCTTCCTTTCGGCTACAAACATTATTCATCTTGCAGTCTACTTGTAAATTTTTGCTTAACACTTACGCATATTAACAGACTTAAATAACAAAATTGGAACAAGCTGTAGTTTAAACATGGCACATTTTTTCCTGTTTATTCAAGGCAATATAATGTGGACTATAAGCTGGAAACCTACCTGAAAATTGCCCGTCTTTACCTGGAGGATGATGATCCTGTTCAAGCGGAAGCCTATATCAACAGAGCATCTCTTCTGCAGAATGAATCAACCAATGAACAGTTGCAAATCCATTATAAGGTGAAATATAGGGCGCACTGGGTGACTTTGGGTCAGTCATAGACTCTCAGCCCAACCAACCTCACAGGGTTGCTGTTCTTGTCAAGATAAGATTGAGAGGAGGAGGAGGAGAATTATGTAGGCTGTCTTGAGTTCTGTGAAAGGAAAAGAAAGGAAGGATATAAATTAATATCCTAATTAATACATACTTATATTACTACTTGTTTTAAATGTAAAAGAAACAACATATTACAAGATATCTTAGTAAAAATACTAATCACTCATTATGGCTTCTAGAATTTGCACTCAACAGCAAGAATAGATCCTGATATGGTAGGCAAAGTCTAAACCATGGTGTATGCATTATAACCCTATGTAACTGCGACTTACCTAAGATTTGGACTTATCTCCTAGATGGGCAAATTACCCAGTATCCCTATAATCAATTGTTTTAACCATATTTTCTTACTCCACTCTTTCTTCTACCACTTCTCAGAAATACCAAGGGTGGTTTCTGAACGAGTTTACTTACACTTAGTAAACAAGGTAGCCCATGCATGCACTTTCACAATCAGAATCAACATAATACAAAAGGGGGGAGAGAGGAAGAACTGTTTTTGCTAACTGTTCCCCTTTGGTGGTAGTGAGGGCCAAGGGCCTGTTGGGACAAGGCACAACTCTCCCAAGTATCTCACTAGCAAGTTCTGTTGCACATTGTTTGTTCCCTTCATGGTTCTCTGAGCTGGCAAATTATTTAGGGTGAAGTCTGCAACACTATTCCCAAGAGTCACATTTCCTAAAGTCTAATTCTACAGACTAGTGGAATTACAAATGCGGAGATGTATACAGAGAGATAGAACTATTCCACTTGACATGACAGTGTAAGTTAAATGAACAGAAACCAGTGTGATTACTGTTTGAAGCAATACAATTACTGATTTTTTTAAAAGCTACTCCAGCAGTCTGGATTACTGTTTTTAGTTATGCTGGGTATTTTTCCTGTTTCAGGTGTGCTATGCCCGTGTTCTGGACTATAGAAGGAAGTTCATTGAAGCTGCCCAGAGGTATAATGAGCTGTCTTACAAGAGTATAGTCCATGAATCCGAGAGACTTGAAGCACTGAAACATGCCTTACATTGTACTATTTTAGCATCAGCAGGTAAAATGATAGCTGAATGCTTATTTCTCTACTCCATATTTTAATCTTTGGTATTACACGTATGATAGGTCTGTACATGAAGCCTGTACATGAAGATTAGTTTTTCTTAAAATGCTGAGGATAAGTAGAAGATAGCTTGCATTTCTGCCTGAATGTCATAAAGGTGGAATTCACATGCCCTTAAGCTCTTTTCAGTATCATGGATTCTACCAAAGGAGTTTAATTGCCTAATCTTGTGCGTAATTACTTACTCAAAAGGTCCAGTTGATGAATCTGGTCCACAGTCATGGTGTTAAATGTCACAACCTTAGGCTGCAGTCCTGTAGTCTCTAGATAGACATTCCAGGAGGCCTGTGATATTTCAGGTCGATATCTCGCTTCCTCATTGTGGTGGTGGAAACTTCCACAAGTTATGTTTGATGGTGGTTGGGAACAGGGTGTCTTGGAAGCAGATTGAGGGGATCTTTGGATTTGGAGCATCCAGACCCCTCCTATTCCTCTGAGAAGAGAGACAAAGTATGTCAGTCCTGGCACTGGCATGCACATTTTCCCTCTGATTAATGACAGTGGGAGAGAAGACCAAAAACAGAACTGGGATGGAGGGTGGAGGGGTAGGGGTGGAATCTGGGAAGGAGGCATTTTTCACTGTGGCCGGTAGGATTAAGTGTTGGTTCTTTCACCATGGATTTTGCTTTCCCTGTTTATGCAAGTGTGCTCTGCCTGTCTTATTAGCATTATAGGACAAACAAAGATAATTTCTTCTTTGTAGGATAAATAACAATAAGTGCATTTTGGATTTTTAGAAACATCAGTCTGTTCTGAAACTATATCATGTTGAATTCCTAAAGTATAGTAATTGCAACCCTGATACCAGTTGCAATTAACTGGAGTTAGTTTGCTTTTTTATTTTGTTTTTAAAAGCAGTGTATTTCCTATGGTAAAAATTTAATCCGAATATCACAAAAGCTCTGTAACTTACAGCATTCCCCAACAAACATAGTTGGAGTAGTAGTACATTTTCCTCTCTATGCACACATAGGATTGCCCCCTTGTTCTTTAGCCAAGAGGAACACCATTGAATAGGTACTTCTTTTAAAGGCCTGATTAGCATAATAGAGCTCCAGGTGCATGAGAAATCATGCAGGGTTCAGTTGCAAGCTGCCAAGTGGTAACTGAACCCATCAGACTTACCTTTGGCTTGTGGTTGTATGTGTTTGTTTCTATAATGAGCCATGTTGCTTTCTAGTCTGAGCTTTTGATTTCCAGTGAAGCAAAAAAGGAGAAGAAAGCAAAGACACATGCGTCATTCCAGGGAGTGGTGTGAGGATAGAATGCACATTTTCTAATGTGCGCCACAGCATCTTTGGACAGGCTTTGGAGCAAATGCAGTAGCCTGGGAGAACAACTTGGGACAGAACATGGGCTGCCTTCCAACCCCTGTGTTTAGACACAAAATCCATAGGCAATGCTTTGTATATTTGACAGAAGAAATAATAGCTGCTTGGAGCATGCTGGGAATTGTAGGACCTTTTTCTGCCCAGTTATGCATAGGATTGCAGCCTAAGCTGCCACATCAGCTTTTGCAATGGAATATGCATATTAACCATTATAATTACTGCAGTCAAATCATTGGTATTGCATCCCTAAGTGGAAGGGTTCCTTTGTTTCTATAGAAAGGTTCTGCATAGACACAATCTGCATCTATGAAATATAATTTGAAAACTCACGAAGTACTGCAATAATTGATTCAGTTTTTTAAAAGTTGCTTATCAGCTTCAGGTGTCCGCAGGGTCTACCTCTCTGAGAGTAGAGCATATCTTCCAAGACATCAAAGGAAGTGTGACTGGGCAGAGAGAATTAAAATATAGGTATTTGGTGCAGAAGTGCAAGAGTGTAGGAGCTCCAGCAACATTCGCCACTGGTTGTAAAATGATGAGCCTTCAGTGTTTTGTCCTGGTTTCTATAAGCACAGTTTCTCCATTGTGGGATGAAGGATCATAGACAGTGTTTTGTCAGTGTTGTTGTATCAGCGAGGTACTTGCTGCTGCAGCAGTGGAATCTAGAGGTTTTTGCCCATCCGAGTGAGGGTGAGCTGATACTGTGGATCGATTAGATGAAATCCGCCATTTGATACTCAGTCACAGATTGATAATTGAGGAAATGCTCAATTATCTTTCTCACCGAAGTAGACAAAACTGAATTATATGGGGCCGGGTAACAGCATTCTTACTGTCTTCTAGGACAGCAGCGCTCCCGTATGTTAGCCACTCTCTTCAAGGATGAGAGGTGCCAGCAGCTTGCAGCCTATGGAATACTGGAGAAAATGTATCTGGACAGGATTATCAGAGGCAACCAGTTGCAAGAATTTGCTGCAATGCTCATGCCACACCAAAAAGCAACAACATCAGATGGTACTTATGTCTCTAAGTCTGGAATTATGCTTTTCTGAATTTCAGGTCATTCAGACATTATTTTCTTTGTAACTATCCTTTCAAAAAATAATATTAATGTACTTTGAATCATCTTAGCCATCAGCATCAGTTATTTATACTCTTGCTTTATCTGTTTATACATGAGTGTTTGGTACAGAATGTCCTGTTTTCATCTGTTAAATGTGACTTCTAAAATCCTTCTTTGTTGCCATTAGTATTGCTATTGTCACGTATTTTTTAGGAATATTTTTGTCACATTTTATTTAAGAAAAAATCATTATTCAGGGCATGATATATTTTCCACCTCCACACACACTCACACACGCACACATGCTGGATTGGTCTCATTTGTTATTTATTCAGCTGATTTTTATCTCCTGCTTCAGCAGGAATGCTCTTCTTAAAGGATTCAACCCAAAAATAATGTAACAAATATTACTATGATATGAATCTATGATTTTTTATTTTTTTCTCTGTTGTGGAACAGTATTGCTGAAGCAGGATATATGCTGCCCACAGTTTGTTTAATTATATGCTTGACTTGTGATCAAACATAATTTGGATATGAAGCACCAATAAACTGTCAGTTTCCTTTCTCAGGTTCTAGTATTTTAGACAGAGCTGTCATTGAACATAATTTATTATCTGCAAGCAAACTATATAACAACATTACCTTTGAAGAACTTGGAGCATTATTAGAAATTCCTGCAGCCAAGGTATTTTGATTTTGGTTACGTTACTTTGTTGATAAATTGTACAGCATTCCACTTTACTGTTACGATTCAAGTAACTAGAATAATAGTATGGCTAGCTTCTTGGTTTCTTATAGAGTACTAGAAAAGAGCTATGTATTGTTGCAAAATTAATCTGATTGTTCCTGTGTTCATCTTAAGGTCGTTTTAACAATTGGAGTGGTCTGAGCAGATGCATTAAGAAAGATGCAGAGACAAAAATTCTTGATGGTGGGGCAAGATGCTTACGGCTATATTAATTTGGAAAGAGATTAGAACAGAAGTATCTCAGCATTATGGATGTCTTCCACTAACAAGAATTTGTTCATCCTGCTTTCCAGTTCCACACATTTCTTTCCTTTTAAAGAGTTAATGGGTGGCACAATCCTAGTCAAGTCCATCCACTTGGAATTCCATCAACAAGTCTGACAGCACAATCTGCAGATACTTTGACTCTTGCACAATAACAATTAAAATTCAGGGGTCCTCAAACTTTTTCACTGGGGGCCAGTTGAAAGGTGCCAGTGCTGGCGGGGCATGTGGGGGGGGGCATGTGGCGAGGAGGGGCAAGGCAAGGTGGGGGCAGGCACACGCCACGATGCAGCGGCTCACTCACTTGGAGATCATTTTCTCCTAGCAAGTCCAAAACGATCTCCTTGCGAGCAAGCCACTGCCTCCCCACATGGGGGGTGAGGCGGGCGCGCGGCGCGTTAAAAACCTCTGAGGCGGGCCGGCTATATGGCCACGGTGGGCCAGATCCGGTCCCCGGGCCATAGTTTGAGGACCCAAGAATTAAATGATGCTTAAGGTTCCCAGTGATGTGATTATTACACAACTTCATCCCTAGATTCATCTCAGGATTTGTGTGTATGATTAGCATGTGTGAAGATTTCTGTGTGGACTAGTTTTTCTATGTAACTTTTCTGTACCACTGAATCTGCCATGTATTAAAAATCATTACTGGAATTAATGTTTCTTAGAAGCAGAAATAGTGGCATTTTGCTTTGTTATTTCAGGCAGAAAAGATAGCCTCTCAGATGATAACAGAGGGTCGCATGAATGGATTTATTGACCAGATTGATGGAATAGTTCACTTTGAAAGTAAGTTTAGCCATAGATTTATGTTTTTCTCTCAGAACAGTTATGGCATGCGTTAAAGCAGCCTTGCATTGAACAACTTGCTGCCTTGCCAGAGGCAAAGAGGAATCCCATCCAGGTGAGTGAGTGGGCGAGTGGAAGAGGGATGAATCCTGCCTGCCTTCTTCTGGCACTGCATGTGTTTCTATGCCTTCAAAAGAGGATGTGAAGCTCTTTCCACTGCAAATGGGCTAGCAAGCAGAGCCTTCCTCTGCCAGTCTGCTTGACTGAAGGCCATTTCCTTTTATTAACCTGCTAAGTAAAAAAGAACACTCATTTATTTGACCTTATGTATTGGGCTGTGTTGAATGTAAGCAGAATGCTTTAGCTTGCTATGCAATCAACATTGGCTGAAAATAATTGGTAATTCTTGCTGTGACCACCAGAGGGCAATAGTATGCGAATAATCGCACGCCATACTGTTAATCTGTATGAATTTTTATATGGCAGACTAGACATAACAGAAAGTTGCTTCTGCTTGTCACTTACAGCATCATACTTAACAGAAATAAATGAATGAGTTTTGTTGTTGTCATCCATTTTTTATTTCGTCTTTTAGCTCGTGAAGCCTTACCGACGTGGGACAAACAAATTCAGTCACTTTGCTTCCAAGTTAACAATCTTTTGGAGAAGATTAGTCAGACTGCCCCAGAATGGACAGCACAGGCTATGGAAGCTCAGATGGCTCAGTAGACTTTTTCCCTGTCCTTTGGTAAAAAAGAGGTCATATTCTCTAGACATGTGAAGCAAGCATGAGAAATTGAACTGGCCTTTGGGTTGATTTCTGCAATTGTGCTGAAACTCCTTAAGATTTTTCTTAAAGGTGTGTTAGCACAGCATAGTAACTGTTTTAGATGTCATTTAAAAGTAACATGATGAAGTTGACACAGTGTAACTTCAGAGTATTCCTCGATAAAAATTTAGGTTGCTTTGTGACCTTGTGAATATTTTTGTGTTGTGAAAACAGGTGGATTTAGCTGCATTTATTTGAATAAAAACAAGATAGGAGTTAATTGCATGCTCTGTACTTGTATTCTTCATTTGTTCCATTTTGTCTTCATAAAACCTCACCACCCTCATAGGCTTGCAAAGCTGAATTTACAGTTTTTGAAAATCTTTGCTAAGCTTGTTTTTTGATGCACAGAAGCAAGAAGTTTGAAAAGCAGTATGTGCTGAAATATGATGTAGGGAAATTCCATGTTAGGTATGATTAGGAAAGGAAAATAAAACTGCCATTGTCAAACTGCCCTTGTGCACATCTTTTGTGCAGCCATCTTGTAACACAGTATAGCTCTGATCGCTGCATCTAAAAAATATATTGTACAGGTGGACAAAGGGCAGCTAAACCGATTGATGGGCTGGAGCAAGTCCCTTATAATGGGAGCGTTGAGGTGTTACCTTAGAAAAGGGGTAAGTGAGGGTACACATGATAGTGGTGCACAGAATTATGCAGAGTGTGGAGAAAGCAGAACGAGTGACATTTTCCTCCTGTTCATAATACTAGAGTTTGTGGTGATCTCATGCTGCTGCTTGGTCGAATCAGGACAGACAAAAGGAAATGCTTCTTCTTGCAGCACACAATTCAGCTTTGGAATTCACTTCCACATGATGTCCTGACGGCTTTAAAAGGGGATTGGGCAAATTCCTTGGAGAGAAGTCTACTAATGACTACTAGTCCTGATGGCTAAATGCTACCTCCAGTATGTCTAGCTGCACACGTTGCTGGGGAGCATGGGCAGGAGGATGCTGTTGAACTCATGTCTTGCTAATGGGCTTCCCGTGGACAGCGGCTGGGCTACCGTGGGAATAAAATGGTGGATCATATGGATGCTTGGCCTGATCCCACATGGCTCTTCATTGGAGGAAATCAATATTCAGGGCAGAAAGAAGTAGAGAAAGCTGCACAATGTTCAAACTTTCATTTTGTCTATAAGATATTTATTTAGGTACAGAATAAAAGGAACATCTACTTAACAAATCTAGAGTTTTCCCAATATAGCTGTTTAGAAAAGTAAGAGACCTAAATAAAATTGCATGGCATAATTATTTTGTTTAATTCTATCTCAAGAAGCATTTTTGGGTTATATACGCATAGCACAACTTATTTTTTCACTTTTCTTAAAATATAAACTCCAATGGGGAAAATTAAATGGTTCCTTATCTTCAACTATTATAAATCTAGCCAATTTTTTTCTGCATGGCTCCAACTCTATTTCTCTTTCTTGGGTCATGCCTGAGGGACAATTTTGGGTGACTTAATTTTTTAGGCTAATTTACACATTAAATTGTAGCAGAGGTGGTTAATTAACTCCATATGATGATTCTTTGGTGTATTCTTGAAATCCTGGAGCCCTGAAAGCAGAATGAACAACCTTAGAAGATTCCCAATTCTCGTCTTCTGTTGATATCCCTCTTGAGTTGGCAAAGAGAGCAAAGAGGGAAACATCCAACAGTCCAAAAGTCATCCCAGAGGGATCCCTATAAAAAAAACAAAAACAATTATTTTGAAGAAAAAAATATATAGATGTAGTTTTGGCCACCTGCATCCAACACCACATAAGCCCTTGTGTTAAGATCAGCATCAGAGATCCCATGCTTTGGCCTGCCAGTAAGGGCCAGTAGACTGGTAGGAATAAGGGATACTGTTTCTTAGTGGTGTCCCCACACCTTTGGAATTCCTTTCCTGAGATGATAAATATTATTTAGTATTAGCTTTATAGCCTGCTTTTTCCTCTGGCAAGGAATCGGAGGCTGCTAACGTGCTCATCTTCTCTGTAGATGATCCCCCAAAACCAACCCTGCATAGTAGTTTAAGCAGTGATTGCCCCAAAATCTCTCAATGGGCTCCAAGGCCAAATGGTGACTAGTCCAGCATTTTAACCACCACACTTGATCCCATACAGCCTGAAGACATTTATTTCAGTCTATATTCAGTGCTTGAAAAATCATGAGCTGCTACTGCTGGTACTTAATTATAACTTGCAGCTGCATGTTTTGTAATATTGTAATTTACCTTGTGGGGACAGCATGTCTGAACACTACTAAATTAAATTAAATCGAAACAAAATGAAACAATAATGGGCTTATCTGGGAGTTAGTTAATGGGGCATAAAAACAACATGTATATATATTTCTGCCTGCAGGCAGCTTTTCTATAAGGTAGGCAATCAGACACATTTTGTATAAAGGAACAGTGAGTCAAACAAGAAAAGGGGGCAAAAAAGGGTAAATTGCGTTCTACTATCCGATCTTTTGGGATTTTGCAACAGTCTGGCTTCTGACCCCCACCTTAACAATAGCACAAACAGCAACGCTTCTTCCTCTAGGTCAGGGGGTTGGCAACCTTTAACACTCAAAGAGCCATTTGGACCCGTTTCCCACACAAAAGAAAATGCGGGGAGCTGCAAAACCCTTTTGACATCTAAAAAGAAGATAACACTGCATGTGTATACATTATGATTTAGCTGCAGCTCTTGTTCAGTCACGAAAAACTGTTATTTTTAATCTTACATTATAAACTAGTAGGACTCTTTTCATATATTTTGAATAGGCGAACAGCTTCCTGAAGAGTCAAAGTCAGTGCTAAAGGGCTGCATGCATTAAACAGCAAACCCCATAAGTTCGTCAGCAGTAAAAGCAAATGAATCTACCCACGTATCATTAAACGTTTGATTTTCTTCAGAAACTTTTCTTCGATTTATCCATGGTTGGCCTACAGGGGGCCGGGGGAGCTCAGTAAATCTGCGAGGGCCCACACAGATCAGCAGATCTGAGGCTGTGCCACAGATATAGGTGTGTTTAGCAGATAAACAGTCAAGTGCTGTGAATTGTGACAGGTCCCAAGCGCAGCTTTTAACATTCAGATGAAGATTACATTGGGACAAAGGGAATCCTTTCAGCAGGTTTTGTTTTGTGTAACATGAGAGCCTGCAGGAAGTTTGTTTAGAAGAGGAATGTAGCGATTTACTTAACTAGCTGATTTACTTAACTAGCTAGCGCTGGGGTCCTGAGTGCAGCTTTGAGCAGATCAGCGGCTGTGCCGGCGCGCGTTTTGAGCGACGGAGCCGCAGCAGAGGGGTTCGAGAGCCACGTGCGGCTCCGGAGCCACGGGGTGCCGACCCCTGTCCTAGGTCTACTGAAATCAAGAAAGCTTGGAGAGTAGAAGCCAAAAGCAGATGTTGGTGGGAAATACGGCAAGCTCAGCTGTAGTCCTGAAAACAAGCCCCATGGTTCTGAGGACCATTTTCCTTCACACTCAGTGCATCTGCCTGCCTGAGCCACTGTTTGCATCTCACTCTGGTCAGTTTTGGAGTTCTAGCAGCAGCAACTACACAAGCCTCAAGTCCGCCCACTTCTGGTTGGACAATACACTCACTGGTATTCCATATCTTGTCCTGTAGACAGCCCTGATGGCCATGCCTGTGCCACAGAGGCAGCATTCCCCCATATCTGCAGCCACTTGGCACCCCAGACACTCGTAGCAAAATAGTCCGCAGAAACCTGTTTAGACACAGAGCACATTCGCAAGACATCACTTGGCAGAATACTGTAGTAACACAACAAACCTACATGTCATGATTTTTAAAAATCTATAGATCCCATATTTTGAGACACATCCCTTGGAAAAGGGGAAGGAACAGAATTCCATCATGAATTTTTAACTTCTGATTCTTTCTTCTTCCTATCTGCCAATCCATCTCTTTGAGCTAGTTTGGGGATCAATTAAAATCATGGCAATATTGGCTCCTAAAATGCATTGCTGCATTTTTTAAGCTTTTGGAGTGGATTTTAGAATTATCTTCCAGGAATTTGAATAACTGGCTATTAGACACAATGGATGCAACAAGGAAAAAATCCAATTGCCTAATGCTGGGGACCAATGCCATGATGCTAAGCTTCATCAGTTTCAGAGCTGATCTGTCTGATTGCTCATGTTCACAATGTGCCAGACCAGAAGGTCCTGTGACTTGACTTAGCAAGACAATTCAGAACATCTCAGAGCTTTTGTGCCAACCTGGAGACTCTTCAAACTTTCCAACCATGAATGGCCTGTGTGCTTTCTTTACCCTCATCTTTGGTTTTCATCCAGTTGGGTAGGATGGGTGGAAGAAGGCATGGATTCTGCAGATGTGAGACAGATATCTCCATGGGCAAGACCCAGAAGCATAGACTTCAAGGAGAAAAAGTCACTCCATTCTGCTTGCTCCTTGCTTTGGCCTGTTTTCCTTCACCCTTTGAACTATCTCCCCCCCCCCCCCCCCAACAGAAGCAGGACGCTGGGAGGATTTTTCCTGGACTTTTAAAATAAATCATGCAAGTGTGGATAGTGGATAGTTTTCCAAAGACCATGCAAGCAGCCATCTCAGCCGCTTTGGAGTCCTTGGGCAAGGAGTAGATCAAAGCCTCTTCCTCAACTCCACCAGCAGTGATCCTGGCCACATTGCGACTGTCTGGGGAGCCTCTCCAGCCCAGTGACCTTGGTCAAGTTTGTTGAGTTGGGGAGATAAAGGCATCCCTCACCCCAGCTGTCCATCCAAGATTCCGGGCCCAATGCTGCTAATAAGCCCTAAACGGCTTGGGTCCAGGCTACCTGAACGAGCGCTTACGTCCGTATATGCCCGACCGCCCCTTGAGATCTGCGGGAGAGTCCCTTCTCCGGGAACCCTCCATGAAAGAAATTAGGAGAGTAAGTACTCAGAGGAGGGCTTTCTCTGCGGTGGTGCCCAACCTATGGAATTCACTCCCCAAAGAGGTCCGCCTGGCACAGTCGTTACTGGTTTTTCGGCACCAGGTAAAGACCTTTTTATTTAAACATCATTTTAATTGTTAAAATATATATCTGGCCAGGGCAACTTTCTTCTTCCTTCTCTTTTCTCCTCCTATATATTTATTTACTTATTTTATACTGATAATTTTAATTTTATATTATTATGTTTGTAACTCAGTGTATTTTTTGTATTTTTGTATTTATTGGTAATTTATTATGTTCTATTGTATTTCAATGTATTTTATTGTGTTGTAAGCCGCCCCGAGGCTTCGGCAAGGGGCGGCATAGAAATGTTATAATAATAATAATAATAATAATAATAATAATAATAATAATAATAATGTGATAGCATCAGGCTTTCCTCTACTACCCCAGTGATAGGTGATAAACTGTGAGGGGAAGCGGGTGGGCTCCTCATATTGCATGAAGAGAGGCTGCCTGTTGCAGAGTGCCCTCCTAGGGTTTAAAGCAGCCTTCCTAACCTGGTGGCCTTCAGAGGCATTTGGACTATAACTCCCAGAATTCCCGTCTAGTGGGGCCATTGACTGGGAATTCTGGGTGTTGCAATCCAAACGTGTCTGGAAGTCATAAGGTTGGGGAAGGCAGATGCAAAGGATGGACCTGAGTGCGATGTCATTGTTTTTCTTAACCCCAAGGCTCCTGGGGCAGGTGTGTAGGTGAAGAGCTGCAGCTCGCTGGCATGAATGTTCATGCAAGTGTTTTTAGGGTCAGTTCCTACATCTCCCAATGGGGCTGGGAAAGGCCCTTTTCTGAAACCCTGGGGGAGCTGTCTAAGCATAGACAACAAGAAGTAACAAGAACAGGTTGAGGAGGGAGTCTTTAGCTGTAACCCAATCAAGCAAAGACATTTGATATTTTTCCAATTGAGTGTAACAGCTGGTTGAGAGAGAACAGAGATTTCTTAACTATGAAGATCAGGAGGCCTGTGTTCATAGTAACAAAAAGTGAGATTTGTGTTCAGCTCAGACTTGATGTTGTTCTTGAATTTCCTTGTGGGAAAGAATCTGGATTTCTTGCAAAAAAGACTCCCAACCCATGGATGCTTCCCTTAGTAAAACACCCATACGCTGAATTACAAATGAGCATGCTCTTATTTCCATCACAGATTGCTTGTTACTTGGGGTGAAAAATGTTCAACTGGCGTCTACCACAGCCCTGTAGCCAAATAGTTCTGTAGGCACTCACATACTCCGCAGTCGCTGCAGCAATCACATAAACCTGTCTGCCACTGGTTTCTTTGTGGCTGGGCAATCACAACTTGTGTTTGAGACAGGACCACCTGCTGAGTCATTTTGAGGGCCGCTGGATAATGCTGAGGGAAAGAAGAAGAGAGAGCAATGCATTTAAACATCACCACAACATGAAACCAATCTACACCATGCAATCATTTTATTAGTACTGATAATAATAACAGCACCACTACTTCTATACTGCTGAAGCTTTCTTGGCAGAGTACAACAATGGATAAAATATAGTCAGATATGATATAAAGTACACATAGCAGTAAAAACATTTCACTAGATGTTTAAAATCAAATTTTAACAACTTAAAAAGCTAAGACGGAGGTCACAGAGAAGGACCTGTTAGAAATAGTTGACAGTACCCTCCTTTTCCATGTGCTATTTAAAATGTTAATTCTTTCTTGTCATAGAAGTCAGTCTTAAACTGCCAATGAAAAGGATATTAAAGATGGCACCAGGGAGACCTCCATTGGGAGATCATTCCATAATCTGGGGGCTTCTTTGACAAAGAAGGTCCTCTTCCTTCTTCCTAGCACCTGATCCTCCCATGGAGGTAGCTTTTGGAGAAAGAGCTCAAATGTGGAGAATCAATACATATGTGAAGTTCCTTAAAGTCCTTTCAACACATTATCTGGGTTTATGAGTTGATAAATGGTTTTTCAGGAGCAACTTCCAGTCCTGACATGGATGAGGACATTTAAATGATAGGCACTGCAGGCTGCTGAAAGCCACAATGGACTCAACTCCAAGCTGCAAAGGAGGTGTCCATGGTGCTGAACCACCACCCAATCCCACATTCCGCAACATGAACATCTGCTTAAAAGTTTGGAGAAAGTCCCAAAGTGGATACACAGAACCAACAACATTGGATACACCAGCCTCTAAAGATGGATGTCCAGTGGTGTAGTGGGGCCAGGACTCACAGGGAGGCATTCCCAGCACTATTTTATTAGCAGGGATTCTGATGTCATTGTGTGTGTACGCTCTGATAAGAGACGGCCTGTTTTGGTGGGACTGGTAGCTCAGGCCCGGAGGATGATGCAGCGATGGCTGAACCAGAACAGGCTCACATCTCACACTCCGGCAACAGAATTGCTGTTGTAACTGACAGACCTGCACCCGCTCTGGAGGAAAGTAGCTGAAGGACACCCACGGGACCCAGTCTCCCTCCTGCCTGTGTGAATGAGGCAGACAAAGGGCGGGAGGGAGGGGGGAGAGTTCCTAAATAGAGAACATGAGCCTTCTGAAAACATGAACCTGAGGGCCCGTCGTCACAGCCACAGACAGAACCAGTTAGGGGCTCAGAATGCAGAACAAAGGTGCGTGTGCTTTCACAGCGCCCACCTTCCAGAGACCAGCCCTGAAGGGTCCATAAGCAAAGCTTTGGGTAAAGGGGGGCAGAAGGAGGTTAACATTTCTCCTTGTGCAAGCTCAGTGGTTTGTGAATGCTTAGGTGTTCTGTGTGGAACGCTGGAGTGACTGTCTTGCTTGGGGAGGGACACCTTGCTCAGGACAAACACCTGCCATCCGCACCCTGCAGATTTCCCTGTCCCCTAAGCTTAGCTGCAATCCTTATAATAACTTGGGGAAAACCTTTGCAACAATATTTTGCAAAGCAAAGCATTACCAAGTAGCCACTTCTGCTAGAGAAAGAACTGCTACTAGTAGTCCTTAGTTCCCATAGATCAGCACAGCTGAGCTGCTGGGCGCTGCTCAGGGGTGTGGTTAGGAGGATTATCATGATGAGCTACTGCACTTCTAAATTTACCCCCATGCCACTGGGTTGGTCTCATTCACACTTTATGTTTAGCTGTATCTGCAAATGTGAAGGGCTAGTTAGGTCCTGGCCTTTTTTATGGGTACAAGATCTCCAACAGAGCCGTACGAGAAGCTCCTTTGAGCAGAAGTCCCCCATTCAGTTAAATGAAGGGGAGCAGATCCACATTCCCATGATGCTGCACGGAGGCATGAATACTGCCAACTTTTCTAACAGGCTGTGCTCTTCTGTTTTTAATGACAGACCCATTTGACACTGAAAATGTTGCAGGTGCAGCTGCTTTGACTAGGAGATCACATGAAAGAGGAAGAATTGCAGTGACTTCCCCTTTCACACGTCTGATTTTATTAAACAGAAACAAGGAATGCAAAAAGGGCCAAAATATCAGGGTATTTTAGCTTACACCCCAGTAAGTTTCCATGCGTATAGTTTGCTTTAACCCTCCCCCCCCCAAACTACAGTTCCCAGAATTTTAATATTGAGTATCCATGACACTCAAGGACATCAGAGATTCTCCTTCCAATCAGCTTCATGGGACAACTCCTTTGGGCCTCAGTATTATGAGAAAGAAAGAAAAAGTCCTCCCTTTCCACCTTCTTCACTTTTCTCTCCTGGTAGGGGAGTTGTTCTACCTCTCTTAATCAATTTATTTTCCCTTCTCTGCACTTTTCCCAATACTGAGTTGGTGACCATCTTACTATAGTCAAGGGGTTCAGAACTTCAAGCCTAGGGCCAGCTCTAACCCTCCTGGGCTCCCAGACAAGTCCTCTGGGGTTCTCAAAACTTCAAAGTCCCTTCCTCTTGCCCCATCCTACTTCCTTGACAACCAGTGGTTTGGTGGTGATTTTGTGCAAAAAGGCCAAAAATATTGGTGTATTTGGGCTCCAAACTCAACCAGTATCAGCAATCTAAACAGAGGCTCAATGTTGAGAAATGCCAATGCTCTCTTCTATGCATTCCAGCTGATACTAATGACAACCAAGGTTATTTCCAAACTGAAGCACGATGGGACCGAATGCATTGTAAACGCCATGGTGGCCTTGTCAGACTTGGTTCAATATACTTTTACATCTGGGGCATTCTACCACCTTCCCAAAATACTGGATCTAATTCGAGGAATCAGGGCAAAAGCCTTCACCCAGATCTTCACACATTCAACCTGACAGCATGGTTGATCCAGTAGAACCCACGGATCACGCACCAGCTCTCAAGATTCAGGCCAGCCTTCGGTCGGCCCTTCACCTGAATACTAGGTGGTCATATCCTTCTAAATGGGAAAGATTTGAGATCTTCAGTACAGAGCATAACTTCACAGCCCCACATGTGACAGTTCAGAATATTCTGCAGTTCCTCCTGCCCCTGCACACTCAGGGTTGAAACCAACATCAATCAGGGTACACATGGCAGCTGGGTCTTACTACAGAGGCCAGACTGAGGGGTCTTCCATCTTCTCACACCAAAGGATGCGTCAATTCCTGTGAGGTTGACGAAACTTAAATCCTATGATCTGACCCTTGATCCCAACAAGGAGTCTATCAATGGTTCTTCAGGACTGACCAAGGCACCAATTTGAGTAGGATCTAATTTGAGCACTTAGAGTAGATCCACCCTACTTGAGTTTCCATAAAGAAAACGTGGTCTTACGCATGGACCTGACCTTCTCACCCAAAGGAGCCTCTTCTTTTCATTCAAATGAGGACATTGTTTTACCAGCTTATTTTTCGGCTCCTTCCCCCTCCTTGAAAGATCACTGCACATGTTAGATGTCAGAAGGGTACTTGCCTTTTATAGATCTCAGATGGAGCAATTCAGACAAACTAAATGTCTCGTTGTCAAATACTCCGATCACGACAAGGAAACACCTATCGGGTCTCAACGCCTAGCTAAATGGATAGTTGAAACCATTAAACTTGCTTACCAACTCGCACATCTGGAACTGCCAACTATCCCAAAAGGGCATTCTGCTGGGGCCATTGCCACCTCAATAGCTCTCCATACAGACTTTGCCATGCAGGACCTCCGCAAGGTGGCAACGCGGGTGACTCCATGTACATTCATATGACACCATCAATTGGGCACCAGGGCCAGAAGAGGCTGCTCATCTGGAAGTGCCGTCCTCTCTCTGCCATTCTGCGATGACAACACATTTCCACCTCCTGGATGTGGTAAACTTGCTACTCACCCTTAATGTGTGATGCACAGAGACCACAATGAAGAAGGGCGGGTTGCTTACCTGTAACTGTCGTTCTTCAAGTGGTCACCTGTGCATTCATACAACCTACCCACTGGCCCCATGTCAGTGTCAGTGACATTTTCAGGATGATGCTGATTTGTTACATTTGCCATATCAACATCATCTTAAAACTGAATGGTCAGTCTCCAGATATTCTGGCGAAAGGGAGGGAACTCTGCCCATTTATACCAAGGTGGGCTTCCGGCCAAAACAACTAACACTGAGAGAATCTTCCTGGACACGGGCACTGCGCAGGTGCAGCACCCATAGGTGCGAATGCACAGACGACCACTCGAAGAATGACAGTTACCGGTAAGGAACCTGCCGTTAGGGGTGGTAAACCCTAGATTGGGTTCAACAGACTGCTCTGTGCCATGCCCAAAGATCCATTCTGGGTGATTTGGACATGGGAACAATGAAGAACATTTTGCAAGAAAAACAGCCTGCTGCTTTTGTCTCCTCACACAGCCCCTTCTTCCTTCCAAGACACTTCTGCACATAAAGAAATCTTGCTAGTTTTAATTGTTGCAAGCATTCTGTTTACACCA